ATATATTCTTGAGTATAAGCAACAGGAAATCTGAGTCCTGCGATCGCTCGTGCACTTCGTCCACAATCACATGGCTAACGTTGGTCAGCAGCGGATCGGAGGACAGGCGTCGCAACAGTATGCCAGTGGTGCAGAAGGTCAGCCTCGTGCTTTCCGAGATCTTGTTCTCGAGCCGTATCTGATAGCCAACCAACCGGCCAATGCGATCCACACGCTCGGCAGCCACACGCTCAGCCACACCGATAGCCGAGAGTCGACGCGGCTGCGTACAGATAATCTCTACATGGGGCATGTCTTCGGATGTAGACTTGCAGGCCTGGAAGAACCAATCGTCCAATATGAACTGCGGCACTTGGGTGCTCTTGCCACAGCCGGTCTCGCCTGAGATGACAACCACCTGGTTGCTCCTGATGAGCGCCATAATGCGCTCGATTTCGGCAAAGGCAGGCAGCTTCCTGCGACCCTCGATCGACTTGATATAGCTACTTTCGCGCCGGCGGTCGTTAAACTGCTTCAACAGGTTGCGATTCATGGATGCCAAGGCGGCGGCATTCCGTTGATAAGTGCCGCCATCGTTTCGCGACGTTTGTCCGCGCTCGTAGTGGCTGGGACGCGGCTTTGCCGCTGCCCCCTCGTTGGCATCTTGATCAGCGCCATTTGTCGGCTCCTCGTAGAAGAGCGAATGCTTGGGCGAGGGGAAGCGGGCGGTATCCAGGCTGCCGGCCAGACCCTCATCCGTTTGCAGCATCTCACATACGCTGTAGATGCAGGGAATGCCGTCTCGGCAAATTTGGCGCGCCTCCTGGTACAGACGGCGAGCGAAGCGCAAGCGCAGCTCATGCGGTATATCGTGGCAGGTGGTCTTGAGGTAGATGTATGGCGCTTCGTATGGATAACGACTGCCCGGCGGAAAACGCACCTCCACGTGGAACCACTGCTCATTCTCGTTCTCATCCAGATTGTCGGCACGCTTGCGCTCCGGTGTCCCCGTCGCCTCGGGCTGTGCTGGCACATGGGCAAATCGGCATTTGGGTCCAAATTTACACGTGCCATCACGATCAAAATTGCGACAACGTTGCGGCGCCTTCTTCTTCTTGTCCAATGCCGCTTGGCGAACGGCAGCGGCTGCCGCAAGCACTGCTTCCCGCGCCTTGCGCACCTCCGATGGGCTGTGCGCCAGCAGATGCTCAATCTTAAACTTAAGATTCCAAACGCTGTTATATTCACGCTCCTCGAATGCCTTGTCGTAGATGGACTGCAGCGCTTCCTTCTCGTCGGCTCGCATATCCAGCAGACTTGCCTCGTCGTGTGCCTCTAGCTCCAGGATTTCATTGGCGGGCACGCGCATATAGCGTTTATACAGCAACAGCAGAGCTGCTTCCGTATCGTGTGAGCAATGCTCATACGCTTCTAGGCAATGAGCAGGATGGAAGCCATAGTTCTCCAGCTTGAGCAGTGCATAGCGACGCAAACGATCGTCATCGGCTGTGCTGCTGGACGTCGCACTAACACCTTGAACACTTTGCACTTGGAGTGTACCGCGATCCTCCCAGTAGGCATGCTTAATACCTTTCCCGCCACGCCCCCGATCCTTGTATTTGGCGATGTCATCGAGCTTGAAGTCCGGTCCGTGTATGGCGCGCAATGTGTCCATTGTCAGTTGTTGTGACTCATCGCTGAGCCGCAGCACGTGCAGCTCCGTCTTCCGGGATTTGTTGTCCGGCACCGATTTTGGTGGCGCCTGAACATTCCTAAACATAGAAAGTGGATCAATGGCGATTATCGTGATGAAATTATCCACTTACGTTGTGCGCACATCGCTAGGCGGTCGCACGTGCCAGTCCTCCATGCATTGGCGTGACAGCTCGTCCATGTTTACTAGTCTAAGCAATTTCACAATTAAAGCTAATAACCCAAAAATGGCCAATGGAACATTACCGAGTCAGCAATGTGCCAGAACGCCTTTCGATAACACGCAACAGCTGTTTTGGTTTGTCTCATCAAGACTGTTGACAGTTACGGCGTTGCCACATCAGCAATGTCGAGAAATAAACAGTAACATTTGAATAGTAAGTCATGTACAGGGGTACATCTTTATTATTGTAGACATGTGTAGAACGTTTGGAAATTCTGTGTGTGAAAAAAAGTATAATAAAACAAAATAAACAGTAACATTTGAATCGTAAGTCATGTAGAGGGATACATCTTTATTATTGTAGTATATCTTGAGACATGTATAGAACGTTTAGAAATTGTGTGTGAAAAAAAAGTATAATTGAATAAAATTATTATAGCCCTTTCCTATTTCAACGAACTTGGACTTCAGATCCCTGTCCGACCTCGCTGGAATGGCAGACAAGTATATTAATATTTTAATTTTCAAATTATTGCCGACTATAACCGTTAAAACCGTTTACATTGACTCTAATTCAATTTTCTCAAGAGTAGCTGTCTCCTTCAAAAGTGAATTGAAATCGGCTTGATGTTCCGCCAAACGCTTCTTATACTTAGCTTTCAAACTTTCAGTTTTCGATTTTATGGTTTCTATTTGATTTTTCATTTCCAATATGCGATTAACCAACATGGCGTGAGGCTAGACAAAAAGTTAACTTTTTATATGCACCATTTTAAAGATGTGCTTTTCACACTTACCATATCGGTGTACTCGTCGAATCCCTCTTTGAGGGCATTCGCTTCAGTGGCCTTGATGGCCTCGGTACAGTGTGTGGCATATGCATGTGCACATTCATCCTCTGCCTTGAACAAACGGTTCAATTTTTGCAACTGTTCTTTGTGCATAGAGCATATTTTCACGGCCGTTGAAACATTGATGTTAACTGGTTGATTAAGCGCACACATCAATCCAAATTTATCTTCCACTATTTTTGAGCAATTCTTTTGCTCAGCAGTAATTAATTCACTCAGTTTTCTATTACTAGATTCCTGCGAAACAACTGTTAGATTTACAGATGTAGAGGAATATCGCAAATTTACCGTATAGTTTAGACATTGCGTAGCGCATTCTTTGATCAAGGTAGTTATTTCTGCTAGATCAGAGCTAGTTTGGTCGGTCTCTTCCTGCTCTTCGCCCAACAGATCCTCATTTACCGACATTTCCATATCAAAGTCAGCCGGATTATCGTCAGCAAAAGACATGTTTTATTTAATAAGACACCAAGTACTTCGCGCTTCTTAATGTGTTCCGCTTTGATTGCTGCAAGCAACTGAATCTATCGCGTAACGTTTACAGCTGTCAATCGAATAATTAGCTTTGGAGGCAGGCGGCAACAATACAATCGGATTAAATGTGATATTCAAATTTGAGTAACATTTAGATTTATGTGTGTGCAGAAAAGTTCTAGAGCTAAATAGTTTTTTACTCGCTCCACTTTATTTGCCATTTTTTTTACAATACTTTATTCTTAAAAATGTAACATTATTAATCGAGTAGTTATTGCTTACCAATAGGACCATCACAAGCCCGCAATAATCGATATACAAAATTAAATTACCTCTTATATTAAAAGACAATGCAGATTCGTACATGATCTGAGTGTATGTATAATAACTCTTGTTCGCCAGATGCCTTATGGGCAGCTTATAATTTGTTTGACATCGTCTCGAGTGTTTTGCTAATAAAAATTTGGTGTGCCGACTTTCAATTAATTATGAATTAATTAATGCCATCGTTGAGTAAATAAAGCTGCCTATCGAGTAAATCTCTTTGAGATGTGGCAGCATCAGATTGGGGAAATAATCAATATTTAAAATGAATTATGAATTTTGCTTCTTGGTCAGGTTCAACAATTGACGTTTTTGGATGGCAGGATACATCTTATAATAAATATATTTATTTTCGTTAAACTTTTATATATATTGCAGCCCAAACATGGCAAATCGGAACAAATCGCTGCAACTGAAGAAGTTTAAGCGCATTGCCAGCAAAGCGCTACGCGTGGAACGTGAAAGATGTGAGCTGGAAATAAAGTTGAGCAACTCTAAGTCAAACAAAGTGATTCGAGATACCCAACCGGAAATGAAAGACCTACACTTGCTGCCGCCTCTGGCGGTAAAGCGGCCGTCGAGTAGATTAATGGCAGTGGGCATGAGGCCATGTTCACAGTCACAGCCGCCCAGTTTTCGAAAGATGATGAGCATACCGCATGGTGCTAGGAGTGATGACCTGCCTGCCCGCAGGCTGGACAGAAAGCTAATTGGTCGGCTTTCAGATGATATTTTTCTACTTGGCCGCCGATCGCAGGACGATCATCTCTATCATCAGCAATGCCTTCGCCGCACACAAGACGACCAGATTTTTGCACGTCCTCCAACGGTGCAACAACACCGTTCCAAAGATGACAATATAATGCATCGTCGCACGGTGAAGCATTTCAAGGAGCATACCCACCAACAAGTTCGAGTAGCGACAGCAGCCGCGGCAGCGGCTGCATCTACAGTGGTTGCCCAAATCCGTAAAGATGCCATTGACGCCGTTGCACGTCAACAGGCTCCCTATATGCGCATGGCTGCCCTTGCCAGTACCAGACCGAACTCGAGCAATCCTAATCCTAAGGAGAGCGACCAACGCCGGCTAATCCGCAATTCGAATTTACTGAGCTCGGCGCTCAGCATTATTCGTGAAATGGATCCAGCCTTTCTGGAGACACTCTGTTATGCCATTCATGATCAAGTCAGCAAGGAAGACCCGCCGGAGTCCGATTAATTAACTTCATCGATATTAAGCTCCATCCATATATACATATATCGATATAGTTTTTGTTGTTGATTTGCTTCTCTTTCGCCAATTTAGAAATTGATTTGATCAATTTTATGTTTTAGTTCTACATTGCTAAACACTCAACTAAGGAATCAATCAATTTTGTTTGAAGGCAAATGAGGCGTTGCAAAGAAACTATAATATGTATAAATGATTCATCATAAGAGTCCGCCCCTTCTCATTCTGTCGGTAGGAATAAATACTTTATATTTGGCGAAACCAATTCTTTGTGTATTTTAGCTATTTTTATTTAAAATGGAATATCAATATGCATGGTTCTTTCTCACAATCTCTCTGCTTTGTTACGATAATTACTCGACTTTATCGATAGAATAGATGTATCTATTGAATACACACGTCTTCATTTGCAAAATCATAACGGAAAATGTATATATGTGAAATAAATTAGAGCATTCGCTGCTTGAGCTTAAACATTAGTGGATCCTTGGTACGAAGGATCAGCTCAGCAATAAGCACTGGTGGCTCCTCGGCATTTCCAACAAATTCAACTTCATAATGTCGCAAAACGTTCGCCGCTATCGCTTTGATTTCGAGTACGGCAAATTTCTGACCAATGCAGTTGCGCGGGCCAGCCGAGAAGGGAATGTAGGCATAAGGATTGAGTTTCTCAGCACTCGTTACTACATCAAAACGCTCAGGCTTAAACGTATTTGGCTCACTGAAGAGATCCTCACGTCGACCCAAAAGCAATGGCGAAATTCCTATATTTGTGCCGGCCGGAATGATTTTGCCATCTGATTTATAGTTAAGTGGTTACTAATCCATATAGTATATGTATATATAAATATATCTAATGCAACTTACTTATTTCACACTCCTGAACCACCTTTCGGCCTAGCAGCGGGACCGATGGATACATACGCAACGTTTCCTTGATGCACAGATCCATATAATGGAGGTTGTTGAGCAGATCATAAGTAACAGGAGTCTCTCTGTCGTTGCCCAGTACGGAGATAATTTCCTCAACACACTTGCGCTGGCACTCCGGATACAATGCGATGTTATAGAAGAAAAACATAATGGCCGAGGATGTGGTATCGTGGCCCTCAAACATGAAGGTATCCACCTCCTCACGTATATCTGCATTGGTCAACGGCTTGTCGTCGATCTTCGACTGCAGCAATATGTCCAGGAAGGCCATCTTGCGCTTGGCACCCACATCTGTATCGTCCGAGCTCTGTGTCGAGCTGTTTGGGCGAAGCAGCTCTTGACGACGCTGCACGATGATCTTCTCTGTAAAGCTGTGCAGCACTTTCAAGGCTCGACGCTCGGCTCTAGCCAGAGGAGTTAGCATGTAGGTCAGATCGAAGCGATAGAAGATGTTGAACATACGCTTGTGCAGCACCATTGAAATGGTCTTCACTGCACGAATGTAATCCGAGTCCTTGTTCGTCTGTGCATTGATTGACACACCCATGGCAGTTTCTAAATAGAAAAGAAGAGGAGAAGAGATGAGAGGCTATTGATTGTAGGCCTATTATAAGATTATGTATATTTTAAAAACGCGTTTTTAAAAGGCAAATCTGATGAAGCGTAGGATTCGGCTACTTACCACAAATAGTGTCCATTGTGCAGAGATTGATCCAATCGTATAGATTAAAACCACCTTGATCCTGCTGCTCGCGTTCCCTCTCCAAATTCTTGAGCAGCACACGCGACTCACGCTCAAAAATATCGACGAATTGGTATAGAATTTTGAAGTGGAAAGCAGGTGTAATGATCTTGCGGCGTTTATGCCATTTGCGACCACGGCTGATGAGTAGACCCTCTTTGAGCCATGGCTCGAGGGCTTTGTACTCACCGGCCTTGTCATTAAAGCGAAGTGTGCCAAGGACCACTTCCACATCCTTTAGATTGCCCATGAGCAGGTTTAGCTCTGGGCCTAGCCACACTTTGAGCGTATAATCCTTGCCATATGTTTCCATGAAACCCCTAACCTTTATAATAAGTTCATGAGGTTCCTTGCCCACGAAGTGATAGCCATGACCGACTACTGGCAACGTCGGCGCACTACCAAAATCTCGCGTCACCTCGATAAGGTGCTTGAACTTCAGCTGGTAGATCAGTAGGCCTACAAATAGGGCGCTAGCCAGAATAAGACCCAACACCAGGAACATCTTAATCGCAACAATTCGCAAAATCAACTGAAACTTCGACCTTCCATTACCAATATTTTTATTGCGAATCTTATCATGGCTTATACGAAATACAAACAATTGTAAAGTTGGCTAATACCTATAGATTGACTATCTAATCGCATACACACCAAATTAAATTCCTTGTGTTCGTAGCTACTTAATCTATCCATTATTCCTAACTGGCTCTTGGTCTGAGATCACTTGCTCTTATTTCAATGACTTTATGGAAACTGTAAATTTATGTTTCAAAAATCGAAACCATTTGAAGCATTAAAAAATCATAGTCATTATTTCAAAATATGGAGAATCGCTATGAAAAGGGCAGCATTTCCAACACGGAAGAGGCTTTAAAACCAATTGTTCAAGCGTTGTAATCGACAATTAGTTTCATAATGTGCAATTCCCACACTAATGTCTCTCTCTCTCTCTTTCTTTCTATCTTCTTATTCTTAAGTATCGATGTAATTCCTTTATGTAAATAAAACGATAGTTAATGGATATTCACTTATCGATATTTTTGAGGTATTTATTGGATATACACATCTCAATTGGCAAAATCATAACGGAATTTACGATTTGTAAAAGGAAATGTGTAGGCAAAATGTACATATGTAGATACATATATAATATAAGTTAGAGGACGCGCTCCTTGAGCTTAAACATGAGTGGATCCCTGGTACGAAGAACCAATTCAGCAATAAGCACTGGTGGCTCCTCGGCATTTCCAACAAACTCCACTTCATAATGTCGCAAAACGTTCGCCGCTATCGCTTTGATTTCGAGTACAGCAAATTTCTGGCCAATGCAGTTGCGCGGGCCAGCTGAGAAGGGAATGTAGGCATAAGGATTGAGTTTCTCAGCACTCGTTACTACATCAAAACGCTCAGGCTTAAACGTATTTGGCTCACTGAAGAGATCCTCACGTCGACCCAAAAACAATGGTGAAATTCCTATGTTCGTGCCGGCTGGAATCATTTTGCCATCTGGTCAATGAGTAACACGTTAGTAGACTATGAATATATTTCAAATGCAATTAAAAGAATCTCACTTATTTCACACTCCTGGAGCACCTTGCGTCCTATCAGGGGAACCGATGGATACATACGCAACGTTTCCTTGATGCACAGATCCATATAATGGAGGTTGTTGAGCAGATCGTAGGTAACAGGCGTCTCTCTGTCGTTGCCCAGTACGGAGATAATTTCCTCAACACACTTGCGCTGGCATTCCGGATACAATGCGATGTTATAGAAGAAAAACATAATGGCCGAGGATGTGGTATCGTGGCCCTCAAACATGAAGGTATCCACCTCCTCACGTATATCTGCATTGGTCAACGGCTTGTCGTCGATCTTCGACTGCAGCAATATGTCCAGGAAGGTCATCTTGCGCTTGGCACCCACATCTGTATCGTCCGAGCTCTGTGTCGAGCTGTTTGCGCGAAGCAGCTCTTGACGACGCTGCACGATGATCTTCTCTGTAAAGCTGTGCAGCACTTTCAAGGCTCGACGCTCGGCTCTAGCCAGAGGAGTTAGCATGTAGGTCAGATTGAAGCGATAGAAGATGTTGAACATACGCTTGTGCAGCACCATCGAAATGGTCTTCACTGCACGAACGTAATCCGAGTCAGCATTCGTCTGTGCATTGGTGGAGACTCCCATGGCGGTTTCTATGGCAAAAAGCCGCGGGACAGAGAGGTGGAGACAAATTATGGTAGATTGGTCAAATTCCAAGTGCTGATTAGAGGATTCATAAATAAAAAACGAGCTGCTTAGATTAGAAGCAAATACTGCTCCCCATTTAATGTCAATTGCTGCTAATCAAAATATGAAGACAAATCGATTCTATATTTACAGTTATGTTATCTTAATGCTGGCGAAAGAACATATGAATATCTCTATCAGTGCTTGACATTGAAAAGAGCTTAGATTGGGATAGGCTATAAATTGGAGCAGCAGCAGTCGCGCTGGAGACATCTCATCTACCTACCACAAATGGTGTCCATAGTGAAGAGGTCGATCCATTCGGATAGATCGAAACCACCTTGGCCCTGCTGCTGGCGTTCTTTCTTCAAATTCTTGAGCAGCACGCGCGACTCATGCTCACAAATATCGACAAACTCTTCGAGAATCCTGAAGTGGATGGCGGGTGTAATGATCTTGCGACGTTTGTGCCACTTGCATCCGGTACTGATGACCTTGAGCCATGGCTACCAAGGCCGTGCCAAGGACGATTTCCAGATCCTTGGCATCTCCCATGAGCACGTTGAGCTCTGGACTTAGCCACACGTTGAGCGTGTGATCCTTGGCATATACGTCTATACAATGACCCAGCATCTGCACCAGTTCATGTGGTGCCTTGCCAATCAACTGAAGACCATGCCCAACCAACCACTGGCCATGCCGGTGGAGTACCCAAATCTCGAGTCAGCTCGATAAGGCGCAGGGCCACAAATGGAACGCTAGTCAGAAAAAGAGCCAGCGCCAGCATATTGAAAACAAAGCAAGACGAAATGCCTCACTATAAGACAGAAAATCAACTGTCGCTCAAGCTCTGATGATATTTGCAATGAGTGATATATGAGCATAGATTTATTAGGCATAGTTAGTTAGTTAGACGTATAGGTCAATTGTTCAAAATTGAATTTGATGGAATCAAATAAAAATTGGCTCTCTAATTCTCGTTTACAGCTGATTCCATTCACAAACCTGATTTGTCCCGTCTCCTAATTAAATTTTTGGCAAAATTAAAAGTTAGAATGCAACGTAAACTGGTTAAAATTTTAAGAGATCAGATGCAGATACGTTTTGATTTGCCAAGTCAATTCAATTTTTGGCTTAGTAGCATTAGGTATTTGAAAGATATAACGTTTTCCGATTTGCCACACGAGTTAGTTCCCTTATAACGGATATATTTTATTTTCTGATTTGCCACACCCCACGTGAGCATATCGGGGGAATCAAGGTCAGAATGGTGGCGAAATTGTTTACGTTTATACGGACCGACACAGCTCTAAACGAATAGACTCTCTTTATACTTCCTGAATGGGTATACAAAGCCACAACAATAGTTTCCACTAAGATACTACAACAAAGAATGAGGAGGAGGAATTGAATAGAACCGTTCAGAATGACATCCGACTCACCACAAATGACATCCAGCGTGAACAGATGCACATCATGTCCCAGGTCGAAGGAATGGCCTAGGGTTTGCTGCCACTTGCGAATGAGCACTCGAGTTTGCCTATCAAAGATCTCCACATACGGCTCGAGGATGCGGAAATGGAAGGCGGGCGTGATGATCTTGCGACGGCGATGCCATTTTTGTCCGCTACTCAGGAGCAGTCCATCGTTGAGCCAGCCGTGTAGAAAGCTATACTCGATAGCCTTGTCCAGCAGCTGGCTGCTGCCGAGAACAACTTCCATGTCCCGTGGCTGGAACATCATCAGGCTAAAGTTGCTGCCCATTTTGAGCTTGAAGGTGCCATCATATTGCTCCGCCAACTGGGCAATCAGCTGCGGCACTTGCCACGGCTCCAAGCCGAAAAACATGTGAAAATGTCCGAGTAGCGGTAGATTGCGTGGTCCTGGCAGTTGGGCTGCCAACTCGTAGGTGCGGCGACGTCGGCGCAGCCACGCCACCAATGGCAGCCAGCTAATCCCGGCCAGCGCCACGACGATGCACACGGCAGCAATGAGCAGCGATAGCGAAAGAGTCATTTTGCTGACATGGACGAGCGACAATTGGAATTTAAATGAGCTTTCCCAGCTGTTGTTTATTCACAATCAGTTCAGTTGCAGTCCAGCCAGAAGGTTATCTCTTAAAGATTAAGGTCAGCTTCAGTGGTCATTGTATACCCTACACCCTACCTATACCAATTAGCAAGTCGGGTACATTGGTTTACAGTTATAGGCTAACTAAGTTTTAGCTCGTACGAATTTCTAGCATCGAATAAGTGCATTATAAATGCATCAGTTAAGTGCGTGGTATCTCCTAGTCGTACAGCCCCACGTAGATCACTTCTATTGGGTTGCTTCTAAATTATTATTATTTACTTTACTCATCCGTCACATGGCGCTGCCGAAATTAGAATTTTCCGTTTTAAAAATAGAGCAAGTGGCAAACTATGACGCCATGCCCGGGCAATGGGCGTGTGTGGGTGTTTAGATGTGTTTACATTCGATCATGTTTTGCTATGGAGCTGTGACGTCACTAGCATTCAAGTTCAGATGCCTTTCTGCCCAGATGGCAACACCATACACGGAATGTGTGCGAAATAAAGATGTAAAGCTAACATAAAATTGCATCGTTAGGGCAATAAATTGCCTACATGAATATTAACTACGAAAAAGTAAATAAAATCGATGCGACTCAAGAAAATTATGTTGTTGTTGATTAATCAACATATAATTTTAAATATAGATATTAAAACTGTTTGGTTATTCTGAACTCAGTAAAATAAAACAAAAATTTAAGATAATTACGTTTTGCTGCTATTGCTGAAGGCATGTGCAGAGGAATTTACTTGGCTAACTTACTCAAGTGGAACCAAGCGAATTCTGAATGCAAATTGCATTCGCCTTCTCAACTGGATTCGGGCGCCAGCTGATTCATCTAGAAATTCCAATAAGAAATGCGAATGCGAATGCCCACTCGAATTTTCGGTGTTACGTACACAACAACAAGAAGAGCGAGTAGGCGACTGAGAAGAGGAAAGAGAAGGAGAGAAACAATGCCAATAAGAACAACAAGAGATTGCTCAGCTTTGACATGCAGACTAAACTATACCCTTTAAATGCTCGTACATAATTTTTATTTAAATCTGAAATGTTTTTTTTTTAATATGTATTAATTTATTTTTGATAATTAAAAGACCGGTAGAGCGAATCTGACCGATAGTTATCGATTGATCGAATTACGCTTCTAGCCGCAAAGAAAACTACGAGTGGATATCAGGCAAATAAAGGACAAATTAAACTGATCACAAATTTATATGTACCTTCTAAATCTATACTATATATGTGTATATCTCGTATATCTTATCTATGTATATGTATAAGATACATTTTGAAAGGGGTAAGGCGGACTCACAAAAACAGTTTTATTTCGACTCATACCCTCTTGACGATTGTCTATGTGTACAGGGTATGATGAACTAGGCGTCCTTCGAGCATGCCAAATTCCAAAATTCTTGCGTCGGTCGTCGACGTCATTTTGGCCCATGATTCGCACCGCGGGCCACAATTGAAACGTAAATATTTACACATGTCTTACAAGAGTTTCTTGAACGATTTCTCACTGTCGGATATAGTATATAGTACATACATACATATAGGATGTATACACATTGCTTATAGATCGCTGAGATGTGTGCGCATTGGAATTTCATTGGCATTTCCAATTTTGTACATTTTGTGAATTTTGCTCGCTTTTGCATTTCTGTTTTGATTTCTTTGCCATTTCTTCATACACATATGTATATACAAAGAGTTCAGCGTGTTGAACTCGAGTGATTGTATTTTGCCATAGATCAGGCAGAGAGAGAATGAGAGAGCCGCTAAGGCCAACGAGGCCAGAACGTGCCATATGGAGCGTTTGATGAAATCGCGAACAAACGGCAGGCTAAGCGAGGTCTGTCCAAAAAGTTATCTCCTCCTTAAGTAATCTCCATCAGCTACAAGAGTCTTGGTCTCCTCATAGTGTCGTCCTTGCACAGGCTTCTGCAAGGAAAACCAAAAGATCATGTGAATAGAAAACCTAAAATCGATACTCGAAAATCGATTATGCGTAACCCTCGTAAATGCAACATTCGCAAAGCTTTTTAAGCACACCTCTTATAAATACATCAACATAAGTGCAAAAACAAGAGCTAAAAGCAAAAACAAAAATATTATTATTTAAATAATAATAACAAAAATTTCGCTTTGGCTCAACACATTTTGCGTCATTTGGCGCTGAAGAGCTGAAGGCAACTTTTTGCCTAACCAACATAGAGGCGTGTATATGTACATATATGTTTATATGGATTCATATATATGATATATGCATATAGAGTGTACTATATATACATATATAGCTATATACCACAACAAAGTAAGAGAATCAACGATTTTAATAATAAACATGGGCCCAATAGCCTTATGTGTCGGCTAACGCTGCGTATGCGCAATTTTTATCGCATTGCGCATACGCCACGTGTTACACAAGCCTTGGAGGAAATTCAAATTTCTGATGATTATCGAATGATCATATATGTACTTATTATACAATATGTATTTATGATACAATTTATATACAATATAATGTTTTGTAAGGAAAACCCTTTCATTACTTGCGTTATGCATAAACAATATTGCGTATACGGCGTATTCGAAGACGGTTCCACAATACAGAAAAGGATTGCGAGTATTTTCGACTAAAGAAGTTCCTTCCAGAGAACAACATTCAAGCTACTGTTAGTTGAGCCAGTGCCCAAAGCTGCTGCTCCAGCCTATACATATATACGTACACATACATATATCCATAGAATATTTGTTGAATACTCAGTTTTCTCGATTTATCTGTAAGTCTCTAGTGTATCTGTAAGTACTTGCACTTGCACTTGCACCCTGCACTGACAGCCTCAAAACTGATGCCCACGACTATTTCGATGACTCATCCGCCCAGCCGCGCCCCCTTGTCAGTGTGCCCCCTTTGCCCAATTTCTGTCCATTTGACGTTTCAGTTGCTATTTTGAAACAATTGTGTCGACATGTCTCATACTCGTTATTCGCAACGTTTTTGCCAAGATCTATATTATTCTAATATATTTGTGTACTCAGCACATACTTAGCATCCTATATATTTATATATATTCAAATAATCATATCTACATCTGAAGACACTTTCTGGCCGTTCATGTTCAGTTTGTAGCGCATTAAATTCCAAGTAGTAAAAGTTCTATAAAACATCAAGGAAGTTTATATGTGTATACATACCCTACGTAGCACTTTCCAAATGTTCTGTTATTCCATTAGATACGTAACTTATTGAGGTTTTAAATATTTTATATCCGTTCATAAAGTTTAAAGCAAGTATAATCTGGAGTTATATCTAAGAGAGGGAAAGAGAGAGGAGAAGGGAAGAGAGGGAAGATGGAGAGAAAAGAGATATACAGAACAGAGATGCTCAGAACAGATGGAGATAGAGAGAAAGAGAGGGAAGGAGAGAGAGACAGAGAAAGTAGATAACTGACAAAGAGAGAGAGAGAGAGAGAGAGCAGAGATACCTAGAGAGTTAACAGAGGATGATAGAGAGAGAAAGAACAGATGCGGAGAGAAAAGAGAGAGTGAGCTGAGAGGGGAGACAAAAGTGAGAGATAGGGAGTGAAAAGAAGAAAGAGAATAAGCGACAGGATGACAGAGGCAGACCAAGAAGAAAAAGAGAGGGAGAGAGAGAGAGAAAGGAAAGATACATGTGGGAGTTAGTCTAGTTCCGCTGTTTAGTGAATTCTCAATGGCTGCGAATATCTCTTAAAATGAGAAGTTGTAGCCTTAGAAAGAAATCACCAGAGATACTCTAGTATTATCCGATATAGTCGAAACAATGATAATATTTGCCCACTCAATGTCAACCAACTTTGTTGGCTAGTTTAAACAAATCGAGGGAATGAATCAAACAGTTAAAGCAATAGATAAAATCTTGGGAAATTCCTAAATGAAAATGTTTACACAATTTGCTTAGATATAAATATGTATGTATATACATATATCTATACATATTATAATATAATATTACTTTTTGCATTTCGCATCGGAAAAAGCTGGCAATGGCCAGCTGCCAAGGCAATTGAAGTAAGAATTGTGCTGCTTAAAGCCTTTCAACAAATTATTTATGCTCGAAGCAAAATAAATACAAAACAAGCCCGAATTGTGCCGTCGGGTGAGCACGACTGCACAATACACGCTCACTCGCTTCAACTTAGGCAATAATCAGCAGAGATCAACGTTTGCCCAGATCTCAATGAGCATTGTTGATCGATCCAATTGTGGAGGATATATCGGCATTGGCCTACATATGCCTATGTGTATATGAATATAACGATTGTATATAAGATGTATATATGGGGTATACCCATAACCATAAATTCGATTTGCGAACGAATCCTATGATAGAGAATATGGCAAAGCCAATATGCTCTTTACTTTCGATGAGCGTGTATAAACAGAGAGTGTAAAACAGCGTTTGACAACGAAAAGAAAATTGTTAAAGACAAAATGCAAAGTGCAAAATGCAAATGTGAAATGCAAAATGCAAATGTGAAATGCAAAATGCAGAATAGGAAATCGTTGAGGCGAACGCATTTTCATTCATGACTTGATTTTATTTATGTGGCTGCAGAGCGCGGGCGTCTATATACAATGCATCTGTATGCATCATATGCAGCTAGGTATATAGAATGGATATAGCAATAGCTTACCTGTTTGTACACATATATGTATATGGCTGATCGTAATGAGCAATTGCCCAACAATTGCCATGCACTTGTGGCTGTCAGCCAAACGACGAGCAGCTAAAAACAATGCAATTCGAATTTTGTTTAATTAACGTACTCGAATGATACATATATATACATATGTATACATATACAATATATATATGTACGTATAATGTACACATTCTGTATAGACAGGCATTTTATTTATGATACCGCTTTGACAAGCCAAGGCAGCTGGGCACGCGCCCTAAACGCATTTCTCTCTGCGTTCCGCACATTATAGATATAGCTGCCATCCAAATTTCTCAGGCGTCGCAGCACAGTGCATCATGCTGTTACATTTCTGCAGTGTCTTATAGACAGGCAGCAGAGAGCGTGGTAGGCAACATAGTAGTTTTTATAATATATATGTAAGCTGAAATTTACTTTCTTGTTTTGTGGGATCCTTAAATACCTAATGTAGAATAAGAATTCATAGAATCCTGAGCTGGGTGTATTCCAAAAGTGCTCCAAAAGTGTGAGTGTGTGTATGTGGGTATGAGTGTGCGTGTATGGATCTCTTCCTCGGCAAAAGGTTCAGGGTGTAGCCTAGTCGAATACTGCCGCTTAAAGCATGCCATTCTATATATATATTATATATACATATATCGTATATGTATGTATATCGTATATCGTATATCTATATACCTGAGCACTGGTTGAGGGTAGTCCAAAAGTTGATCACTTGCTACCCTGATGGCACAATCTATTTTTGATTGTCTTCGAGACTATATGGTTTCTATATAGCCGGCGCTCACTTCCGGTTCTAAAAGGGGCGCAACTATCGTATGCATGTGTGTGTGTGGGGAAGGGGGGAGGGAGAAGGGGGGGGGGTGTGTGGCATAGCAACAGCTGCATTTACTTTTTAACTTTCTCACAATTCGATTTTCATCTTCATTTTCATCATCGACCCGATCCGATCCGTTATTCTGATTGGCTTTGCGGTTATCTATAGCCGCAGCAGTGGCAGCAGCAGCGGCAGCAGATCTCAGAACCTCAGCGAACCTCACCAAATTCTAACCCCAGCAATGCAGCGAAGCGCAACGATCGGTTTCGGAGTGGAATTCCCTTGCCTCAAGCATGAAGCGAATCAAGTCATAAACATTTTGCATATTCTTTACCTTCCCCGGTTTTCTGGCGTCGCTTTTTGTTTTCCCTTCTTTAGTGGCAGGTGGCACATCTTTTTCTAGTTCTTTCATTGCTCGCCAAGACCAAATGCCTATAAAGACTTCATAACGCTTTTATTTTCCAGCTAAACAATTTCGGAACACGTTCTTAAACAGAAATGTGTGACATATGTAGGAGAAAAAAAAAGAATTACAGTTTTGCATATGCATCACGGCACTATATGCTGCCTAAGGATCAGAGACAATTTTGTGAAAGGCTTACAGTAAAAAGTTTATTATTATCAATTATCAATGGATCACAAAGTAAATTTGGTTTCCTTTTTAGTAAAACGCTACTGAATATACATATATAATATAATCTTGCTATAAAGCATTATTATTCGACTCGGATCGGGGGTTTTCCATTAGTTGCATTCACAGTTTTCGAGAACAGTGTGGAAAAGTGTGAAATAAATATTTGAAATATGCAACGTTTACAACTCTTTAAAAAGTTTCGAACTGAGAAATTTCATATTTATGTGCGAAACAATAATAATGAAGTTTTTGTATGCATAGAGGAGTTGATACAGTTTCTCAGCAACTACTGATTAATATCGTCTGCCTTATCATTGCATTGTCTAAAATTAACTGAAAAAGGTATTGAGAGCAAACGAGAAAACGAGAAAACTTTGCTCGTCTTGTGGCAAGGGAGAGCGAAAGAGAGGCAAAGAGAGCGAGAGTGTGTCGACTCTGGCTGTAGCTGTGTGAGAGAGAGTGGTAACATGGGTGTGCATGGGTGTGTGTGCTTCGCTGCTATAAAAAGAAAGCGCGCTCGCTTTCAGCGCTCACTTTTTGGTTGCAGCTACCAAAACGTTGTTGTACAGGCAAACAAAGAATTTAATAAAAATCACAAGAATATTAAATCAGAAACTGTTTCGTACTATTTTTTTTTAAATATATATACACGTTTTGTATAAAAAGTGTTGCAATATTTTGAATATTCAAAATACACATATATTGCCCAAGTTCAAGTGCATTTGCATTGAAGTGAGAGTACGTAGTGTAAATCCTAAAGGAATACCATAAACAATAAAAACCGAAAGAGCGGAAAGAGCGGAACACATAAGCAGCATCAACAATATACACAATTCAAATACAAATCATCTATTTAAAAACATTTAAATACAAAACCAAAAAAGCGTGAGTGTTAAATTGCAGCGTTCCAGTTTCAGTTCCAGTTCTGCCGCCATTTTGAATTTGCCATCCTGTTGCTTTTGCCATTTTGAGCTGCCTACTGTCAACTGTGCAGAATTTATCGAAATTGTGCCTCGATAGGCGGCAGTCGATCTAAAAGTTCACATGACACGCCGCAGCCTGTGCGAAAGGGAAATGGGCATGCGAATGTGGCAGGGGCAAGTGTAATTTACAGTGGGAAAATAAGCAAGAAACAAAAGAATACGGCTAATGAGCCGCAGCACCAGCGGCAGCGCAGTAGCGGGGCAGCGCCGTAGCGGCAACAGCGGCAAAACGAAAATTTTCTAGTTTCTGTAGCTGGGGCCTTGGCACTGCGCATGCGTACCAGCCTATGCCAGAGTCAAGAGTTCAGCCCAGGTGGCATCGCTCTATTTTTTTTTTTTTTTTTGTGCTTTTATTTCTTTTGCTGCGAGTAATTTAAGTTTTTTTCTTTCTTTTGGGGCAGGTCTGTTTTTATTTCCAGCTTTTTTGGCTCTGACTGTGGGTCACAAAAGAAATGTGTAGCAATGCTAGGGCACAACACAATGGGCGCTCAAACGAAACAAATTTTCATTGTTATTATTATTGTTGTTTTTGTAGCTGTCTTCAAGAGTAACGTTTCTTTTCCGTTTAGTTGTTTGTTGTGGTTTTGTTTCATTTCTTTTTATTTTATTTTTGCAAGAGCTAAAATTTCGCAAACTTTAATTGGCCTTTATTTACATTTACAGTACCCGAAACGTTTGCTTTTGCTTTTTTGTTGCCGGCAAACCTGAGGTTCAACTTTTCAAATTGAGATCGCGACCATCTGTGGTAATACCTGAGTCTTATACGGGGCAGTGTCATCAATTCCAGCGACCGCTTTTCTTAGTAACTTACAAAACTGCAAGAACAACAACAGCAAAACGTACCAAATCCCATTAACAAAATGACCGATGTATCGCATGAGTTGGGCGCCCTACGCTTTGTAGTGGTAAGTAACATCCTCTAATACAAATACGCTTTGTAGTGGTAAGTAACATCCTCTAATTACTCCTCTACTTACTCTTCACTCGAATATTAGCTATTGAGAAGCGCCCCTAGTCTCAATTGCATTTCAAAATTCAAATAAATGTTAGATCCTTAGAGATGTGATCGATAATAGACTCCATTCAAGGTTCACGTCCCACAGATATAGATAATATAATATAGATAATACTCATATAACAAACAACTAAATTCAAATCTACAGATTGGACCTTATGTCGATTCGAAATGAATCATTTTAACATCCTTCGATGTAATTCCAAACTCATATTGAATGCACAAATCGCGTTTTTTGCCAGACTCTAAAAAAAACACCATTAAAATATTAGAGCTAATTAGCTAAAAATTTGGGCGCTTTATAACAAAAGGCATTTGCGGAATGCGGCGTACAGACTAAAATCCCTAAGTATATTTAAAAAAAAGAGAAATTTTCTCATTTTTTATTTTTATAATTCCCATGAGCATTATAATTGTATTGTATTATTGTTATATTGCAAACATATCTCGTGCGACAAATACCTCCAAATTATTTATGAGCGAATATAAAGAAAAATACGAAAAATGTCAGACGCCAGCAGATGTTGGTATGAAATAGCGAAGAAAACGCTGCGATTAAAAATCGTTCAAATGAAATAACATAAATTTCCAAGTTATTTTGCAAAAACAGTCTTCAATTTTCAGTGCCTTTGCTTTAATATGTCGCCAAATGAATTACCAAAAGAGCAGAGATATGTGTGTATGTGATTATATACTCATTCTATGTATATGTACATGTATATACATATATACATATATATATATATATTGGCTGACAAAAGAAACAAATTTTTTGTCGCACTGTGCAAAAGATCAAAACACGGAAAAATTCTTGGCAATGACCATCGTTTGAGTTGAAATAGCAATGTTATGTAGCCTTATGTATTCTATATATATGTGTACATATATATACATATATGCATGTGTATATGTATATATGTATATATACCTCCAAATAGAGATATACATATATGTATATATATACGAATCTCGCTGAGTGACAGCAACAAATCGAAATGTTTTTAGTTACAGTCGCAGATGACAGTCGATATGCGTATTGCCGCAGCTTTCGAGCCACCTCTTCTACGGCTTTGGCCACTGACTCGTTTATTTGAGCCATATCGGCTCACAGACTTGCCCATAAATTGAGTTAGTTTAATGCAGTTATTAAATAAATGCAAACGTCCCAGCTAGTATATCCGATTTTGTTATTTGCTTAGTTTCACGTGTTAATTTTTATTATTTGTTTATATATTTGTTGTTGCTTTTCATCATTATTTCCCAGCATGTGACAAAAACGCAATTTTGATTTCAATTGAAATTTATGCATTTTCACATCAAAGACTTTCACCTGATGCAAATTTACTGACAAATATATGCACATACATATGTATGTCTGTTTGCATATGTATGTAGACAAGTAGCTATGTTTTCGTATAGAGCATAGTGAATATATAACTTTTTGGCAATTGGCAAATTCGTCTTGCTTAACATTTTCATTCATCGGGCGGATTTGATGCGCATTTCATTTATTTATTTTTATTATCGAATATATGAATGAAACAAACGAGATGGCGTCAGCCAAATTGATTATTGACAACAACGTCATTGGCTTGGGTAACATTTATTTGCTTTATTTATTAATCAAAATTTAACAAAGATGTTTTTCGAAATCAACAACAAAATGAAGAGACAACAATTTGAACATAAGTATATATTCAAATATATAGACATGCATATAAACATAGTATAAATTTGTTGAAAATATGTTTTGGGCAAACAAAAATACGTTAGCAAAAATTGGCCATGAAGGTCGTTTGTTGGTTTTTAATTTTAATTCTATTTATTTAGGTTGCTTGTTTTTTTTTTTATGAAATTTCTTTTGTGTCTGGGATTGAGGAAGTGTAGTGTTGTAGTATGGTAGTGCAGTAGTGCTTTATACGAATTTTCGTTCTCATCAAAAATTTGTTTTTATTTATGGGCCGACATTTGCGCATTCCTTTCGTCCCATTTGCTTGTACACTAAATAAGTATATACGTATGAATAGATAGAATAGTATAATAGAGTACATTTGTATTTAGATGTGTACATGTTGCTCATGGCTAAAGCATTTTGCATTTATTAAATGAAAAATGTAGGAACATGTAAATTTGTTGTTATTTAATTACAGCTCATTAATTAAACAACTTGCCACGTGTCCGTTTTCAATTCAAAATTTCAAGTGTGCCGCCAATTCTGGTTGGCAATGCGGCACAAACTCATAAACAGCCTGGCAGCATGCATATTATTATTCCAGACTTCAAGTATTTAGGATCTGGCAAGGCTTGTATTGAGAATGTGGCGCTATTGCGGATGTTTTCTAATCACTGCCTGACAGGCTTAGAGCAGCCACCACTCTGGCAACACTGGCTTAAGCTTGAATCTGTTTTAGGCTTCCTTTGGCAGCGTTGTGATTGAAAGAATTTGTTTTTGCCTTATTGCAGGACTCGCCACTATCATCAAAGGTAGCCATGTTTAACAACCAGGCGACACAGCATAAGCAGTCGCAGCTATTGAACCCATTCTCGCACGACGGTCGCGCACCGTCACCCAAACCAACTTTCTCCAAGGATCAGTATGGAAAGCCACTGGCCGGTAGTCTGACAGAGATGCGCGGTCAAAAGGCCAATATGCATGTGATGAAGGAGATGCTGGAGCTCTGCCAGATCATTGACTCCGAGGGCTACGAAGTAAAGGACGAGCCCACCATGCGGGTCATACCCTTTGGGGAGTTGTTCAACGTAAATTCTATTCTCACTTAACACAAGAATCAAATCTCATCTAATTTTTCGCTCGTTTAGATTTACAACTACATTTCGGACAAAGTTGTTGGCATCCTATTGCGTGCCCGCAAGCACAAGCTACTGGACTTCGAGGGTGAGATGCTGTATCAGCGACGCGATGACGATGTGCCCATCTTTCTGCTTCGACCCATTGCGGAAATACGCCGCGAGTTGAATGCCAAGGTTGAAGAAATTAAACGGGGCGCTAGTCCAGCACCTCAGTCAACATCAGTGCTGCTCGACAAAAGTGCACACGAGCAGAATCTAAAAGTGCTGGAGGAGAAGCGACGCTCGTCCAAGTCACGTACACCCTCGCCGGCTGTCAAGTCGAAATCCAAATCAAAATCACCCTCGCCTGCAGCTGCCGACAAAACGGAGGTCGTGCCAGCTGAAGCTGCAGCAGCAGCCGCAGCACTACCAGCAGCAGCTCCCGTTGCAGTTGCAGCAGCAGCAGCAGCAGCTCCTGTTGCAGTTGTAAAAGCAGCAGCAGCAGCAGCACTACCAGCAGCAGTTCCCGTTGCAGTTGCGGCTGCCGTTGCACCTAGTGCAATGCCAGTTGAGGCAACTGTGCCAACTGTTGTCATCGATCAGCCGCCTACAGTGGAAGCTGCAGCTAAAAAAGAAGTTACTCCAGCAGCTACAATAGTAGAGCAGACACAGCCGGCAAGTTCATCTCAAGCGGATGCAGTGCCCTCCGAAGCTGCTTCGACTATTGCTCCAGCTGCTGCTGCTCCTGCTAATGCTGTTCCAGCTGAAGCTGCACCAGCACCTGTTGCTCCTAGTGCTGCTGCAACTGAATCCTTAAATGAATTGCCCACAATTGTTATTGAAGCCAGCGCAACATTTGTGCGCACGGTCAGTGTTGAGCCGGTTTCGGAACAAGTTTCAGGGCAGGCATCAGAGCAGGTGGTAACAGCCGAGAATGCCTAAAGGAAAGAGAGCGCATGGAGCTCAACAACCGGACTTATGGGAACGTTTCGAAATAATTCGCAAACTAGTAAAGCGGCAGCTTTAAATTGCAGCAATCTAGATTTAAAGCATAGTTTAACTTTATAATTAGGTGTTTAAACAGCACTGAAGACACTAAAAGAAAGAAGAAAAACAGGCAACGGAAGATAGAGAGAGAACAACTATTTATAAATAAATAATGAAACGTAAACATACATATATAAATATATAACGTAAATGTAATACAATATATAGACACAGTATTATATAAAACTCATACTTATTAATGCATGATTATTATATAATATGTTGGTAGTAGTTTAATAAAGTGTAAAAATCCAATTTGAATTTAAACTTTCGATCTGGCGTTGCCACATCGCAAACAAGCTCGTGGTCGTTCGCAGAAAAATGGCAACGCCTAATGAGTGCATCATCAGCTGTTTAGTCCCGCATTTTTCTTTTGATAAATGCGACGGTCATTTATTTGCTACTCCGCCAATCAGTAAATAATGAGAAAGTTCGCAGCTTTTGCATGCGGCACTGGTGCCGGCTTCGCCGCCTACTACTTTCAAAAGCTACGCGATCCACTGCAGGTGGTGCACAATTCGTGGACGAACAGCGAGAGACATATTAGCGAATGCGCCTTGTGGGACAGCAATTGGGATTACCGCGACCCTAAGAGCTTGGCACGGCCCATGAAAAACGATAAGCCCCAGGAACAAAATCGCTATAACGCCGATCTGGAAAAGAATGTATCGAAATATGCAAGGCATATCATCCTAATACGGCATGGTGAATATCTCGATGTGGGTGAAACGGATGAGACGCACCATCTAACAGATCGCGGCCGGCTACAGGCAAAATATACGGGCAAACGTTTGCACGAGCTTGGCATCAAGTGGGACAAGGTGATTGCCTCAAACATGGTCAGGGCGCAGGAAACTGCAGAGATTATACTCAATGAAATCGACTTCGACAAGACCAAGGTGAAAAGTTGTTCGTATTTGCGTGAAGGCGCACCAATACCACCTCAACCACCTGTTGGACACTGGAAGCCAGAAGCCTCGGTATGTAGTCCAAGTGAAATGGAATTATGTTCATTTTGATTCCATAAAAGATTTTGAGCACTGATTTTAACCCTTTACGCTTTGACTTCACTTGCAGCAGTTTTTCCGAGACGGTGCACGGATTGAGGCTGCCTTTCGACGGTATTTCCATCGTGCCTTGCCCGATCAGGAGAAGGATAGTTATACGCTAATTGTGGGACACGGCAATGTAATACGTTACTTTGTTTGCCGCGCCTTGCAATTCCCGGCAGAGGGTTGGCTGCGCATTAACATCAATCATGCATCAATCACATGGCTAACGATTAGTCCGTCCGGCAATGTCTCAATTAAATATTTAGGCGATACCGGTTTCATACCCGCCAAGCATTTGACCAATCGCATACCACGAGAGGCCAAGAACGTTGTCTAACTGTAATCTCGAGACGTATTACTCGCGTTTGCTCCTTCCCACAAGGCTGGTATGCAACCTAAACAATCAGTATGCAATAATAAACATACAAATGCTGTTGTCCACAGATAAGACTATTTTTTACTATGAACGTAAATAAATTGAGATTTATATTGTTTCACATTAATGAATACAAATCAATTGAAAGTTTTTGCTTATAACTGGCACATACAAATTGTAAATTGAAGCTCAATAAATAAAAGTGCTTTTATATAATAATCTGTCAATGACAATTACAATTACATATAAGTTATTGTACTCCTCTCTTGATGCCACAAATTATTTTTCGGCGTTTTTATTTACATTACATGCCGCAAATACAACATTAACTGTCAACTGAAATCGCGGCAAGTTGCTGACTATCGATATTTACGCCGACCATGAGAAGTAGCTGACTATGGCTATCGATATTGCATGCGCGCATGTAAATGAAATTGTTGTTGCCTGTCCACTTGCATGCTGAAACATGCAGAATTTATTGTTGTTTCAGTTAGTGCTTTTATCACCGGTGCTAGATTTGTATAATTGCTGCTGGAACTGGAGTATTCCCTTTTATTATTAAATACAGTCAATCAAAAAGTAGGAAAAACACAAACAATATGACGGATAAAACACTCAAACTGTCTTTAAGGAATACCCAGGCCATCAGCGACAAAGATAGCGATCTTCTGTTGCCGACTGCAACAAAGAAGTCGCGACGTGTTAAACGGAAATTGTTGAAAAGGAAGATACAGCACAACTGGAAGGAGGAGGAAATTAACCGTTTGATTGCTGCTGTGGAGATGGAGCCATCGATTTGGATGGACGGCCCGCTGCAGTATAAGTCAGCTAGAAAGCACTGCTGGAACGCTGTTGTGGCCCAGCTGGCCATCGCTGATGTTGACGTGAACGAGGCTAAAACAAAATGGTCCTCGCTTCGTGTCACCTTTCGTCTAAATTTGAGCAAAATGAATAACGCTAGCTCGACGAACGGGAACGCTGTTGTCTGGCGATATTTCAATCAAATGTCCTTCTTGAACTCCAGTTGTCAGACTCATCAATCGAATGTTTTGGTAGACTATTTATCTGTTTATATTTGCATAGGGCTGCAATTGATTTCTTTGCCTTTCGCTTGCAGCTCAAGGAGGAGTTGACTACACCTGTGCAAAGTCCATTGCCTACGTCAGACAAGCGACGACGTACACGCGGCCGTCCTGACTGCTCCTCCTCTACTTTACTGCCGGCCACGATGAGCATTTCCTCTGAAACTCCAGCATCGGCACCTGCATCGATCTCGCCGAGACTCGCACCAGCACCAGCACCGACTCCGGCAAATTCTCTATTATTATCTAATGACGTCCCAGCCAGCCCGGAATCCTCCTCATCACCAGCAGCACGCTTATGCACGCCTGCACTTGCGCACGTGTCGGCTGTGCTAAACGACGGTGTTGACGATAGCTGCTCCAAAGCGGACGCCAATGCCGCTTTTTGTGATTACCTTTTGTCTGAAATGCGAACACTTTCCACGGAGGAGGCACGCACACTGCGACAGCATTTAACACGCACCCTGCTGAACTTCATGGAGCATGTGTTGGAGACGTGATTGAAGATCGCTTCTAGAAAAGAACCACCTGAACTAGTTTAGGCAATCTCCCCATGTAAGACTTATGTCAAGACGATATGTTAGTCAACGTTTATCTTTACGGCTTTAAACAACTGTTTATTTATTACTAGAATACCACAAATATATTTGTAAATACTTTATTAAATAGCTCTATATATTAACCAACCCTGAGCACCTGTTGCAAGCGCTGCAGGCATTTGCGTATGCCCACATCCTCGCCAGCGCCGCGTTTCAGCTCGACGCTGTGCGCCTGCTCCCGCACAAAGCCAAAGAGCGGCGCCACCAACTGCGGAGCTCGTTCCGCCAGCTTGATGAGCATCTGGAAGTAGAAGTAGGTGCAGTGCGCCAAATGCTTCTCAGCCAGGTTGCGTATATCAGTCGAACAGATGTCGCGAGCAGCTGCAGAACGCTGGAACTGGGACAAGTTGACCAGAACAGCATAGAGACTGAGCACCTGCACCCGACTGGGCTCCAGTTCGCCAACGAACATTACGTGCTCGAGCAGCGGCACGTGAACTGCACGCAGCAGCGTCAACAGCTGCGCCTCTGCCTCGGGTCCCAGCTCCAGGTCATCCAAGCCCACAAAGAGCTGTTGCAGCACAGTCAGAATGAGACCCACATGCGTGCCCGCCTGGCTGCGCTGCACGGCAAGGAATTGGTTCGCCAGATGCTGCAGCACATAGTGCGCCAGTTCGCCATCGGAGTCCGCTTGCAAGAGCGTGGCATATGGACGCGCCACCAGCTTCACGTTGCTGGAGAAGCCAAAGTGCGGTGTCCAATGCAGCACGAGCTGCTCCAGCGTGCGGCTGAGATACGCATCTGTGCGATATGGCAGGCGTCCAATGCCCTGCAGCAGCACTGGAAATATCTTGTGCAACAGCTGTGGCAGCCGCCCCTCGGGCGCAACGCCCGCCTGCAGCTGAGTGGTGAGCAGGAAACGCACCATGGCCAGGTGGAAGAAGCAGCTGGGCTTTGAGCGGACATAGCAGAGCGTTGGACAGTTATAAATCACAATTGCCAAAAAGTTATAGAAGCGGGCTCCCAGCTCGGGGCGCTCCTGCCGGCTCTGTGGCGCCAGCCACTGGTCAAAGTGCGCCACATACGCATGCAGCTTGTGGCTGAGCTGCATGCGGACGTGTGCCAACGCCTCCTGCTGCTGTGCGCGTCTGCCCAGGGCTCCGAAGAATGCGCACAGCGGCTCCCGATCTGCCAGCGAGTCGGCGTCCAGGCCCAAGGCGCACACCTCCTCCAGCTGGATGACGAACGGATTGAGTGCGAGCACCGCCTCGTGCTGTGCATTGAGCAGCACCAGGGACTTGATCCACACCTGAATGATGAGCATGCTGGACGGCTGTTGGCCACCTGATGCCGTGTCCCGCAGTACATGGAGCAGCAGCTGCGCACTAGCTGCCGTATTGGCCGGCTCGGCACCTTGGAGCAGGCCCTCTAGCAATTTCTTATCCCTGTCCAGTGCCACGAAGTCGGCAGCAAGCTGTGGCAGCCAAGTGCTGTAGCCGCTGACATACTGCACGCGCAGCTGTGGGAGCACATGCTGCTGCAGTGCATCCCACATGCCAGCTGACATGTTGGCCCTCAGCTTCTGGGCAAGCAGATGGAGAGCTTGCCAAACACGCTCCTGGGCCGCCTGTGCACTGTGCTCGATGTAGTGGGCTAGCCAGGGCGCCAGCAGCAGCTGCTCCCCACGGGCGAAGTCATCGGCCAGCTCGAAGATGGGCTGCAGCGTGGCCGCAAAGATGCCGCCCACATCCGTATCGTTGCGCACAGTCGCCAGCTGGGCTAGCAGCTTGCTCACATACTCATCGAGCGGCTGGCGACGTTGCGCGTGCAGCAACAGCACAGCCATGTGACCTTTGGCCGCCAGCTGGCGGCGAGCCGGAGGCAGCTTGTCGAAGGCCAGGCACAGCAGCATTTCGCGCAGCTTCGGCGCCAGCTCCCTGAACTCACCATAGGTGAGCAGTAGGCAAAGGAACAGCTCAATGACATGATGTATGCCCGACTCGTTGAGCGCGAGCAGCTTCGCTGCACTAAACTTGCTGAAGATCCGTCCCAGGAGCTTCTGGGCCTGGTTGCCGCGGCCAAGTGCCGGCAGCTGTTGCAGCGTCTTGCCCAGCAGCAGGGCGAACAGCGTAAAGCTGCTTAGATTCAAGTCATCCGGCAGTGGCTTGGCCAGCAGCGTGCGATAGCGCTCCAAGTAGGCCGATCCACTGGCGCATATCAACGACAGCTGATCCAGCTGAGACTGCCCGCCAAAGTTGCAGTTCAGCGATCGATGCAGGCACTCCCACAACTGGCAGATCACATCCGTATCGGGCTGACCCCAACGCAGCTGCAGCGGCGCCAGCAAACAGAGGTAGACACGCCGCTGCTGCTCATCCGGCTGGCAGGCCAGGAACTGCCTCAGCAGGCAACCAGTCTGGAGCACCTCTGCAGACACTGGCGTTGGCTGCAACAGCTGCATGCCACACGCATCGTAGGCGCCCAAGCGCGCAAGGCTCAGGCGCAGCCAAGCGTAGAACTCATGATAGGCCAGCGCAGGCGCAGCATCCACTGAAAGGAGATTCATGTCAAGCACTAGCTATTCGGCAATGATCACTTAAAAGTCTTACTCTGTTTCTTGTGCCGCTGCATGGCTCTGTGTAGCAATGGCCAGAAGCCAGTGTCCGTATCTGTATCTGCGTCTGTTGGCTGCTGATGCGGATGCTGATGCTGCAGCACCAGCCACAACTCCTTGCAGCAGCGGCACATAAAAGCCGAACTGTGCAGCAGCTCGGCGCTGTGTTTGCTTCTATAATAGAAACTGGCGCAGAGCACCAAGTCGTCCAATGTGCGCTCCAGTTGCGACAAGTACACGAGCTGTGACGTCGCATCGAGCTCTTGCAATTTGTGCAACAGGCACAGGTCCAGCAGACGCCATTCGAGTGCGCCGTGATAAAAATGATAGGCAGGCGCCTGGCACTCATTGCCCTTGGAATGCTCCGCAAAGTACAGAATGCGCCATGTGTCCGCGTCCAGGCAGCTATTGATTAGCTCACGTAGCTGAACAATAGCTGGCGCTAGTAGCTGCAACTGCTGTTCGTCCACCTCGTGTAGTAGCCAGAGATAGTAATGAGTGACCTGCTGGCGTGCCTTGTACCAACTGCTGGCAGCATGCAACGAGGACTTGGATTGCAGCTGCTGCTGACCTGCCATGGCTGCGCTGAGCTTCTGTATTTGCTTGCTAGGCGGATATAATAGATGAGTACATATAGCTCATGTATATTTATTGATGCCATCTATGTTACTCACCACGATTCGCCATGCACATAGCGCAAGACAGCGCAGACTTGCAGCTGTTCCGGCTCGAAGTCGAAGCACAATTTTTCCAGCCGACTGCGTGGCAACGGCGCCTTTAGCGCGTATCCATTGCGCACGAAACTATGTTGGGGAAAGTCTGTATGTGTCTTAATAGTATCCCTCCCTCCGCAGTTGAACTCGGGCAGCAGCTCCAATATACACTCGTCATGATCAAGGTGATCATTGCTTTGTATCTCCTCTGCTGGCTCTGGCTGTGGCTTTTGTGTTGCTTGTAAGAAGGCTGTGAGTATATCCTCATCGTCGTCCGATTGGAACAGATCATAATCCATTCTAGCGTCTAGCGATCTCTAGGGATGCTCTTTCGCTATGACGATTCCATTTCCCGCGGAGATCAACTTTAATGAGTGAGTTAAAAGACCGCCACTGTTATGAGGCCCTTCAGGCTATTAATGTTAATGTTAGCTAACAGCTCTGTTCTGGCGCTTCATTTTCGACTGTTGTCTTGTCCTCTAACTTATGGATTGGCGGGCACTTGAGCAGGGATCCGGTAAATGCTAAAAAGCAACCAAACTACGATATATCAGTAGTCGACACCATAAAAATGGGCGTCCCTTATTTTAATTCGTTTAAATAAAAACACTAGGTAGATAATTTAATTGCATAGCAGAAAATGGACATGTATATAGTATTAAATGGTTGATAAAGTTGAGCAAGTTTTCGCGATAACTAATGATTTTCTATGCCAATTTATATATTTATGCTTACGTCTTGTTCTACCTATTCGAAAATTGATGCTTCAAAGATGCTTCATTTTTATACAAGTAATTAAGCGCACGCAACAATTTCAGAAACTGTGATGTCACACGCTTAACGTAAAATGTTAAACAGCATCAACACAGCCAGTTGCCATATGTACCCTAGTGGCAGCAGTGCACTGTTAAAAGACACAGTAGGTTGCGCAAAGAGCAGTCCCGTTACTTTTAATGTTAACTAACAGCTCTCTTGTGACGTCACATTATCAGATTTTGCTATGTTATCCCGGCTGAAGCTTGGAAGGCATTTCAGCAGAGATCGACTAAGTCGTTCAAAACAACCAAAACTAACTATATATAAAAAATTTCAATAGTGAATACCTTTAAAATGGTCAATCACTAATTTTATTACCATACAATAAAGAAATTAATTATATAATGGAATGAACTGGGAGGCCTCTCGAATGCAGCAAAAATGGCCAATAAGTCAGCAGGAATGGTTGATGGACATAGTTAACTGGGTTTTCGCCATCAGTATTGTTTATTTATGCCAATTTACCTACACATTTAAAATTGTACACGTTGTCAGAAACATGTCATGTCAGAAACATCCGGTAGAATGAACTAATATTTGTGTATTAATTGCCAAGTCGTAAACTTGTATGATTATAAGTATTGAAACCTAAGGAAACACATAATCCTCCTGAATCAGCTCTTAAAACTTAGGCAGAAGCTAACAATGCTGCGTATCATCTATGGCCATCGGATTTGTAATATAAAGAATGAAATTAGTACGTATGATTATGCGGATTGATGGGAAATGCATAATACTTAGTAGTAACTTTTTAGCTTTACAAATTCAAGCCTTAGATAGTAAGGTTAAGTCCATTATATGCAAGAGTAAAAGTGGTCAAGGGATTGCATGATCAATAACTGCTTAGAAAACAATTTAGAGTATAAAAATTAGCAAAAACCTTTATATTTTCCGATTCGTGAATCTATATAGAACATGTGATTAGCCGCCCAACTCGTTTTATTTAGTCTACTAGTTTTAAGACAAATAACAGTGTCAAAGTTGTTTGATTTTCATACAAATTCAAACGCGCGCCCACCATTTTCTGAAATAATGACGTCACGCTGTCAAATCAGCTGTTCGCTTTGCATAACCTACTATCACTCAATCGTGGCAGCAGTGGTGTCTTTTGACAGTACAATCGATTAAAACTACTTCGATTCAAGGATTTTAACATTTTAGTGTACGATAGTTGTCATCGTATACTCGTATAACACAGATGTATAAGCAATCGTATATCGACGTTTGACATCTGAGTTCAGTTTCGGGCATCAGTCTCATAAATTGAAACAAAGCGAACGGAGAAACAATTTTACTAGCTTTCTGCTTGCAATGGAGGTTGACGAGGATGAATTCGAAGTGCCATCGAGCAGCAGCAAGGGAGAAAAGAAACGTTTTGAAGTTAAGAAGGTAAATACCATTAATTTATTCATATGCAAACTGTTTTTTTTATTAAAAAAGACACAAAATGGCGAATTTGCAAAAACATGGCGTGTAACTAATTTTTCTCTTATGCTTTTTTGTACTTCCAGTGGAATGCCGTAGCACTATGGGCATGGGGTAAGTCTGCTCCCAAACCAAAATACGATGTAAGTGTATAAGAAAAATAAATAAATCATTTCTTATTGCAGATATCGTTGTGGATAATTGCGCTATTTGCCGCAATCATATAATGGACTTATGCATCGAATGTCAAGCAAATCAGGCATCAGCCACCAGCGAGGAGTGCACCGTTGCCTGGGGCGTTTGCAATCATGCTTTTCATTTCCATTGCATTTCTCGTTGGCTTAAGACTCGTCAGGTCTGCCCACTTGATAATCGTGAATGGGACTTCCAGAAGTATGGACACTAAGACTTGCAGCAACTGAAATACAATTACAAATACAACAACAGCAACCAAACACACACACGCGAGCGCGAGCATACACACACACATGTGCGAGCACACACACACAATACACAACACAAAGAAATAATAGGATACTGACGTCGCCGAGTATTTTCGGTGTTTTGAGGCATAAGACAAGTCCTCAATCTATATCAAACTTAGGTTAAAATTCATGAGTTTGTTTAATATAAGAAATTGCATGTTGCACACATAAGTTTGTTGGTTTTTTTATATTCCTATTGGAAATAGGGAAGTCATTTTTTGCTTGCTTACTTCGAAATGTTTCCAATAGTAAAAGTATTACCGTTAATCGTAGTTTCCAGTTCACTGGGAATGCTATAATGGTCCGGCCGTTGGTAGCACAAAAATATGGATTAGCATAGCCATCTTTTCTTATTGCACAAATTATTTAGTTGAATTGAATCATTGAATTTTAAAAAAGTAACCTTCGATGACAAAATTGCCAAAAAATTGCACACAAAATATATGTATGTACATATGTGTTAGCTTTATTACAACCACGTATTCCCTCTAACGGTTTTTGACTACGATTTAGTTTTTATTTAACAATCGTTTTTTGGACAATCTAACAGTTTATGATCTAAGAAAGAACTAAATTAATATCTTGAATTATTTGTGCAATGCCATCTTGTCCGGCCGTCTGCCCGTAGAATGAAATCTTTTAAACTAGAGACTTGAAATTTGGAACATATTCTCATGTATACCCTGGTACTATAGTGTCAAGGTTTTCCCAGTCAGCCTGCTAGAGGCGTGGCAAATCGGCAAATGCATTTTCCAGTAACTCAGAAGCCATTCTAGTTGAAGAGCTAGAGTTGCAACTTGAAATGTTATACTCGCATTGTCAAGATCAGAAGATATGGTGCATATATCTACGCCCATTAGGGGCGTGGAAAATCGGGTAAACCAGTACAGCTCTACAGTATTAGAGCTAGAAACCCCAGACTTGGCACGTGAGTTACTGGTTCGATCCAATAATATATATCCATGCCCACTATAGGGGTGGTAAATCGGATTTGACTATATAACGGTCTATGCAAATCAGATTATTTATAGGCATCAAATTTGGGATATATACTCGGGTGTACAACCCAAGGCAAAAACATATGCCGGATATATCTACGCCCATTTGGGGCGTGGTAACCCGCAAACGTTTGTATCTCTCAAAGTGTGATAAATTTCGAATCGAAATTGGATAGTTGATTTACTGGAGGCCTTATCTATCGATGATAGTTGTAACGTCCATTTGAGGACGTGGCATATTACAAAATACCCTGTAATTTTCCAAATGTTGCACTTACGTTACCTTAGATGTCTTTTGAGAATCAACCAAATATCGATTGATGCTGTAGGCATCCAATATTGCCGGGGGAGTAGAAAATCGACAAATGGACCTGCCGCCGTCTGAGTCGTGAATGTCGTGAGAAACGGCCAGCTGCGCCTTCAGCCCACCGGACGTGTTTTTAATAGAGGAAAGCTCAGAAATATTAATGATCAAACCTAGTTTGTTTAATTTATTATTATTATGAATGTATGCGCTGCTGCCGTGCAAAAGAGTGCACAGCACAATTACATGTGAATCGGTATGTTTGTATATATTTAAAAAAAAAATAATCATAAAACTATATTAAATAAAACTAGCTGATGCGGCGGCGTACGTTTGATATTTTTAACCGCTCCATATGAACTGCATTCTTTGCTATTCCTCAATGCGAGGAGCTGCGGCTTCCAGGCAGAGCGATACGCCGGGCATTCCACTTATGTATGTATGTATGTATATGTACTTATTGAATTTGTAAATATGGTATAATTGTTTGTATATCGACTAATTTATATGCTAGTCTTAAAAAATTAAACACAAAAAATGTAATATAATTATGCAAAATTGATTTGTAGGGCCAAATACATATTTGTAGGTGTGTGTGTGTGTACTACGTGTAAATTTAAATTATTAATAATAAATTAAAACTAACATGAACTGCACGAAAATGTCAATGAATTATATTGCCTGGGCTTACAAAATTTACTGCAAGTACATACACACATACACATTGCATTCTTGCTTGTAACTACATATACACGTATGTATTCATGTATGTGTGTATATTCTCTTCTCTCCAACAACATAACGAAAGAAAGGAATACAAATACAAATACAAATACAAAATAGTGAATGAAACAACTTTTTCGCAAGTCATCAAAATTATTGTTGTTTTGTTTTCAATTTGCAGCGTTTATTTTTTGTTGTTATTTTTCTTTTTATTATTATTATTTTTTTATTCTTTAAATATATGTTTATCTTTTTAATTGTTATTTAAATAAATTTTATATGCATATGTATATATATATATATATATATATATATGTTGTAGATATATATCTTTTATTTTTATTTAATTTTTGTGTTTTTATATACAATTTTTGTTTGTGTAAAATGAATTTTGGTTTACTAATGCTTGTATGCATTTCTTGTTTATATATACCACCTATATAAGTATGTATATGTATATGTAAATTGAGTTCGGACATATATACACACATATATATGTATATAATATATTGCTTTTGATGCTATTGTTTGCTTCTATTGTTGTTATTGTTGTTCTTTTACTGCTCTACGTTGTTGGCTTATATTCCTTGTTTTCTCATTTCATATACACATAATATAATATAATATGTATTTTAGTTTCTTTTGTTTTTTCTTCTTTAATATTTTATAAATTTATCTTTAATTGTAAGGCGTCTAAAACCGCTGCTAATTGCGTTTGTGTATAATTTTGGGTATTCATGTGTGTGTGTGTTTATGTGTGTATTGATGTGCATTGCATTTAGAATATATTTGTTATATGTTTGTTATTTTTCCCGTTTGCTTCTTTGTTCACAATGTTTAAAAGATAACCGAGAGTAAGAGTGAGAGAGACTGAGAGTTTTGCCGTCTGTGTGTGCTCCTCTCCTTCAATCAATGGCAATATTAATATTCCTTGCTTTTCCAACTGCTGTCGCTGCTGCTTTCGCTGCTGCCTTGGGCGGCGCTGTAGTTGTTGTTGCTCCAGTGGGCGTTGCACTGATTTACTTTGAATTTGTTTACAGTTATACATCATTTCGTTTTGTTGTTGTTGTTTTGATTTTAACTGTACAGGATTTGTATGCGTTTTAATTCTATTCTTAATTTTTTAACTATGTTGCTGCTGTTGCTGTTACTACTGTAATTATTATTGATGTTGTTATTATTATTAAACTTATTAGCATTGTTATTAACACCACCACCATCACCAACTGCAACAATTTGTTTAACACACGCTTTTTTGCTACACTTATGCTTTAAATATCCATCTGCAATGCCGAGAGAGAGAGAGAGAAAGAGAGATAAAGAAAGAAAGAAAGAGAGAGAGAGAGAAAAGGGAGAAAAATAGAAAGAAAAGCAAAAAGAAATGTATAATCAAATGTATGCTAAAAGAACAGACTTCCTGTTTTTCTTGCTTGTTTGGTTTTGCTTTCTTTTACTACGCAAACTGTTATACTTTTGTTGATAGTATTAGAACAAGCGGACATAAGAGACTCTCACTAAGCTCTGCTGACAGACAGACAGAGTTGCCATACTGCTTAAAGCATACACACACCTGCAGACGAGACCTAACGTTAACAACAAAGGAGGGGAGGGCGTTGGGGCGGCAGCTTCAGAGCTAGCAGCAGGCAAGGGGCAGGTTTCAAATGTTGTTGCAGTTGTTGTTGGCAATGGCAGCAGCGCAGTCAATTCGCATAGAGATCAGTCGTTGGTTATTTGTTGCTATGTTGCTGTTGTTGTTGCTGCTGCTGCAGCTGTGGCGATGAAGATGTTGGCTGCTGTTGTTGCTGTTCAGACAATTTGCATGCCTGCTGTTGCTGCTGTTGTTGTTGTTGTTGCTGTTGCAGGCCGGCAAAGGTGGTTGGGGCGAGCAGAGCGCAAGTGCCAAAGGTGTGCTTAGGCATGGAAAGAAAGCTGTGCGTGCTGGACACGCTGCTCGCAGCAATTGTTGCGCCGTTGCTGCTGCTAATTGTTGAGCTGTTGCTATTGCTGTTGTTGTTTATGTTGCTGTTGCTGTTACTGTTATTGCTATTGGCATGGTTACTGCTGCTGCTACTGCTAACGACAGCCTGTGCCTGCTCTGCACATCGTTTGGTGCTACCAAATGTTGTCTGTTGTTGTTGCTGCTGCTGCTGCTGCTGTTGGTAGTAGCCCATGTAACTACTGTTACTGCGGCTGCCATTCAGCTGATAGCTGCTTGCCGGCGATTTGGAGCGTGTAAAGAAATTGGTTGTCGAGGTACAGGCCGACTGAAAGGAGCTTACACTGGATGTTGTCGAAGTGGGCGAGTCAGCTGCAGGCATTCGTGGCTGACCAATTATTGCAGCTGCCGCAGTAGCAGTAGCAGGAGCAGTAGCAGCTGCAGCTGTAGCATCTGCTGCTGTTGGGGATGCCGCTGTTGCTGGTGTTGTGGTTGTTGCAATCGCTTCAACTGTATCGGATGCCGTCGATGTTGGCGTGCTGTTGCTATTCAACGACGAGTTGTTGACAGTCATGCTGGTTGCTCCGCTGCTACTGTTGCTGCTGGCGTAGGAAGCATTAAAGGATTCATCGCTGGTGCCACTGCCAGCACCGCTGCTGCTGTTGAGTTCATCGACACCGCTGGCTTCTTTTGCTGACGTTGCTGCGGCATTGGTGGCTGTTGTATGTGTTGGTGGAATGTCTATTGTATGCGACTCGTTGCCAAAGATTAGGCGTAAACGCTTCTTTTGAGGCGTGCCATAGATGCTATTAGTGCTGGCAGCAACTGTTGCTGGCGGTGGTGTACAGCTGACAGTTTTCAAGCCGCGGCGACGACTGCGTCGTGATTTTTCTTTACTGCGCCAGTTGGTGGCATCCAGTTGTTGCTTTTGTTGCTGCTCCGAGTCCCCTGCCTCCTGGTCGACATCTTGTTCTTCAACTTCCTCCTCCTCGTCTGCCGCTTCCTCGTCTTCAGCTTCAGCTTCAGCCTCAGCTTCACCGTCATCCTCCTCCTCCTCCTCCTCCTCTTCTTCCTCTTCCTCCTCCTCCTCCTCATCGTCATCATCATCGTTACCATGCTCCGAAATGCCTTCCATGCGCAATATTTCATATTCAATGCCGCTGCTGCTGCTGCTGTTGGCATTGTTGTTGTTGGCGCCACTGCTGCTGCTGCTGCTGCTGCTGTTGTTTTGATTGTTATTGCTGCTGTTGTTTTGATTGCCACTATTGCTGCCGCTACTGTTGCTGTGCGTATTGTTGCCCGCTTGTCCCGTTCGGCTGCCAGCAATATGTCCATTTTGTAGTGCATGTTGTCGATCCTCGCCCAAGCTTGTGCCGAGCTCGAAAACCTCATCGAGAATCGGCGAACGTTTCATTCTTAAAGTCAGCTTTAGCCGTCGCTCTGGAGTCTTTAGAAGCGGCTCCACAGTGCTGCTGCTAATTACGGCTGCTGTTGCTGCTGCTGTTGATGTCGCTGTTGTTGCTGCTGCTGCTGTTGTATGTTGACGCTTACGTTGCAGCACGCCACCAACAGCCTCGCAGTGTATATGCTCTGCAGCTGCCAACGCAGCGGCACGTCGACTGCGCTTCTGCTTGTGTGGGGAATCATCAACAGGTGTTGCTGCTGCTGCTGTTGTTGTCGCTTGACGCTTGTTGTTGCCTGCGCTAGTCTGCTCAAAGCTAGACAATAGGTTCTTTTTATATGCGGGACTGTTGCTGCGACTACGTCTTGATGTGGCTGATGCTGCTGCTGCTGCCGTTGCCTGTTCCTGCTGCTCACCTGCCGTGGAGCAGTTTGACGACGAGGGCATCATCATGTTCGCTAAAGAAGCTGTTGATGCCGTTGCTGCTGCTGCTGCTGTTGCTGCCGCTGCCGCTGCCGCCGGCTCGGTCGATTTTAGTTTGCGATCACTAAATCTAGCGCTAACATTATTTCTACAGCTATTACTAATATTTAAATTATTACAATTTGTAATCGTTGTTTTTATGTTGCTGCTGTTACTGTTGCTGTTGTTGCTGGCAGTTATTGTTGCTGTTGTCGCAGCTGCTGCTGCAGCCGCTGCTGCTGCTGCACGTCCGGCGCTGTTGCGTGTTACGCGCTTCTCTTGTGTAGTTGCTGCTGCTGCTACTTCGTTGCATTGCTGCTTTAGCTGCTGTTGTTGGTGGTGGTGCAAATCCGTATCGCTGCTCTCGCTATCCGTTAGATATTTGCCCAGTATCTGTGCTGCATCCTTACTGACCTTTTGACGCTGCGTTTGCCGCTCGCTGCGTCTAAGCTGCCGCTGCTGCTGGCGTTGCTGCTGCTGGCGTTGTTGCTGCTGCTGTTGTTGCTGCTGCTGCTGCCGTTGTTGTTGTAGCTGTTGTTGCTGCTGCTGCAATGCTGCAACAGCAGCTGGCTTATAACGCGGTACCAGTACCACAGGCGCCTTATTGGCCATTGTTGTAGTCGTTGTTGTTGCAGTTGCAGTCGCTGTTGCTGTTGCACAGCCCAATGGCGGTTCATCAGTGGATGCTGTCGAAATGGTACTGCTGGTGCTGTTCACACGCGTCGATTTGCGTAACGTTGCAGCAGCAGCGGCAGCGGCAGCAGCAATAGCAGCTCGCCCATTACTCAGCTCGGCAGCTGCCTGTGGCTTTTGCATGGCTGTCGCCTGGCTGGCGGCTTCAGCAGCGTTACTACTGGCTGTTGCGGCAGCAGCTGCTGCTCCTGTTGTGTGTGGCAGGTGAGTGTGAAAATGATGCATATGGTGATGATGATGATGATGCTGCGGCTGATGCGGATGGTGATGCTGCTGCTGCTGCTGTTGATGATAGGCCGCATTAGCCATTATCATTTCGGCATCGTACTTAGTCATGCCCTTCTGTCGCAGCTCTTTCATAGTCAGCGGTGAGACAATCACATTGGGCTGCTTCTTGTCCAGCGACAAGGCTGCTGCATTCAGCTCCAGGCTGCTGCTCTTAGGCCTACCAACAGCAGCTGTGGCTGCAGCTGTTGCTGCTGTCGGTGCAACAACACCATTTATGTTGCTGCTGTTGTTGTTGCCCGCATTGCTGCTGCTGTCGTTACTGTTGCTATTGGAGGTGCTGTTGGTGCTGTTGGCGCGACTCTTGATGCGATTGATGCGATTGTCCGTCTCACGTAAGCGATAGCCTCCGCCATTGGCGCCGCCGGCAGCGCCCAGGCCCAGCCCCAAGCCTAAGCCGTTGGTCAAACCAAGCATTGCCTCATTTAACTGATTTGCCGAGTGCTTGCCCGCAAAGGCGCCTGTCCCGCGTCGCTCGCACGTCTCGCACTCGCAGTATCGATTGCTATCGCCAAAGAAATCCTCTCCATAGAAACACGTAATCTCCTCGCCCACCTCAATGTCACGCAACACCTTCACGCACGCCGTGTCCCGGCCCGTGGCAAGGAACTTGCAATTCGCACGGCAATCGTGATTGATGTAGGCGGCGGGTCCCAGCCACAGTTGAGCGCAGTTCTTGCGGCAACTATACATCACAGAGAAATCATTTTTGCCCGAATGCAACAGCGCTGCCTCCTCGGCCTCCGTCAGCTCGGCAATGCAACCGACCAGGCATTCGATTTTTTCGTTCTTCGACCAACGCTTCGTTGAACTAATTTTCGCACCACGTTGCTCCTCCAGCGAATATCGATAGCATGCCTCGATCGCAAAGCCACTGTCCTTGTCGAACACACGCAAATAACGTACAATCTGATTATGTAGGATAGAAAAGATAGTTTTTGTTCAAATTAGTATTTTCGAAGAACAAGTGTAAGAGACAGAGGGAGAGAGATAGACACAAATGGCATCTCACAGATGTTATTTTTTACCAATGCATTGCATGTACCATATAAATCAATTTTATGATTGATTTTCTGATCTGTAGCAGTAGCAGTAGATATCTGCTATCGATAACAATTCAAGCTGCATTTTTACGGTAATACCAACACCTGAGAAGCAATTTGTGGATTTAAAGCCACTTACATGATCGTGCAGCCGCTTGGTGGCTATCTTGTTCTTATTCTTGAGGTGACGAGGTATCCAGGGTCCATCGAAGATGCGCTGTATGGCAATGTCATAGTTCTGTGTGTGTATAAAGTCATCGACAATCGCTTTCAGCTGCTGTGTATCCACTTTCAGGGGCCTAAAGCGTATATTCATTTTGTGCGTCTGAAAGCCCAAATGTGGATCCAATATCAGCGATGTGGCCAGATCATCGTTTTCAGATAGCTCGCGTGGGGACATGCCCGTCGATTGTGATAGGCGACTAACGGCGCTGCCGTTACAACCGTTAAGGCTGCCACCCATATGAACCACTGCACCAATGCCATGCGATGAAGACGTTGATGATGATGATGATGTTGATGTTGCTGAAGAAGATGATGTTGCTGCTGTTGCAGAACTAATATGATGCTGCTGTTGCGACTGGTAATGATGATGATGGTGATGGTGATGATGAGAATGATGCTGCTGTTGCTGATGTGAGTTGCTGGTGTTGGTGCTGCTGCTGTTATTATTGTTGTTGAGAGTTTGGCTCTTGTTGTTATTGTTGTTGTGTGACACTGACGACGCCGACGACGACGACAACGTCGTCGCCGCCGCCACTGACGATGCGTTTGTAATTGAAGACGTTGCGCTGGTGGAGTTGTTGCCACTATTCGTGTTGCCGCTGTTGCTACTGCTGCTATTTGTATATCTGCCGGCAGTCTCACTGCGCCGCGTATGATTCGAACCGACGACCATTCTGTATAATATGCAGTCTGTAAACAGAAACGATCATAAATACAGGAGGAATCGAATTTATAAATAAAAGAAAATAAATTCGATTTAGTTTCAGCACTCTGATTTTACTTAATGTCAATCAACAATGTGGCCATCTACATTTTATACAAATATTTAACTACATAAAAAATATATATTGCCTTTGCTTATTTTTATTATTTTTGGTATTTTTGCAGTTAGTCTTTTTGAATGGTTAACAGCATACTAAATAGTATTAAAAAATGAATGATTTTAGTGATATGGCAGCTTGCTTTCGATCTGTGAAGTGTGAGAGCGAACAACACACAAAGAGAGTAATTGTAATTTTAATGTTACTGTAGCTGTTAGCCCTTTGCAATTTTTATAATATGCTTAATACGTAGTTCATTTAATTAGGCATGTTTGTGTATTAAATATATAAATAAAGCCTCGCCGCAATAGTCTTCCCTATTTTTTGTATGAAAAGCAATTTTCTATAGAAAAAAACAGACGAGCTGGCAACATCGATTTCCAGGCACGGAATATCTACCCCTACACACACACATACGCGAATTCACAGAAAAGCTCTCAGAAGCAAAAGTTGTATCTGCCGACGCCGCTGATAATGATAAGCGTACACAATTTGTGAGTCAAAGCCAAGCCGAATAGCCAGCCAGACAACTACGATGCACAAACAAAAAAATTTACATACATACATATATATAGTACACTATGGGCTACCATTTCAATATACCATAATATAAAATCGGCCAATTTAACTTGGAAAAAAAAAAAAAAAAACAAAAAAAGAATATGGCTTCGCTCTATGCTGTGGGTGGTTGGAAATAAAGAAAAAAAAAAATTGCGAGGTCGACAGACGGCACGTTTGCTCTCACTATTCTGACCACCGCTCTCTTTAAACTCATACACGTGCAAAGCAAAAATCAATTAACATGGCAGCACATGTACATTAAAATCACTAATACAATCACAAGTTTGCTTATAGCAATATAATGTAAGTTTAAAACTTTTTAGGTTTAATTATGCACAGCACACACAGCTTATAGAGCAATATATGTATATATATATATATATAAAAAAATATATATTTATATATATACATTACAGCGATAGCGGCTTTGTCGTATTGTCTACTGCTGCAATAGTTGCAAATGTGTATGTCTGTATGTATTCTATTTTTTTTTTTGTGCCTAAAAGCTGCTGCAGCTCTCAGCTGTTTGAAAGACGGCCAGACACTTGGCTGCAAGAGAGAGGGAGAGAGGCTACTATGCACTCATGCGCATTGCAGACCATATAAATGAGAGTGACCTGCGCGAGGTTGCCACTTTTGAGTAAAGTTTTCGGTATTTTGGATAATCTACTTTTGTATGCCTATGTAAATAAATAAGCAATGGAAGTGCTATTTCGAATATTATTTCGTATACAAATACAATTTTGTTGTTGCACTATTTTGATTTTAGAGCTGCATAAAAACTTAAGACTTGTGGCAGCTCCATCGCCGATAAACTACATGCACAACGCTCTCGCACACACACATAGGCAAAAATGTCAACAAAGAAAAAGGTTGACTGCAGGGTTGTCAAATGTTTTGAAGCAACAAACGTAGCAAATTCTATATTAGCGAATTGTACTTGCTAAAAATGGTTTGTCAGCTGTGTGTGTTGCGACCTTAATAGGAAGCTTTTTACATAGCCAAATACAATAAAACGCAGCATTGCAGACAACGGTTGGTTTGTTTTTCATGCGCACATTGCCAACCCTAGGTCCAGGTCTTTCTTTCAGCTTGTTACATGGATCACACGGAAAATGGCGGCGCCTATTACACATATACACATGTACATGTATACATGTATGTACCTTTAATAATATTCACTGAGGTGGTGGTGGTGGTGCTGCTGCTGTCTGCTGGTTGATTCTTTCGCTTATGGGTGATGCCACTTTGTCTGTTGCTTCAATCGCTCAGTTCTTCCTTTTTCCAATCTTTCCGTCGTCCAGCGGCAGAGGCACTATCGTACGTTTATACGCACAGGGCTTGTTTTATTACGGTGCGGGGCGGCTTTGTATATGCTTTATATCCAAATATCACAGTTGTAGCCGCAGTAGAACATCGTACGTACTTTGGCGTTTGTTTTGTTGTTGTAGTAGTCGCCGTCGGCTGTGCCAGTTCATTTTTATGTTTTTCTTTCAACGCTCAAACGCCGACGTTCTGTCCCCACCTTTCCTCTCCCATTGTCGTGGAGTCGGAGACTCAACTCGGTAGCTAACGCACGCACACACACACACACACACACACGACCGCACAACACCAGCGCACACTCACACACAGTCATACATGCATGTGTAGATACATATATTCCTTCGCAACGACGTGCGTGCGTATGTATGTTGTATGTGTGTGCCTTCTTTTTTCAACTACTTTGCATGAACGCGACGTCTCATTTTCTCATATTTCTTTTCTATTTATGACGCGTGTATTATTAACGTTAATTAATAATATTTAAATATATTTGTACAATAAAATGCTATGCTTGCGGCCGAAGAAAAAAAAAACACGCACGCGAGTAACGATTATTTTTAATGTACTTTTCCGCGTTACAGTTCTCCGCGATTCCGTTTTTTCGCATTTTATGTAGCAATCTGTGTGACCAACAAACACTCATTGAGGAATCGCCGGAGTGTGTGGAAAAATACTAAATGTATGTTTTTTTTTGTTTTTGACTGCATGCAGTCAACGGTAATAAAGTTCATATTTGTATATTCATATATAGATTATAACTGTTGTTGATTAGCCAAAACAGTCACAATTTAGTGAATTTTGTGCCAGCATTTATTCAGGGAGAATTAAACCAGATGCAAATCAGTTACATATGTGCGGAAAAAGACTAAAATTATCCTGCATACATATGATGCGGCGAAAATAGTCGTTAACATAAAATACCCTAAATATGGACAGCATTAAAAAAGTAACGTTTATCAACATAAATTTATTTGTATTTCAATGATTGATTAATGCATCACGTTAATTTTTGCTGTTCATTTAAAAGACACTTAAATTTAATTACTCTGGCAGCCCTGTCCTTAACATTGCAATTTACATCTTCCGGCGAATATAGCTGTTAACCTAACATGTCCTAAAAATGGCCAGAGTACAAAACAAACTACTGTCGGTGTGTTTATTTACATATCAAAAAGGAAGTCGATGTGAATGTTATTACCTGTAAATCGACTGGCAGACAACTGCAACGCGAGTAATCACAGCACAACCAATGCATAATGAGACTATATCCGTATTTAGTTGCCGTCTGCTGCATCCACGTGCTTTATGCCTGTAATCATTGGGTGCTCAACGATGAGCAAATTGTCCAAAAATTGGATTCGCCCTTCTTTATGCGTGAGCCTCATAATTTGATTGCCTTTCTGGAGCAGATACGCTACAATGAGTACGTGGAGCGTAGCTACTTAGAGCTGTTGCGTAAACGTGAGCAAATTGTTGAACATTTACGCTTTTCCATGCGCTTCGGCGAGGATCTGGCCGAGCAGGCTAAATGCGCCATGGACTACTATCTGCTAGAGAAGCGCATGTCTTATCTGAAGATAACACCGGATCAGCTAAAGCGCATCAATTTGCCGGAGCACCGTGAGTTACAGCAACACATGCCACACGGCGGCTTCAAAAGTAAATCCAATCGTGATCAGGAGCCAATTTGCAAAAACTATCAAGAGTTGGGCGTGGGTCCAGCGACATATGACCATTTGGATAGCTTCCAGCCGGAGGTGCTGGAGTCCGCATACGTAGAGCGGGAGCATGATACGAACATTGGCCAAGCCACCGTTGAGCTGACGCGTCGCTTTGCTCTAGAGGGTCTACAAAGGCAGCCCGATTCATGGAAATTCCATACTCTTAGCTCCTACTATTGGCGGATGCGTGGCAATGCGTTGCAGGCGTTGCCCTGCGCGCGCCTTGCAGTTATGTTAGCTCCACCCGAACACAAAGACATTCCACTCCTAAGTCTCGGCACCATTCTCTTTCGCATGGGCCGACTGGCCGATGCAGATCTGATATTGAGTGCGGCGGTGGAGCACGCACCGCTCGTGGCTGAGAATCATGTGGTGTTGGCATCGGCACTGGCCATGAAACATGATTTCAATCGTTCGCAGTTCCATTTCGATGAGGCGGAACGTCTGGATCCAAGCACCCTGCCACGCACACAGCAAGTACGGAATTTCATCACCTGCTTGGAGAATCTCACAAAGAAGACATCGAAAATGTACAGCTATGTAAAGTACATGAAGAACGAGCTGAAGGAGTTCAAGAAGCTGAAGCAACGTATTTTCCAAAGCCACGAGCGATTAGTCCAACAGCAATTGCCACTGGGCGCACGCCGCTTCCTCGATTCGCGGGCCAACAACGAGGATTTGCACCGGCGGGGACAATATTGCAGTACCCGGACACCGAATGGTTCCGATGAGCCGGTGCTCTTCTGTGACTTCTACTCCGACATGCAGATGCGCTTGGAGAGCAAGGACATTGACATCGAGGTGCTCGAGCGCGATCTGATGGCCAGCACGGAAAGTGTCATTCGCCAAGTCTCCACCGAAATACGCAAGCAATTCAATTTGGAGCAGCTGAAGGCAGCCAAGGCACAAATGCCCGCAAAAGCTACAAAGTCTACGTAGTTGGAGTCGGAGACATCCAAGCTCTTGCTTTCCCTCTCTTCCATTTGCATTCCATAAAAGCGAAAAGGAGGGCAAAAAACTTTTCATGTAAAATAGCTTTTAAAATGTTTATCATTCACTCGTTTCGCATGCTCTTTAAGTGTAAATACCTAATATATACTAAATTTAAATACCTAATTTATATACTATTTGATAAGTAGATATTGCTAGATAAGATTACATATACATTTGTGCACATACATATAAACGTACATACATATATACAAAATATGTCATATTTTTATATAACTATCCATTTGTATATATTTTATTAATTTTTGCCTGCCTCAAACTTATTTTTAAGCCAAGTTTTTAACTTTCGATTCGTAAACTTTGTTGTATTTCTTCAGAATTTTAGTTTAAGCAAGTAAAAACACTGCAGTCTGACATTTCGGATTATAGAATACTCTACGTTAAGAGTACCTATTTTCCGATGAATATATTTTTACAAATACAAAAATATGTTGTTTTTTTTTTCAAACCAAATATGTTTATTCCAATACTAAAATGATTTAAATTAATTATTAAAAAAAAAAAAAAAGAAATATTTTAGTTTAACTTGGGCATTTTTAATATTGCTAGATTTACTTTATTGTAACCAAAAATTGTTTATTGCAAATTATAAATATATTTTTCTTAAAAATGTATAATACAAATTTTTCAAATATTTTAAGTCCTCTAATTTGATTTATATTTTTATTAATTGGCACAATTGAATTTTAAATTAAAATATATTAAAAAAAATTTTTATCATTGTTTATTGTAAAAAATCCAAATAAATAATTTAAATTATTTAGGATAAAATGCAAAGAAGAATCGAATTTTATTCATTTTTAAATGTTAAACAATGTACAAATAAAAATTATACGTATATAAATTATACGTATATGATGTATTTTTTGATTTTACATGCATATTTATTTTTACATACACATTATTATTGATAGTTATTATATACATTGTAAATTTTAGTTAAATTTAAGCTTTAAAGTTAAGCTTAAGAATTCGATTTTGAAAAATAAGGGTTTAAAAAATTAAATTTAGATAAATAAAATAAAGTTACAAACTATGATAACAAATAATATGAAATATAAAACAAAATTACTATTGCAATTAAAAATTATAAAAAAAATAGTAAAAATGTAACTATTGCAATATTAATGTTCTTAATTTTCTTTATGAAAGCTTATAGAAAAAAAAAATTAAAAAAATAAATAAATAAAAATAAACAGCCAATTGTTTGTTTTGGAACATTTAAAACAGTAATAAAATAATTCGTATTTTTTTGTTTTACATTTTTTTGCTTAAATTAAAACGTATATATTTGACAATATTTATAAACATAAATATCTGTATTTTAATGGAGATTAAAGGAAACTATAAATGTAAATTAACAATAATATGTTTATGTATGATTAGGCTGTTCACTTTTACTGTGCCTTTACCAGGATATCTCTTTTGTCTCGAGCGCTTGTAGCATTTGAGCGAGACTCGCAAAACTGTGCCTGGCCTCGGGCTGCAGCTGCTGGTTACTTCGTTGTAGTGGCTGCTCCTTGTTTTCTTCCTGCACGAGCAGGCTGCACCAGCCACTATTTCGTGCACCCATATAGTCCATGTCCAGCTTGTTGCCAATGTGCAACGCTTCGGCAGGTGCAACATTCCGGCCCTTCTCCAAAGCCAATTGGAATATGCCGGAATTTGGTTTCATGACGCCCGCGTCGTAGGAGTTAATGATGAAATCAAATTTATCACTGAATCCCATGGCGTTGAGCACCTGATACAGAGAGGGATCAAAATTTGAGATGATGCCCACACATTTGCCGGTGTCCCGAACACGTTCCACGAAGCTGGTTGCTCCATCGATTCGTGTCCAGCAGGCGCTGGTGCGAAAGACATCGAGCAGCTGCTCGGCTACCGTTTGCAGTGTTGCTTTAGGTAGATTGGCATCGGCGCACGTGAATGTATCGATCACCAGCTGGTGCCACCAGGTTTGCCAATTCATGTTTGGCGAACAGCTCCCGAAATTTGCGTGCGTTTTGCTCATCAATTTAAAGTGCTGTCGAAAGCAGGGTTCCAGCTGTTCTTTGGTTATGCCGGTTATTCCACATGCTGCGGCCGTTTGAGCGTATTGCTTGATGGGATCCTTAAGTCGGAGCAGAGTATCAGTTACGTCAAAGGTCACTAGTCGGAACCGCTGCAAATTGCGCACAAATTGAGCGGTTAACGGCATTATGGCACAACAGGACAGTAGTGTCTCTATAGGTTGTTTACTTTGCAATGTAATTCAGTATTTTTGCTGTTTATTTGTGACGTCAGAAGCACTGATCGTTGATATATTGTGCCAACTACTCTAAACGTGAAATTTGATTTCATTTAAGTGCTCTACAAATTATAGTGCTTACTTTGTCTTTGTTTTGATCCTGCTATTTGGAATTCTAAAAATATTGTGAAGTAGCTTAGATTATATTTTACTTGCGCTTGACGTCGCAAATATACACTATCAGATCTAAATTGTGTTAACTAGTGCTCAAGAAATTACAAAATAAAAATGCTGTTTTAATTCTTTTTAAACCATTATATATTGCCAAAAATTTATATAATATATGGTATTGTACAGGTTATTGATCTGTGTTATTTACCCATTGCCAGTGAACAGCGTACTGAATTGCAATTATTTTGCTAAAGTTTGGTATATTGAAAATGGTACTTTTTAGTATTTATCTACAATGTTTACTATGTGCCGGTCACACTGTTTTGCAAAATTGCAATATCATTAGAGACGGCTTCATTTTTATAAGGTAAAAGTGTTTATGTTTATAGTTTATTGAAAACATTTAAAAAGCAAACAGCTAAGATGACTGTGACCGCCGCACCATGCAACGAAAGTATAAGAGAAAAGGCCCTGTCCGACTACAGAAAAAAGCTACTGGAACACAAAGAAGTTGAGGGTCGGCTCAAAGAAAGTGAGTATATCATTAAAACCAATTATTTCTTTAATCAAATAGTTAAAAATTATTAAATTACCCAGAGCGTGAGGAACTGAAGGAGTTGACCAAACTATATGACAAATCCGAGAATGATTTGAAGGCGTTGCAAAGCGTGGGCCAAATTGTCGGCGAGGTGCTGAAGCAATTGACAGAGGATAAGTGTAAGCCGACTGAAAATATCCTACTGCAATATGTATATGTAAATGACTTGTTATTTACAGTTATTGTGAAGGCTACGAATGGGCCGCGCTATGTGGTTGGTTGCCGTCGCCAATTGGATAAGGCCAAATTGAAGTCTGGCACTCGTGTGGCATTGGATATGACCACGTTGACCATAATGCGCTATTTGCCACGTGAAGTCGATCCGTTGGTCTACAACATGTCCCATGAGGATCCTGGCGATGTCACATACTCCGCAATTGGTGGTCTTACAGAGCAAATACGTGAACTACGTGAAGTTATCGAATTGCCGTTGCTTAATCCTGAGCTATTCCTGCGCGTTGGCATCACGCCTCCAAAGGGTTGCTTGCTTTATGGGCCGCCTGGCACGGGTAAAACTTTGCTAGCACGCGCAGTTGCCTCCCAGCTGGATGCGAATTTCCTTAAGGTTGTTTCCTCGGCCATTGTGGACAAATATATTGGCGAGAGCGCACGCTTGATACGTGAAATGTTTAACTATGCACGCGACCATCAGCCCTGCATCATATTCATGGATGAGATCGATGCGATTGGTGGTCGACGCTTCTCAGAGGGCACCTCCGCCGATCGTGAGATACAGCGCACACTGATGGAGCTGCTCAATCAAATGGATGGCTTCGATTCGTTGGGTCAGGTAAAAATGATTATGGCCACCAATCGCCCAGATACCCTGGATCCCGCTCTGCTGCGACCTGGTCGCCTGGATCGTAAAATTGAAATTCCCCTGCCCAATGAGCAGGCGCGTTTGGAGATCCTAAAGATTCATGCGCTTAAGATCGCAAAGCATGGTGAAATCGATTACGAAGCTATAGTCAAATTGTCGGACAACTTTAATGGTGCCGATTTGCGTAATGTCTGCACCGAGGCGGGCCTCTTTGCCATCAGGTAATACCCTAGATAATATAATACTAATGTCCTAGATATATGTATAAGTTAAGTCTATGTATCTATAAGCTTATTGTATAGGTCCAGCTCTATTTACGCATATTCCAATTTCTTTTGCAGAGCTGAACGGGAATATGTAATTCAGGAGGACTTCATGAAGGCCGTGCGCAAAGTCTCGGACAACAAGAAGCTCGAGAGCAAATTGGATTACAAACCGGTTTAATTTTCACTTGTTTTTAATATTAAATATATTACATACTTGTCTGCAGAAACCAATATACATATACAAATGAAATTAAATCTTCTTAACTGTTGAGTTTATTATACAATTTTGAATCATATTTAGCTATCAGCAGTACCACGATTACATACACTCAAAATGCAGCCCGCCCTTGTAAAGATCGACATCCTTGCTTACAATATTTGCAATTGTAATATATTGTATACATACAATATACATATATTTCTCATCTCTTAATTGTCTGCAGAAGATTTAATTGAAGAATTTCTACTAAGATTAGATGAGCTACTGCTGTTGCTGCAGCTGCTCCTGTAGGTCTTATTTCAGCTGTTGTTATCGGTGTTGATGCTGTTGCACCTTTCATTTCTTCTTCTGGTGCTGCTGCTCCTCGTCCTCCTGAGAGTCTCATTTCTGATGTTGTTGTTGTTGATCCTCGATACGTCGCTTTTTACGTTCCATATATTCGCTAATGTTGTCATATCGCTTCTTGAACCACGCGGACAGGTCTTCTGGCACGCACGTTTGTTCCGCAAAGTTTTCCATGACCATGTCCAGCCAACCCGCTGGCACGGACTCCGCCTGTTTTCCATCGGCGCTGTTGTACACGCGTAGCGTTAGGCGTTCGTTTACAGCACCAGCCACATAGATCCGATCGCTGGTCAAAGCAAAGTTGCTTATGCTCCAGCTACCCGCCTCTGCGCGCACCAAAGACTCCTTGGCAATCGACCAGGCAGCCTCTTTCAGCTCCAATTCGTAGAGGCCAATGGCTTCTACATGGTCGTAGAATAGCACGGCTAGTAGATAACGCTTGGATTGGATAAGCTCACGCATCTGAAGCCGCACAGCTGGAGCAGGCAACTGTTGCTGCAGTACCTCCTTGCCCGTCAGATAGTTCCACAAGCGCAATGTTTTATCACCTGAAATCGATATTAGGAGACCTTCGTTGCCTGGCAGCAATGCCAGCCCGGATACAAACTCTTTGTGGCCCAGACAATAGCTGTGTATATCATGGGTAGCCGGATAGTTTGTCACCCGAATCTTGTCATCCCGATCGCAGGTGATGATATGCTTCAGATCCGGTGTCCATACTATATCGTAAACAATGCTCAGATGGCCAAGCAGCAGTTTGGGCGGTGCCTCCACCTCCACGCAATCGTATTGATAGCAATCCCCAGTCTTGTCTGTCACAAGAACGGAACTGGAGTCAGGAGCAAATGCCAAAGCACTCGAGGCACGAGCCAAAGCACGCACAGAAAGTAACAATGCATGCTCCGGCCGGCTTTTGTAGAGTAGCAAAGCCTTTTGCCCGACAGTAGTTAGTGCTATCAGCTGTCTATCTGGTGAATAACACACATTTAATATTGACACCTCTAAATTGGATCCACAAGTCGCTTTCGGCTCGCCCTCGTCCGTTGCTTCAATTTTAAATCCACATGTGGTTAGGTCAGCTGGCACCTCGATGTCTTTAAAGATTTGCAAGTCATTCGGATTGATGAACAGCACTTTACGTCCATGGCTAAGCACCAATTCAGGTTCGGTGTAAAAAATAGTTGTCATTTCTTCTGACTCAACCAGGAGAGCGTTGTTTATGGCTACATGTGAAAGTTGATCAAGTGCTAGAAAGCAGTGACTGAGTCACGCATAAATTGTAGCTCCAAGTTAATCGAAAAAAAATATCAACAGGTGGCAACGCCCCGAAAAACAGGAAAGCAAAATAAGTTTGTTTCTAATAAATGATTGAAATAGTTTACAATTCATATTAAACATTAACTAATTACAAAAATGTATTTAATTATTTGACAGTCATATATTTAAAATATTTGGAAGTCAAATTTAGCGACGATTGCATTATCAATATCCTTGCTATCGATAAGTGTGTTTTAAATGTTATCAAATGGTAACAGGTGTCAGCGCGCGCCAAACTATTCAAATTGTTATTTTTAAGATGAGCAAGCAGCAATAATATATGAGAAAATTGTTTTATTTCGTAAGAATCATAATACTAATAAAAAAAAATGTTTATAAAAATACAGGTCTACATATATACAACTTGTGGCGATAATAGTTCAGGGTGCTGTGGCTACGTGCTAATACCAATAATGGACTCAATTGAGAAACTCAGCTTAGGTTTCTTGGCGATGGGCGTTGGCGCGGGTGTAAGCGTAAAGTGCGGCAGTGATTGATATGCCTGCTGTTGCTTCTGTTGCGTAACAGCAGCTGCTGCGGCGGCATTACCTAATAGATCATAAAAGGCGTTGCCAATTGCTGTTGGTGGCGTTGACAAAGGAGCTGCTGAGCCGCCTCCGACGCTGCCGACACAGGCGGAGCTGCCAAGGAGCGTTGTATCAATTGCATAGTTCAGTTCCGGATCAGCGAACGCACGACGCTTGCGCATGCGTTCCAGTAACGGCGAATTGAACGTGGGAAACCGCTGTTTGTATTCTGCAAGTAGAATAAGAAGACAGGAAAGGGGCAGGGCATTAGAATTGAAAATTACACGCGTCGAGTATGTAAGAGCAGGCAAGGGTGGAGCTCTTTGATCTCCCTCTTTCTTTGACGTTGGCGTCAAATCCGCTGTACAAATTGCTTTCCAATTGTCTCAATTCGTTCCGCATGTGTGTGCGTGCATACACTCAGAGAAAAGAGTATATTGAAATTGAATTAAATTCAATCTGAATATTGATATTGTTACTTTAAAATTATTAATATACATACATGCTCAATATTAATATTCAATCCGTCAAATAGTAAAGGAAAATTAAGTATATTATTAAGCATTAATGATTTTACAATACTATTTGACTGATTGAGACTAAATTGGAAATGTATAAATGCATGCATATGCATTGAGACTAGATTGAAATGTATATTTATAAATTTCAAGTAACAATAATAATGTTCTGATTGTATTAGAGTTCTTTATATGTATCTCTTTCTCTGCGTGTAGCACATGGCAATTGAATCGTAATTTGAGCTACGCAGAACCCAATATACAGACCCTAGACCAAAAGACCATAACCAGACAGTACGGCACCAAATATTGACTGTGTGGATTTTCGTTCGTGTTTTTACTTGGAAACCAGATGGAAAAATAGTGAAAAAATGAAAATTCTATTGGTTTGGTTGTTTTTGTTGCCCTGTTGACTTTTGCCACACATTTGCTTCAAGAGGTTTTTCCGTTTTCACGTATCAATTTACACAAATGAAAATTGGGCTTGCCCTTCAGATTGGACGTTTCTTTTATCCTCTTCTCTCCTTTCCCCTCCTCTACTCAGTCTGATTTTCTTTTCTTATTTTTTGACATAACGGACAATATGCGTGCATACGACAGGCGTTCAATTTCAGTGGGTGACGTTTTAACAAATTTGTTGCTCTCCTTATTGTAATTGTTGTTTTAGTAACGAATCAGGCATTTCCTGCCGTTCACGCTCACGCTCTCTCTCTCTCTCTCTCTCTCCCTCTCTCTCTCTGCTTTCCTCGTTCCCTTCTTCACACTTTACTCATATTACAAGCCTTGCCAGACAGTCTGGCACCGCATGGCGAGCGCCCGCCTTAGATCAGTGGTAGCATGTTAGCTATTTTTTAGCTAAGTCTAGCATTTTTGACAGCTTAGCGCTTGTATGCTTAATTATGTACTGATTGGCTTGAAAGTGAACTGAACGTTAAGTCATGTATTGCAATCGGAGGTTGTAGAAAACGCTATTAGAAAACTTCACATATTTTCTTATTGCTTATCCTACGAGAAAGAAATTAATTTGGGAGCTTTGGGAACTATTCGAAAAATTTGATAGCTACAAATACAGTATTCTCATACTTAAGCCTCCAGAAAAGACACTTGGTCTTTAGCTGGCATTCGGCTATTTAATGAATTTGGCTTGGCCAAATTGGCTTGGCTTGTGCCATCACTGATTTAACTGCGCTTACCTTCCATTGCGGCTGTGATGTGCAGCGTGGACTGCTGCAGATTGCGCAGCCTCTGCTTGTAGATGCGTTTCTGGGCGATCAAAACTTGACGCGTGCGCAGCGTATTAGCTGCCATTTGGCTTGGCTTGGTGGGTGTTACTTGCTGCTCCTCGTCGCTGGCCGGCTCCACAGCGGGTTGCTGCGACGTTGTTTGTGTAACCTCCAGAGCTTCCATAGTCTGTTGGCGTCTTAACGCTACCTGGGCGGCCATTACACGCTGTCGATCGACCACTAGCTGACAGTTGGGGCAACAGCATTCACGCCAGCGGCAAAGCTTCTTGTGACCCTTGACACAGGAGATAACGCCATGATTGCGACAGCGCGCGCACTTGGGTGTTCTCAGCAGGCGACGCTCCTTGGCGCTGGCCAGATTAACCGAAAGAGACTGCATTGCAAAGTGACAGACTAGAGAGGGCGAGCGAGAGAGATATATAGATCTAATCAGCTGCACGTTCAGCTAAATACTGAAAGGATCTGGCGCACGTCTTCTCTTATTTAAAACACAATCACAAAGGATCGTCTGGCTGTTCGCCCAGACAGTTCGACGACGTCAAGTGGTCTACCCTGCTGGTGTCTGGCTCTGTCACTGCCTCTGCTTCTGCTTCAGTTTCTTATGCTGCTGCCTCTGCTTCTGCCTCTGCCCGCCCATTGGCTGCTAATCGCATCGTCTATATATAGACGATCCAATGGCTGCACAGCTGGCTGCCATCAGCCAAATTGAAATTGGAAATTCAATTGAAAACCGCAGAAAAGATACAAATGTATCATTCTTTTTGTTTTTTGAGATACAACTGTATTTCTTATAGACGTTTAGCTGAGATACAAATGTATCAATGCGTCTGTTCTGGGATATGCAAATGAGATAAAAATATGTATGAGATATGACCGTATCTTTATGTTTGATCCATCTGAGGGGCATGGGTCTATATCTTTTACTTATCATATAATATCTTTCTAAATAAAAAGTCGTGCTCCTCGGCTTATCAAGAGAATATTACGAGAATAGATAAGAATTTTGGACATAAATTATAATAACAATTGTTTACAAGAGAATATATTCACAATTGAGTCAATTTCAGGCTTTTTTTTTAAGTATTTGTTTATTAATTTTCAATTTTATTTTGTATTTGTATAACGACGATTTGTAGCATTTTCATAATATATCATTTACATTTATCCAATATAGATATATATGGTATATCTGTATATATAGTATAGTATCTGTATAATTTGTTTTAAATGTATAAATATGTATGCGTGGGTGTATATATATAGCACTTATATGCATGTATGTAAATACAAGTTTAACATGAGAAATTTAACAAAATTCCATTTTTAACCATTTTTTTGTTGCTTTTCTTCAAATTATGTTTTTGATGTTTATTTCTATATATTGTTAGTTAAAGTACAAAACTGTTGGTGATTAATTTCAAAGCGCAATTTTTCATATTTCAGATATAGCTGAGTTGAGTTTTATTTGTAGTTCATTATTTAATAATCGTTTTCATTTATATTTTATATTTTTGATATTTTTTTTAAGTAATCATGTTTTTTTAAATACAATTACATTGATGTTTATTTCGCATTTTTTGAGTATGCAAATTATTATTTTCTTACTATATTTTGTTTAATTTTTGACAAATTATTAATTTTCCTTTTTTATATGTATATTTAATATAAATGGTATATATTTGTATTATAGTTTGTTTTTATTTTTTAAGTATAAGTTTTAATTTGCATTATTATTATTATTATTATTCTTAAATATAATTAATATTTGTATGTTTTTTTTTTTTATTATAATTGTCATTTTATAAGTATATATATTATTTTATTTTTCTTTCATATTTATTTTGAGTTTTTGCACACTAACACTATTTAATCTTACTTTCAAATATACGCTTTTAAATAATTAGTTGGAATATTAAAGCTGCTAAGGTTGTGCCAGGTTTTTGGTTTAGTTTTTGAATTTGTTGGTCATTTGCTTACATATTTTTAAAATGTGTGGATTATGCATAGATATAGCAAGTTTATTTGTTAAATCAGTATATATATATATTTATTTATATATAGAGAGAGACGTGCGGATCTGGACTGAATGAACAAAAATTAATTTGTTCACTATTTAATAAAATTTTCCGTTTTGTTTTAAATGCTTGCAATTTTATTGTCTTTTAACTATTTTTTGTTTCGTTCATTCAAAAATTAAATGTACTATGAAATTCTCGACAAAAAAGTATCTTAAAACTCTAAACGTTTTCTAAAGTCTGCTGATTTGCGGATATATATGTATATATATCTATAATACATTTTGTAAATACTTGCTGGTTTCTTAACACAATAAAAAATGCAAATATAAAACCAGATAAATATATATATATACATAGATATATATGTATCTAATGTATAATTAGCTAAATCTGAATTATATCATATCACATTGCACTACTCTGGGTTTTTTTCTTGTCGCCCAAATGCAATAACCTTTTACTCTTTTTTAATAATATTTCAACAATGATGATTGCCAGTAAACGTTCTATCTATTCATAGAATATATATTTCTGTATCTTATTTAACCTTTAATACGAAAATATCCTTGCCAACTGTAGCTTAAATTATGCATAATAGTTTTCATTTGATTTGTTTGTAACAATCGATATCCTTACCAAAACTGAATCAATCAACTTAACATCATTAACACCACCAATGAATTCCTCAATCAGTCAATCAATAATTAACATAAGATAAATCTACATCAATCGTTCAATAAAATGTTTCAATCAAATTATACTCAATCATATATATATGCCACTTAATTGTAAGTTTCAGAAAAATCTGCGCATAAACTATCAGTAAACGATCAATCAATTGTTCTGTCAATCAATCTGTCGATCAATTCGTGCATTACAAAGGTATGGCATATTCGGCTTGCCGAAAACTCAATTCTTCTTTTGTTCATGTTTCATCTGTTAGATTTTGTATTTTCGTTGCTGAACGATAATTAGCTATATCGATATTTAGTATAAATGCTTGATAACAATGGGTGCATGAATTATCTAATTTAAATATATTGTGTTGAAAGACGGCTATAGTCCTTAGGTATATATTGTGTGCATATATACATATATATAGATACATATATATGTACTAGAATGTGATTTAGTTAATTTAGGCTCGATTTGTCCTTTGGTGCGGGTTTAGTTTAGGTATTTGTTTTTGGTTGTTATAGTTTTAGTTAGTGGTATCTGATATAATATAGATCTATATATAATATGGATAGTGCCTAAAGTCTAATTGCCCTGTGACGAATATGTTCTAGGAAATCCTCTGTAAAAAAGTAAGAAAAATGCCGAGCACTAAATTTAGTAAATGCAATGTAGAGGGTATATTCTTTAAACGGCAGGTAGAATAGGGGGAGACATTACAATGCGGATCGGACGGGAAAAGATAAGAGGTAGGGTAAGGTGCAGAGTTAGGTTAGGCCGCGGGTGTTGTAATTGAACTCGACTCAAACAGGGCTACACAGATCCAAATTCTCACGTCCACTTCCGCTTCAGTTATAGCTTTTACTTTTGCTCCAAGTCTTACATTGGCTTACTTCTTTGGCGTCCGCTCCAGTGTTATCTTTAGTTAGTCCAGTTTAGCTCTCTGTACTCTTGATTTATCCTTTTCTACTGGCCGTTTCTCCTAGCTTTTCCCGCCTCCTGTTTCCATTTCTCTGGTAATTTTGTCAACTCCCCGCCTGCTGTCTCGCTCTCGTCATCCTCTACACTTTTCTTGATCCTACTCGGTTAGACGATGCTATTGCGCTTAGCGGTCGCCCTTTGAAGCGTGCTCTGCATAGCTGCCACCACAGCCTCAGCGCCGCCAATGAAGATGGGTTGATTGGCGGCACGGCGTAGCACATGCCACATGGCCACGGGCTTGCGCAGGGATGAGAGCATCTGATGCCAATGGCGCAAGCCCTTGCCCACCGCACAGCTGCCGGCAATGACATGACCCAGAGGCACGATAGCCCCACCGTCTGTTACACCGAAGACGGTGAGACGCAACTGTACTGTGGTCAGACCCTGGGGCGGCACACTGAAGATCATTGATTCGTTGAAGATGGGACAGCGATCCTTGCGCTTCAGAGAGGTGCGCTTCTTCAGCACCTTCTTGTCGTTGTTCATCAGATAGACCTGGTCAATCAGGGCCTAAGTAAAGAATCACTGTGGAGGTGCTTTCACAACTCACCTTCACAAAGATGTTCTGCAGTGTTGTCGGCTCCGCTGCTCCGTTGTCCAGCTCCAGTTTTAGATTCCGCGCCTTGACCACGACTATAGTCAAGCGCTCCGCTGTGGGCAAATAGCTCAGCGAGAACATTAGCTCTCCCCAGCGAGCATTGCATTTACGTGAATCAGAGAGTGGTATCCAAGTGGTAATCGGCTTGGCCATCTCGCCAATCTCCATCTCCGCCTCCCCGATCAGCGTGTGGGCGGGCCCATTGTGATACAAATGGAACCAGAGCGAATGCCTGCCCGCCTGTCGCTTCAATCGAAAGTTGAAGCTCTCATTGTATGCGGGCGTCAGCGTCGATTTCACCACCTGTCAGGTAAGAGGCAGAGGGGGGTTGTAGATGATATAGCGGGCAGAGGTACTCCCATGCCTGGTTCTACTCACCTTGGTCTGCATGCCACCCGCATGATCGGGCACCAAATAGATGCGCACAAATGTGTCCAGAGAGTCCAGTCCCATGCTAAGCGGACAGATAAGTCCTTTGGCCTCCAGCACGCTGACCGTCAGCTCTAACTGCTCCTCACTGTGCCTGATTAACCCAAAAACAATTTCACTTCAGGGATACCCAATCTGACTTTAGTCACTTACTTTTCGTATTGAAGGCCAACGCAGAGATAGCCCGTGATTTGTGTGTAGGGCTGATCGAGCTGATCCAGACATAGGGAAGATGCATCCGAATTGACCGAATCACAGGAGATGGCATGCTCCAGCTGCATGCCATCCATCGACCCATCCAGCGACACTTGCGAGCTGTTGCGCCTGCCCAGACCCAGGCTAATGCTCGACTCCTGTCGCAGTAGCGAACGGCCAAAGCACCAGGTGGAGTTGCCGTTGCCATTGCTCAGTCCATTGGCCAATCCATTGCTCAAGCCATTGCTGAGGTTGAGGCCGTGGCCATTAGGCAGCTTGCGGAATAAATAATCCTCAGAGATGGTCTTCTGCAGCATGTGTGGTCCCTTCACCCGCTGCGTTAGACTTGTGAATGGATTGTTGGTGTTGTGCAGTTTCAGGAGGCGGCTGGAAAGGCTCTGACCCTCGTGCACAAAAGGATTGCCATTGGGGCAAGGAGCCGGTGTGGACTCGACTTTGGCCTGAGCCTGAAGCTCAGGCGAAGGCTGCGACTCGGGCTGGGGCTGAAGATCTGGCTGACTCGGAGGAAGTTGCTCTGTAGACTCGCATAGGAAGGGATTTGTGCTGGAGTTGCGACGCTTTAACGCAGGTGGTCGACGCTCCACCTTGGGTTCCATGGGAGTAGGAGCCTGCGTTACCTCCGTGGTGCGATTAATGCCCTGCTGCAGTGAAATCTGTCGCTTGGCTATGGGTCGAGGTATAGCCGTCGCAGAGAGCGTCACGGAAGCAGACGTCGTTAGTCTCGGCGCTGGCGGCGCCTCTAGCGGCTGTGGCAGTGCTGCAGCGGCTGTGCGCAAAGGTGAGCGCTGCGGATTGGAGCGTGCCTCCGATGCTTCATTTAGCTGGCTGAATGAAAAGGTAACGGTCTTGCTACTGGGTCCGGCACTATTTGGAGCGGGCGCCGGACGCAACGGTTGTGGCGGAATGCAGACATCCGCCTGCGGCAGATTCCACAAGGGCGTCGTCGAGTCTACTGTGTTGCTCGGCAGCAATTGTTGTTGCTGCTGCTGCTGCAGTTGAAGCTGCTGCAGTTGCTGCTGCGACCGATTGTGATCGTCTTTGTCAATGGTATCGAAGCGCTTGAAGCTGCCGCTGGTGCTCAGCAAAAACTCCGAGCCGGACTGGATCTGCGCAAACGTGAAACGATTAGAATACTCAGCCTTGACTCTGCTTTGGCTACTTACACTTGCCATATACCCATTAGGATGGAAGAGCTTGTGCTTGTGATTGGACAGCCCGATCTTCTCTTCCTTGCTGGAGCGCATTCGCATCCAGCTGGCGGCGCGAGGACCCAAGCAATGGCAGCCCAGCAACACGCACATCAGCAGCAGCAGCAGCAACAGCGCAAGGCTGGTGAATGTCAGCGACAATGGTGTTCCGTCCATCGTCTCCGTAGCCAGGTAACTTGTTAGCCAGGTAGTTATTGAAAGCGATTAGCAGTTTGTTCAGCAGCTGCAGCTCAGGCTCGCAGTGCACATTTCCACGTTTGGATGATGGCTGAAAGAAAAGTGAGGAGAGAATAGCAGTAAGGGCAATAAGAAGTACCTAACCTGAAGCTGTCTCTTAGTAACTAATACAGGTGATTAATTTCCCTCTTCTGTCTTCTCTTTACATATCTACTTAATAGTCTTTTCCATTCCGTCTTCTCTCCTTAATCTTCATATGGACTTATATCTTCCTCTGGGCTATCCCATTACTGTCATGCAATCCCATCTTCTTGCTCTGCTCCTTGGCATACTTAAATCCTTCTCCAACAATATATTTGCTTTATTTTATTCTTAGTTTGCGGAATAGAATTTTACACTGTTCTTTCATTATTTTGACCTGTTTTCTGTCTCCCACTCTGACGCTCTGGCAAGGAGTTCCTGGTCTCCTATTTGCTATTGTCCTCCTAGTGGCTCAGCGTCTTAACTGTAACAGCTTTTTATTGGTTTATTTCGTACTCTACCCCTTTTATAGTCTATCAGGAGATATCTTTGGACACAGCGCCCGGCACCGATTCAAAGGGACAGCCCCTTGAGCACGCGCTGAGCTCTACTTGGCACAGTTTTGCATTCCCTTATACGAAACTTTTCATGGGAAAAACGATGAGTGGGCAGGTCCGCAACGGAGACAGCGATGAAGACAAAACTAAAGATGGCCACAATGAAAATGAGACGAGTGACGAACGACAACGTCGACGACGTCAACGTCAACGCTTTCATCTAGCATCGCCTTACAGCTAGAGCGGCACCCGGTCCCCCCCCCACTCCACCTCTCGCTCTTTCTCAATGTCTCTATTATGGAAGAAGACGCTATCATGTCTGCAAGCTCATATCATCGGCGATAATTGTGTGCGGCAGGTGTCGCTCTCCATTTCTATTTCTATACCAATACAACCCCTACAACTCCCCCCGTCTGCCATACCCCCAACACTTTTCAGCTGACAGTTGACAGTTGACAGTTTTTTGATTGAATTTGTAACCTGAGCTGCAGCATTTGCACTTCAAAGGCCAAACATCCGTCAACGGGCAGCATCCTACAAAATTATTGTTTCCCATATTTCAGACTGGCCACAAATGCTATGATGTCAACAAGACAACGAGGCAACCCTCATTCTGCTTTCTTCTTCTCTGCAGCATCTTGATTAAGACTTACATATATATGTACATATATCACTGACCTGCACAATTTGCCTAATTCTGTGTCATTCACACATCAAACATGATTATGATTCAGAAACTACAGCTGCTTGTTATAGAGCTGCCAGCTCTTACTTATAACAACACATAACTGACTTTATAACAGATCACAAAGTCTCAGCAGAGCAGGCAATGCACACCGACAATCCAATAACTGTTATATACCACATGCATTCATGTCCATTCGCTTGCATGCATCCATACACATGTGCATGCGTATCTGTGTGTGTGTTAGAAAAAGAGCTCGGCAGGCCATTTACAGTTGACATCATCTGCTCATCATCTTCTTGCTCTGCTTCTTTCCACTGAGTGCCCATTAGCCTAATATGGCACGCTTCCTAGAGGGGAGGGCGAGGGATGTGGTGAGGTGCTGGAAGAGCAGCCGAAAAGTAGCACCGTTTCTCACTTAACTGCCAAATTTTGCAGGGGACGACATTTTGTTTTAATTATGCAGCAACATAAATGCATTATAATTAAATAAGCATTTAATGAGCTGCACACACACACACACATACTATAGGAGAGGGAAAGTGCAAATGAGCAAGAATAGCGAGTTGGAGAGGGGAAGGGAGCGGGAGAGTGTCGGCCATTTTGGCAAGTAGCTGCAGAACCAGAAATTTTTGCAGCAACAACAAGGGATTTTTCATTAACCTACTGCGAGGTCATTCCACTGTGCACAGTGCGACAATACATTGTGTGTGTGTGTGTGTGTGTCTATGTATTGCATAAATACTAGTTATCTAGTTGATTTATTTACAAGCCGCATACAATGCTGTAGGTGGGGAGAGTTCTTTGGCTTGTGCAGAGAGGAGTGACCTGTTTTTTCGGACAGTATATCCAATTGTCTGCCAAAATGAATGTTGGTCACGTCAGACTATTCTAGCAATAGGCCAATACACTTTATTCACAACACACACACACACACTCACCCTTACTTTAAAAGTGAAAGTAGAAGATGGCACAAAAAAATCAGCGAAAGTCAAAGCAATCAAAAGTGATAGAAGAAGAAGCAGCAGCAGGAGCAGCAGCAGATAGCACAAAATTGGAGCATGTTGGTGGAAGCAGAGAATAAACCAACACTAACACACGCAAACACACGCGCACACCCGCATGCATGCACACGCATGCACACTTGAGCAATTACATAGCGGAAACTGCAAGTAGCTTATGCTTTATACATACATATGCATGCCCACATTTGTATATGGATGTGTATTTATGTATGTTTCTTATTTTCTTTCTACATACAATATTCTAGTTGCAGGGTTTGTTAATTGAAATGTTATGTTTATTTAAATATATAATGATAGACTTTTTTGTATTATCTTAAAATTATCGTTTAAATCTTTTTCACTTTTTGTGGAAATTACCTTTGATTTTCAATGTTATATTTCCTTGACTGTAATTTGCTTTTAAATTCTGCTACACAAATATCACAGGGCGCCACAGGCAAAGTAACTGTAAATGCTATTATTTCTTTGTTCTTGTTTCTGTATATTTTTTAGGCAACAAACACTTAACACTGCACGTCTTAACAACAATAACAAAAATTGCGATGCTGCTGACCGTCAGCAAAAAGAACAACAACTACGATGACTACGACAACGGGAATCAGATGAGCAACAACAATAACAAACGCGCGAGCAGCAGCAGCAGCAGTGCCTACACCAACAATAAGAGGTACGACTGGCCAATTGGCAGCCAACGAGAGCAGCGTCCGCGGCTTGGTTGTCCCTGCTGGACGACATCCCTTGGCCAACTGAGCAGGAAAGCGCGCCCAAAAACAGGCTACAGTTATTGCCTGCTGCTTATGCGCATATATAACGGGCACATATATAAAGCGCTCTCTTGTATTTCTCTCTTAAGTTTCGGATTTTGTCTGAGCTTTAGTTATACCTATTTGGTATGGTTCGCGTCCAGGCTTTTGGGACACAATACACTTGCCATAAAATTGCACTTGGTTAGCAACTTGACTAACTGATGTGGATTGTAAGGTTCCGGTGAGTCCACACTTAACGAAATTGTGAAAACTTAACGAGTATACTTAACAGTCCTGCACTTAACGAAACGTTTTATAATGTTAAATTATTTAGACACACACAAACAAGTAGAGACATGAAAATTTTTGCCTAAATTAATTAATTAATTAAATTAATTAACTCGGATTTTGTATTGATATAAAAACAATAAATTATATTTTATATATTTATTATTATAATAAATATTTATATCTTAGTTCATACTATCAGTATAAAATAAATAAACGGTTATATATAGAGCACAGTTTGGAAGATCCGTAGCACAACCACATGGCTCAAATGCAGTTAAATATAAATATGTGTAAATATAAATGCATTGGAAAATTGCATAACTTTATCATACATTTATGAGCGATGGTGGGCACATTTACAGGGCGACTCATGTATATGACATTCGGCTTGTTACTTCCGAGTCCAGGATGACTCAAGTGAAGTGCAATTGGAATATTTGCCAAGCTCATACAGAGCTGATGCTTAACACACTTTTAAAGTATAGGCCTACACAATTGCATTCCTATATACAGCTAGCAAATGCTTTCAAAACAAAAATTATGTAACTTTTCTATAGCATACCTTTACGGGCGCTGCTTAGCACAGCAACAGTGTAAATGGAGATCCTCACGCACACAGGGCCACTCATGTGATGGTCCTGACCAATTGCAAAGAACAGAAGCTTTGATCAAACTTGACCCACCCGATGATGATGATTAAGCAAGAATCGATTTTTATGCTAAATACTTAGTTGTCTTTTATGGCATGTTCGCATGTACATATGTATGTCCGTATGTGTGTGTGCGTGATTGCAATCAACTGTGTTCAATAAAATAGAATTCCCAATACAAATTTCGTTCTGCTTAGTTTTATTTTTTTTTTTTTTTTTTTGTCGTGGATATAGAGGCAACAACAAAAATACCAACAAATATAACAATAAGGACATAATGCGAAAGCAATTGAAACAAATTTGTATAATTCGAGTGGCCGTCCGAAAAGTTGAAGAGTCAAAGTAAATAAATTGCGCAAAATTCAAATTGCGCGAATAAAGCGAGCCGAAATAATAACACAAAACACAATAATGGGAAATGGCGAATGGAACGAATGGGGGGAAAATTGTAAATTATTTCAATGCAATTTGAAATTGAATTTCTGGCAACGCCCAGCACCTCCCCCTCTTTACTTCTCTCTTTAGGCTAACTTTTTTAACACAATTAGAGCTGGCAGCTCTGGTTCAATTTCACGAACCAACTCCAACGTTCATTACATTTCATTTTAGTTAACTCTCATTTGCTTTCAATACAGCGTTTCATTCAATGAAACAACGATATTCATCAACTTCATAAGTTTTGTTCAGCACTAAGCAATTTGATCAGCAGCTCAATTGAACTGCACAGCTCAGCTTGAACGCATATAGATTTATGGTCAAATTTCGATACACAGAGATAATTATTTTGAAATTCATCTGCATTTACATTGAAATCTTTTTGCAATTGCGGAAAGCGGACCCAGAGCTTTAACTGAGTAAGAATATCGTACAAATTATGCGCATTATTATTGCACATTGGGCATTGGGAGTGTAAATAGAAAGGGAAAGGAAAAGAAATGGGGAAGTGGCGAACGCATTTCAACTGTTGTTTGGCAGCAAAGGCAACTGCAATTGCAAACCGGAATTTGGGAATAGCCCTAATGAATCCATTGAATGCAACCTAATTACAATTGTAATTATGAATATGCCATTCAAAATGCCAACTTCAGCAGCGTGTACCTTCTGATAGAAAGTGACAGAGGCAGAATGAGTTTTCTGAAATATTTATATGTCCATTCACCTGGTTTTGCAACTCTTCATCCTTCCATATACAGACTTTAAAGAGCCCAAGTTGAACATTCGGCAGACTGTATTATTACACTCACATCTATTGTAGTAAGCACACAAAAAACAATAAAAGCAAAATTATACAGTAAATAAAAAGTATAAAATAAATTTAAGCTTGACTTTAAGCATTATCGTTTTTAGTGTGATCGCAATTAACATCTTGAGATGCAATTAGCAATGTGGCAACGCCTAGCAGAACACAGATGAAATAAAAATTGCTATGCTGCCAAGCCACAAAGCAAAATAAAATGCAGCAAATGCCAAGTAACAGTTCAGCTGCACACACTCCCCGAGACATAACCACTCAATAAAGTTTAGCATAGTTATTAAAATCAACAGCAATAAATTAGCATGCTTTGCGTTTTATCGTATCAACAGAAATGCCAACTACAACACAGTGTTCTATGTGTGGGTGAGTTTCAATAGAGAAGAGGAAGTGCGAACATAGGCAAGTCGTCTGTGTGTTTGTGTGTTGTGCGCCTGAATAACTGCAGAGGAACAAGTAGCGACAGCTAAGCCTACACGTGCTCTATCTATTTCCTCCTCGTTTGTCTCCCTCAGTGCAGCGCTAGACGAAGACGCAAATATGTAGCAACAACAACAGCAAAGATGATCGCATATTTGTGCCAAAACTAAAAAGGCACATAAATCAGAGCAAATGCAAAAAGAGCTAGACCCAAGACCCAAAACCTAGTTGCACGCCCTCCCAGCTTCAACACAATTTTGTTGATGACGAACGAATGAACGGGCGAACGGACAGGGCAATGGCCGAGTACATATGTATGTGAACATGCATACATATATACATACATCTGTACATATAAAATGTCAATTTTTACTACATTCTTGTGTTTCACACGAAATTTATGCAAAATAATTGTCAACAATCTAGCAGAGCGTGTGTAGGAGAGAGTCACAAAAGGCAGAGAGAGAGAGGCTGCAAAAGTAAGTTGAGCCCAAACTTTCGCCCAGCACGGTAGTTTGCATAGAGATGAGCGCATTTCGACACGATATTAAACGAAAAACGTAGGTACGAAAATTAATTAAGTAAAAATAATGGTTATTATCTTTATTTTTATTTTTTTTTAATTTGTGGGGAACTGTTGTTCTGCGGTATGCATGCTCAATTTTCTTCCGTGTGAAGGGATCATGTATGCGTCTGCTCTTATTTCATGCTCTCCTCTCTCTGTCTCTCTCTCTTTATCTCCCACTTTGACACTTGCGCCTTTGTGGCTGGTGCAGTGCAGCACAATGCGAATGCGATATTATCTTGACATTAATTGCATAATAAAGCACTTTTAATTAGGTTTTGCACAGTACGCGAGCTCCCCCACAGTGCAGCAGGGTCAACGTAATGGAACACGAAAAAGTGGGCGGTCGACACGCCCGTGCGTACGAGCGCCAAAATTCGGTCGGAGCTGGGGCTGCTGAAGTCGCTGGAGCTGAAGCTGAAACCAAAAATTGCAGCTAAAGCAGAAGAAAGTTATTTAATTCAAATAGGCGTCACGGCTGATCGGCTGCCTGATACCCAGCACATATCCAGCCGAATTATAGATAAATAGTTCAAAAACATTAATTGCTGAGAATTATACTAATACAATGATTTTAAGCATTATTTATTCAAAGTTACTGCCTATGCAGGCATACAGATTTGCAATCAACTGTGAGAAATATGCGAGCTAGGATATACTCATATGCATGACAAAGAGTGCACAGAACTTCCCATTACACTTAGCTCTTTGCCTAAAGAGTATTCAAAATTATCACCCAAAAAGAATCGTTACAATAGATGGGGGCAACTACAAACTTTAGCCTTTGCATTTTGTTGTTGTTGTTGTTGGTATTGGCGAACAGTTCGGCAAATCGTTCTTGCCTTAATGCGCAACTGTCGACCAAAACTTGAAGCAGCAAAAATTTTGGATGCAACCCCCTGCCTCCATCCTCACAGCTCTCACAAACTCTCGACTCACACACCGTTCCGTCCGGCTCTGGCGTATACGCAATGTCATGTCGGTGGGGCGACCTTCAGCAGGCACAGCCGCAGCCGCAGCTGCAGCCACAGGACAGGCAGTGAGGCAGTCAGAGCGCAGTTTGTGCTTCAATTATGCCAAAAATGCGCACTGACACGTAAAAATAATGCATACTTCAAGGCGGTGGGCGGTGTGCGATGGGCGCTGGCCGGTGGGCGTGGTACTGCCACAATGGAGGCAGCCGCAGCCGCCGAGTTGACAATGCCAGTCGAAAGACGACGCGGAGCCATGGGGCAATGGCAATGCATATAACATTTTAATTTCCTGCTTATTAGGCGACCCCCGCACACGAAAACACACACGCACACGCACACACACAGAGAGATGTGGTGAAGATACGATGTGTGTGTGCTTGTCAGTTCGCCTTGGCGACAGGCAGTTTCGCCCGTTCTCAACTTTCGCCCCCTTGGGCAACCCTTGCACATCTTTCGAGCCATGCGCAGTTTTTCATTACACGGCCGCTGCTGTCCATTGCAGCGGAATTTGGACGCGCCTGCTCCTGTGCCTTGGCCTGCGTCTGCATCACATATATAAATCACCAGCACACACAGACACTCATATAAACGCATCGGCACTCGCACACATAGATGAGGGACAACACTTTACGAAAAGCTTGCAATCCATTTTATAATTAATTCGTTAACCAATATTGCCAGATCTACAAAATTCTAAGCTCTGTGGAATATTGTTGAATCTGAAATATATTGTTATATATTGTTCATATATGTATGTATATTGATATATTAAATATAATCATAATAATATTAAATAAATATAATTTATTTTTATATATAATCGGCCTATTTTAGTTGATATCTAAAAAAAAATAAATAAATAAACACCAATGCCAAAATTGTGAACTATTTCATTTCACTATGTACAATACTTTTCTTCAAGTGCATGCACACGGACACACATAGAGAGTAGGCCCCAGGAGTCGAGTGACCAAAGCAGTTGGAAGCGGGGCCATTTGAAATTTTGATAATTGAATTTACACGTGAATGATCACATCTTTAAGCCTTTGCTCTGGTTTATTGCTCTGGGTATAGATGGAGCCCATACGTTGCATTGTTTGCCTTGTGAACGCTCTGGCCAGATTGAAATTGTTCGATTCGTGAATTGCGCCAAAGGCCAAGAGGCGGATGACCAAAACCAAAGCCATGTAATTATGATCACAAATTGATTAGGGCGCATTGGGCACACGCTGCAGCCTCCGTTGCTGTTGCTACTGTCGGTACTACATATTGAGACAATTGGGTCATATTACTGCACACACAACATGGTCATATACAAGGTAGTGGTAATAGCTTATTCATACATAAACATACATACATATGTACATATGCATGGATGTATAAATCCCAGGCAAAAAATTTAAAGAATAACCGTAATCTGTTTTACTAAAGGAAGCGAGAACAGTCGAATAGAATATACTCTGCTGACAGTTTCTCACAATGACTGCCATACACGCATACACAATTACACATACGTATGTATGTATCTGCAAGTCATTATACACATACATACATACACTCTATGTACTCTTTTGCCTTTTTGCTCCTTCAAATTAACGCTTTAATTTTTTAAGCAAAAGAGACGGGGAAAGAAAAAGCTTTAAGTCGCGATCGCTTGCACGATGCAGAGCGAGATGCCGAATCGTTCTGGTCGATCTGACATAACCCTTTCTCCCTCTAGCGCAAGCAGAATGCGCTGCAGTTAGCATGTCTATTAATTTGCCTAAAATGTAGTACAGCTCTTAGCGTAAACAAAACAACCGCAACTTGTGATTGATGACACAATCAAAGCCGAGCCACCTGCAGGAAGCCACAGCCATCTGCTTGAAAAGCGGCAGCAACGCAACAGCAGAAAGCGGATGAGAAAGCGAGCAAAACGGCATAGAGTAAGGGAGAGAGTGAGAGGAGGGGCAACAGCATGAATAAAACAGAGCGCATATGTATGTAAGACATCTGGCAGCCGGACTGCAGCTGTGCGAAAGACCGAGATGGGGACACTAGTCAGCTTTGCCAAATAGAAAATGGATTTCGCTATTAATTTCGCTGACAAGGCGGAGCAGAAGAAGCAGGGCGAGGACACGGGCAAGTTGACAGCATCAAAACTAAGGAAATGCTACTGACAGAAGCACGTTCTAGTCCTGGTTGCAGTCTGTATATATATATATCAACGTATATATGTATGTATGTATATATGTATGTTTTATATGAACGCCTGCAATGCGCTGCAACAAAAATGGTGCCCAAGCATGTCAGCGTTGCCGGCTTTCACTTTTATGGCGGACCACCTATGTATTTATAAAAGGGATTTGCGGCATTTGTGGCTAAGCAAAAGTAAAATTGAAAAAAAAGTAAATAAAAATAAAAAGAACGGCAACTTGGGCTTTGTAGTGTTTTTTTTTTTTTTTCATGCATACAAAATAAATGGAGTACAGTGAAAGCAGCTTAACACAAAAATGTTGGTAAATTATTTATTTATGTTCATATAATTTGAATAAGATTTAATTATATATTACAATACCACTATTCAAGCATACAATTATTATTATAACTTAGTTGTTTCGATTACAAAATAACTTTTTGAAATTCTTAACTTATTTAACAAATCTAACTAACTTTTGGCGAGCTGTTACATGTAGCAAGTGCTTACTGTATAGTTGTCCTATTTCCAGTCCTTCCACAGCTATGCAAAATATTTATACAAAGCCAGTACAAACTCACATTTAGACACACATACATACAAGTAAATATGTACATATTATTGTTTTGTTTTAAATAAAGGAATGAAGGAAGCTGGAGAAACAGCAATCAGCATTTATATGAGCTATAAAATTACAGGATCAGGGATCAGGCACGTCTGGCCAGTTTGCGTTCATGATACCGGGCTAGAGCATTATCAAATGCCTCGCCTACGGTTCGCTTTCGCCAAATATAGCTGCGGTCAATGGGCTGTCGCACAACCGTCTCCACATCTGGTTCCTTAATGCTATTGTCGGTGCTTTGTTCTGTAGGCTGCGACTGCTCCTGCTGCGGTTTAGTCTCTGCTTCCAGAATAGGCTGCTTTTCCTTGTCCACGACCTCTGTCGCTGGCTTTGACTGGTCTTTCACATTGCTGTCCGCAGCTGCCTTTGCTGTCGCCTGCTCATCCTCGTCGCTGGAGTCGTCAATGCTAAAGTCTGAATCGGCATCTATATTGTTGGCCAAATGCGCTTTTACTGCGCCTGTTTTGCTATCAGCTGTGGGAGTAGTTGCTATAGCAGTCGTATCATCGTTGTCGTCCAGCGAGGAGCGCTGTCTTCTGTAGATGCGCTGTTTAGTTGAGCTTGAAATTTGTCCTTCTCGCTTGATTGGCTTATAAGCCACCTCCTCTGTGCTGGGCGCCGTTTTGGGCTTGATTACTTCCTGCTGTGTGCCCAATTTTTGTTCATATAGATGCCTGTAGAAACCGTCGAGATCCTTCTGCTTCGTCACATCGCCAATAGCTTCTAGATAGTCATCGCGTGCATCCTGCTCTTGCATCTGTCGTATTGATTCCAGCTTTTTACGATACGCAGCAGTTACATATGTATCTTTGTCCTTATACATTTCGCCTTCGGCCTCGCGATCTTTTTGCACTTGGCGCTCGACGCGCAGTTCATTCTCCAGCTTACGTCGCTCCGCATGTTCCAGTAGACGGCCAATGTATTTGGCTTTTCGTGGCTCAAGCTTTTTCGTCTCTTTAGCCGCTTCCCGTTTGTTGTCCATATCGTCGTATAGCTCGTCATACTGGAATATAGTTGGATCCTCGGCCAGGGCCTTCATCTGAATGTTTTTTGCCACACGACGCTCCATTAGGCTGGGGCCACTAACCACGCCGGCTTTGCCGGTGAGCCGCTTTTGTGGACCAACTGCATCATTATCACTAACTGAACTGTTGCTGCTCTCATCGAAAATGGAAGGCTTGGTTGGTGGATGTGGCGGCCTTTCCGGTTGCTTCTTCTGTTTACCAGGTATTATTAAACCAAACCTATGAGCATATAAATAAATTAGTATATTTCTATTTTAGATAAGAATAAATATTTACTGTTTCGACATATTGTTATTACAGATCTAGTGTTGACAAATGCCCGAATAAAAATCGGTGCTGCTTAACGCTTACAATTTACTCAAAGCAACTCTGCTCTATTAGCAACCGTGTGTATGTAGCACTGACAGCTGCAGCTGTCAAATGCGGCAAGATGGACTTCCTCTTTTCCGATACGTTCGCGGTCGTGTAAATTTGTGTTGAAAAACCACAAAGTTAAATCTTAGGTAATCTACGTGAAATTTTACCAGAATTCTTGTTAAAAACACTGCAAATATTGATAAATTAGCGTTTGCTTAATATGCGCTATGGATTTTGTGCGTGCGCCTTGAAACTTTTGTGCAAAACACTCGGACATTGCATTTTTTTTATTGTGTATGAAACGATAGTTAAAATATGTGTTGACAGCGTCAGTACACCGCCAAAGGCTGGCCAAATGTACAAAACTGAGAACATTATCAGTGCATAAGAAAACAATGCTATGCAATACGCAGAACAATTTTTTTATTTATTTTTTTCTGTTTTGTGACAAAATGTACAAAAGGCCGCCGCCTTTGGCGGTCATGTTTAACAGTATCAGCTGTGCTGTGACCGTGGTTGCTGCTGTTGTTGTTCTTGTCGGTTCTACTACTTCTTCAATTGTAACTGAGATCTGGTAGTGGAAAATGTCAGAAAAGTCGCCAGTAAATGCTGCCGGTAGCAAAGATTGCCGGTAATGTGCGAGACAATTTTCAAAATTAGGCGTTGTTGTTGTTTACATAGCCGGGAACAGAGTTCTTGCCCTGCTCATACTTTAGGGACTGGATTACGGGGGAAAGAGAAAGGAGACTGACAAACACGCACAACTAATGTTTAAGGCGCCGTACTTGCACGTGTTTTCTTTTTGCATACCGACAGTTTTTTTTTTTTTTTTTTATTGTTTTTTGTATAAAACGGAAACTGATTTGTTTTTAATTGCAGCCATGGTGCGTATGAACGTATTGGCCGATGCCCTGAAGTGCATTAACAACGCCGAGAAGCGCGGCAAGCGTCAGGTGCTTCTGCGCCCCTGCTCCAAAGTCATCATTAAGTTCCTGACTGTGATGATGAAGCATGGTTACATCGGCGAATTCGAGATTGTCGACGATCACCGCTCTGGCAAGATCGTTGTTAATCTAACCGGACGTTTGAACAAATGCGGCGTCATTTCGCCACGCTTCGATGTGCCCATCAACGACATTGAGAAGTGGACCAACAACCTGTTGCCCTCTCGTCAGTTTGGCTATGTCGTTCTGACCACATCCGGCGGCATTATGGATCACGAGGAGGCCAGGAGAAAACATCTTGGTGGCAAAATCCTTGGATTCTTCTTCTAAATGCGGAGCAGTAGGAGAATGAAGCTAACAACATCTAAAGCTATTTTGTGTGTGTGGGGAGTTGAAATATGTAAAAGTTGTTTTATTTCCCCGTCGCGATAAATGATAAAATGAAAAAACGTTTCACGTTCATTTGAACAACAAATACCAACATCGTTCATTCAAGACAAGAATGTTCCACTAATAAAACGCGAAATAAAATGATGGATACATAATTTTTAAATAACAATCATTTTTTATATGACATACAAATTTTAGCTCTTAAGTAAAAAACAGTAAACTTCCCTATAAGCAATTCTGTTCTGTGTCAAGTAGTTTGGACTCGCTGTGCGTATGCACGTGTGGAAAGCCGCAAAAAATTATATTCGCTTAAACTATGCAATATATAAACGGCAAGAATAGTGAAATACTCTAAAATTATTAAATAGGTAGAAAGATTGTCCTGATGTACATATTGTTTTTTTGTAATTCAGATATTAAGAATTGCCTCATAATGTGAGCGCTGCAACTAGCCTCAAAACAAGTAACTGTTCTAGCGATTAGTTATTCTGGCACTATTACACATCGTAACCGATATTTCTTTAAATTATCCCGCTCCCATCGCTACTTGGAAAAGAAAAACAAGCTATATGGAAAATCAAAGCCCGGACGGCAGCTGCGATAGCGTTAGAATAAAAGTTGCAAGCAAATAGAAATAAGTTTACTGATTACGAATTAACAATCAAAAATCAAATACAATTCGTCTAATATTTAGCAAAGTGTGTTTAAGCCGAGTTGGCAGGTCTCTAATTAATCGGCAATTGGAAACTAAAGTGCTGCACACTTTTAGGCACTATCGATAATCAACTGATCGAACTTGGGTTTGATTAAAAACTGTTAATATTCCAATAGAAAAGAGAAATGGAACACAACTAACAACTGACAATTTATTGGCACACGCAAAGGACCCCAATCAATAGTCAATTTACAGTAATTAAATAGGGATTAGACAAGCAATAAAGCATCGTCATCGTCGCCATTGCGTGCTATATAGAAATAGTTATCTAGATTGATTTATATCAATTAGCTAGATTTATCAATAATATCACACGCCACATGCTACTTAACATCTCTTCAAAGTGTGAGTATAGTTAAGCAGGCCACATGTACGTGTAGAAATGCTGATATTTAATTGAAATGATACGTTAGATTGGGGACCCAAAATTACGCATACTATACAATAGTATGTATGTACATACATATGTGTGTATATACCCTTACCTGCATAAATATACCCGCCTTTCCACACGGAATTCGGAATGGCGTCTATCGTGACTTTACCTTTTCTTATCAGTTTCTGACTATATAAATACATGCACACATATATATTCATCGTATATATGTACATATTTATGTACATACTATATAAATTGTATCAAAGCAACCCATAAAACTTTGCGCCAACAAAACTAATAATTTATATTGCCGGCGAACTTATAATCTACATACATACTATGTGTGTGTGTGTATGCATATATTGTGACTTGTTATTGCAATGTCATTTCATGTAATGCACTCAACCTGTCAGTTATGCCTGTTTTTCTAAGAGCTTCCAAATAATCGCGTGGGGAAGCATTGACAACGTCTTCGATTCGCTGTTGCGGTGGAACTTAGCGGTCTGGCGAGTATTTTGATAATCATGATGATTCTGTTGTTTTTTAAAGAATGTTTTTTCTTCGACTTTTACTTTACCTTTCAAAAATAATTGAAATTGTCAGACGCAAACACTAGAAATTCGTTTGCTATGATTCAGCCGCTCCGACAAATCGTCTCATTATCATTTAGGGCGCTATCTCAAAACAGCTTTACAACAAATTGGCGATTTGCGGCTTAGAGCAGATCAAGAAACGTTCTTACACATGTATGTACATATATATGTATGCATGTACACACATACTTATATACATATATATGTATGTAAAATCTATAAGCTGGGATTTTGCTCTAAAATTACATAAATATTCATACAAATGTATGTATGTATGTGTTTCCAGCACATGCTGTATACACGTACATATGAAGCAGCAACTTATTTCCAGCAGCTGTTGCTTAACTTGCGCTTCTAAAATATGTACATAAATACATGTATTACATACATACAAATGTATACACATGTGTGTGTGCATTTGACAAGAGCAGCGCAGCCGGCAAGCGGTTTGAAAGGGTTTTTGTTGGTTGGTTTCTAGTTGGTTCTATGAGATAGCAGCAACCGCTGAAAGCTTTGCCGACACATGCGCCTCTGTTTGTATGTGTGAGAGACTGTGTGTGTAAGAACGAGTTTGGCCAAAGAGACGGGGATGTAGACCTTGTCTTAAATAGCACAACGCGTGATGAGCTAGAATCACAAAAGTAACAACAACAACAGCAATGAGAACAAAGTCTGCTGTGATGCTGAAACCAACACTAAGGCGAACACCGGCCGACAGCATTGCGAACGCTTGAGAAGCTCTAGGCGCAAAATAACCACATACATACATATCAAATGCTTCAACGATCTGATTGAACTGATCACCTTTATGTTTCGCTTGGTACTAAGTTGTGTAGCATAGAATGGGCTAGCTACTTAAAGAGCAAGCTGAGCCTTCCAGGAAAAAAGCTAGATCTAGCGGGTAGCAAGTGGAAGTGGCAGCGCTGCACCAACCGCTTCTGCTGTACACTCGCACGCAACGAAATGGAAAACGAGGAAACGGGAATTGCACTTGGGCAGTGGGCCAATGAGCTAGAGTCACTTATACACGTGCAGTACGTCGATTTTAACGGGAACCGGCTAAAGATTTCCATAATCGTTATCACGTCCAGACGGTCGTCCAGTTAATTCATCAGCTGTGTGCAGAGTCGAAAGATAAGGCAAAGTCGAAGTCGACATGCCCGGTAATACCGGCGGAAGGCAGTTACTAAACCTGAGCAGATAAAATAAGTAAACGATTTGAGCCACCGGCCCACGTGTTCAATTACGATTCAATGCGGCTTTATTGTTGCAAGTAAGACAGAACTTGTGAAAACTTTCTGCTTAAATTACATGTATACATTTATATGTGTGTTGCTTGTAGGGGGAAGGGTTCGGGGTAAGTTAGTACTTGGTACATATAGTGCGAACTAGCGCTAGATTATCATTATATTATAATATATGGGTGCAGGCGTGTGTGTGTGCTAGTTTGTGTGTATGTGAGCAGCCTCTCCATTTGATGCAAGAGCGACGCAGCTTGATTTGCTCTTCATGTTCTCTCTTTCTCCCTTCCATCTAATGGAAGAATATCGCAACGCATCAAATTGGGCGAATATATATATACATACATATATGGTTAGCTTAGGGTGTGGTGGCAAAGTACTCCTTGGACTTGGTGGGATCGGCCACCATGGTCTTCTGGCCGGGCTTCCAGTTGGCTGGGCACACCTCGCCATACTTGTCAGTGTACTGGAAGGCCTGCACTAGACGCAGTGTCTCCTCCACGCTACGGCCAACTGGCAAATCGTTGATGGTTATCTGGCGCAGATTTTGCTGATCGTCGATGATGAAGAGGCCGCGGAATGGAATGCCAGTTGCCTCATCCAAAACACCATAGTCTCGAGACACCTTCATCGACTTATCGGCCAACAGTGGAATGTCCATGTTGCCTAGACCACCCTGTTTACGTGGGGTGTTGATCCAGGCCAAATGGGTGAACTGGCTGTCCGTGGAGCAGCCAATCAGTTCGCAATTGATCTTGCGGAACTCAGCCGCATGGTCGGAGAATGCAATGATCTCGGTGGGGCAGACGAAGGTGAAGTCGAGTGGATAGAAGAAGAGCACCAAATATTTGCCCTTATAATCGCTCAGCTTGATCTCCTTGAAGGCGCCATTGACCACGGCGGTACCGGAGAATTCGGGTGCGGGTTTTTGAAGTTGCGGCATCTAAGAAAAGTGATTCAAATAAAGTTAGGATTTTTCATATGCAATCAAGCGACTCCAGCTGTGGTACAATCGAACCAAAAGCCGATCGCTCCACTTAGCTGTTAGATACGTTTGCACTACCAGTGTTTAAGACTGCGAACGTACCAAAACCTAAGTCCTTTAATTTTTTCTATTTTTTCTTTACGTTTAGGTACATTTTGTCTGTTTGAGAATATATATATTTAAGAACAAAAACTAAGTGCAAATTGTGCAAATATTATTTTTAATGTAAACTTCCATTCGACCCAGCATTCCATAGACCTTTCAAAAGGCACAGACAAAGATGGCGAAACTTGATCCAAAAAAATGGCGGACCAACAAATATTTCCAATTGTAGAAGATGGGCGCAAAACGAAAAGTGCAATAACTGAATGACTTGCAGACTCTTTCCCCTTTGTGACCTTTTGAATTTGTGGAATTTTACGGTATGTGGCAAAAATGGCACGAAATTGTGTACATTTAGTATTAAACGTTTGCAATTACAATATTATGTGCCTAATGTGAAAATACTTTCAATTCATTTCAATAAAAATGATCGAATGATAGAATCGATTCCACTGTCGTTGCCGCTGCCGCTATGACGTTGTTGCCGGCTAAAATTGCGATGAAAAAAAAAAAAACAGCGGAAACGTCGGGGAGCAGCATGTATGTATATATGTGTGAGTGCCAACAAGACTATGTACATATGTATATACAGTTGTATGAATGTATATGTACATACATATATAATACGTAGACATTGTGCGCAAAACTTGTGAAATAATCTTCTGCACAACAACAAGAACAACGACAATCATCATTTAAGGCTTACGTTCAGCTGTAACTTCTCTTTGATTTTATCAATAATTTGGGGAATGTTCATAATTCAAGAGAAAAAAAAGAAAATTGTTGCTGCTCTCTTTCTACTAAACAACCTGTTCACAAAAAATAACTCACTTTACTTATTTTTAGTACACTCAAGTTTAGCGACAAATTAGTTGGTTAATTAAGCGCGTTGATGCGAACCTTTTTATTTCTATAGCTCGATGAAAACCAGTACGTCCACTCGGCTCGACAACTTTATGCGAATAGTTAGTTCATTTAAAAAGCACGCGAAACGAGCTGCCCGAGCCCACCGATTAAAGTATGTAATCGAAATAGATTGAGCGAAAAGAGCGCACTTTTCGGTGAGCTTGCCAGTATGGCGGTTTGCGAGAATGAGAGAGCGCAATACGTGAAAAACACATGACGACCTTTAACTTAAGATGGAGCAACAGACCAGGCCAGTATACAATTTAAATAAAGCTAAACATTTCATACTTATTTTGTGACGAAAGTAGCATACTGCTTTTTATTAGTATCTATATGTATGAAACTGCAAGTGCTAGAACGTTTGATAAAGTTTTAGAAATGTGCTGTTTTCGATATGGCAACTCTGCGCAATTTGGCGGTATATTTGCTCAATTTTTATGTCAAGTAACTTTTACTGTGGAAGTTCGCTAAAGTGAACAAATATGATCTCAGTTTTATACATTAGCGACTTGTTATATTTCATGAATAAATATGCGTAAATGCACCATATGATAAACAATTCATCACACAACACACAAGTCGAGCCACAAGTGAAGCTGTTCATCATTACTGTAAAGTCTCTGTGATGCAACACCTAGTCAGCTGTTCGCCATGATAGGGGCATCGAACTGTTAGACAAATGGAAGCTAAAATTCTATCAGCTGATAAATCCATAGGAGGGGATGGCGAAATTCATGCAATCTGATGTAATTCTTGCATTAATCATTGTAATTTATATGTACATACAAATATGTAAATCTCAAGAAGTAAAGAAATTAACACAATTTGTTTTTAGATAATGTTATTATAATACAAACAGAAAATACGAAATTTTGCACCACAATACAACTCTTACATAGTCAGCGACCGACCAACATACAAAATTAAACTTTAACATTTGTCTATTACAACATATATGTATATACATACATATATGAATATCTGCAAGTGCCGGCGGTTATTGCGAAATTATGGTAGGAGGTACTCTCGTTACCGCACCGGAACTGATTCACTGTCGTTCTTTCTGGTAAAATTGGACTTGAATCTGTACATCTGTGCAGCCAACTGGATTGGAATCACTCCGTTTTGACCAGCTTGTCCAAATATGTTTAACAATCAATGATCCAAATGTCGCCAAACCAGACCGATTTAACTGTGGGAATTGGATAGGTTGGTATCTGACCGATCAGCTAGAGTTGCATTGTGCGTCTGACTATCTGTTGTAGTGTGTGTGTATATAGCACTCATATATATATGTATATATATATATATAAATATATATATACTTATATATATAAGCATGCGTATCCATGTTTGCAGCTTATTATGTTAAGCCTAATCACAGGATCCATCTAACCAGCCGTCACGCCACCTCTCATTCACTTTGCTGCAGTCGAAGAGTGGTTTACCAAGCTTGTCGTTGACTCGATTATGAAAGTTGCACAACCACATAGCTAAATCCTTTTGTGAATTAACATTTACGGGATTCACTTCGATACTGCGGGGTATACAAAATAATATGGTCACCTTTTTGCACTTGTGTGCGAGTCAAACTGTTTGCACTTACTCTGAGCGAAAATCTTTGGCACAATACTCGCATGGATATAAACGCGAGAGTACTTCGAAAAAGGTGCGCATATCTCGTTTTTCTGTGTCAGTGGGATTATCGGAATAAAAGGCAGCCATGGTATGCAGCAGGCCCCAAGTAGATATGCCAAGACGTACCTTATCCAAGGGGCAATCTTCTCGGGGTGCGGCAACGCCGGCTGCATTTACAGTTAGCTTTTCGCTGGCGGCTATATGCTTTTCCTGTGGGATAGAGAGAGAGAGGGCGAGAGAGTAATTATGTGTATTTTTAAGTCACTAAAACTAACAGCAATAAATGGACATACCTTAGCTGCTTGCGTATTTGATATAAGGCGCTGCTGTTTGGACCATGACTTGAAATCGTTGCATGTGCGACAATTGCTATCCGGTTTTCCATTTCGATGTACGTTAAATTGCGCACCATCCACCTGAGGTTCTGGTTCCGCTGGCTTCTGCTGAAATGATGATTTTGACATCCTGAAATCGGGATCACGCAAAATTCGCAAAACAGTTTTTTGTAGACGGCGTATAATCAATCGGGCGCCCTCGCGATTAGGAGCTACCTTACTTTGATAGCTGTGACGTCGAATGAATACTTTCCACATGGGCAGTCAGCTGCTTACCGTTAACGCAAATCTGAGTCGTTCTTTGTATTCTGTTGATTTTTTTAACAGCGATGTATTTAACGCTGATTTTTCTGATTCGATTAACGCAATATTGAGGCACTGTTAATGAACATCGCTGCAGGTAGTTGTTGTTACTAGCTGCCAAAAGTCTGGCAGCGCTGCTAAATTGCCACAAATATCTTCGATTAGTGCACGTTAATTCAAAACGCAGGTTTTTCCTCTTTCGTGTTTTTTTAAACTAAGACGATAATTCCAAACTACACAATATAATTTTTTGATACTTTTTCCATTTCTCTATATGTCGCTCAACGTGTGTGTGTGTGTGTATGTGTGGAAAATAAAAACTACATTAAACGAAAAGCCGTACGGCGAAACGTAATTTCGTGTCTATCTGTAGATTTACAGCAACAAAACTACATTGTCAATTGTCAAGGCACTTTTTATTTCTTGGTTTTAATACAATCAAAAATGTATATAAAATTCATTTAGTAACAACTACAGTTAACAAATGTGTTAGATGCACACACATACACACGTACACATACAAATATATTAAAATATAAATAGTTAGGTAAAGTTAAATTGCATCTACATGCATACATTAATAATTTATGTATAACAAAAATGATTAGAAATTAAGAGAAAAAGTAGCAAATATGTTGGCATTTAGGCAAATTCTTTAAACGTGCTAAACAAGCTATAAAGCACACGCAGCGTAGACTTTAAATCCATGTTGACAATATCTTCGGGCCTGGCCTTTGGCTTTGGTAGTCCCACATCCTGCATCAGATCGAAAGCAAATGCAACATTGCTAACCATTTGGTCAACATCCTGCGGGGTTAAATGAAATTCGTGCAGGGGCACAAAGAATCCACCCAGGAGTCCCATCAACAAGCATAAATAAACGCCATCTCGAAAATCGGTGTTTAGATCGTTGATCTCAAAGTTGAGCTTGGCCAAGTGCTTGTTGACGAACGTAATTAGAGATTTCTTTACGACGGCCAACTTATCGGGTGCACAATCGATTAACGTATCGAATGCATCCTTTTCACATCGCATACCCAAATCATCGTATTCCGAGGTGATTTGCTCCTGGAACTTCCTGTAAATCAAAATCAAAACGAAAACGAAAGCAACGTATTGAATATGGAGACACACGGGCAAATCTTTCACTCACTGTGCATTCAGAACACCGGCATTCTTCTCGGCTATGACCACGGTGACGAAAACGTTCTCTGGCAAACGCACAGGTGCACGAAAATGGCGCACTAAAGCAACCAACAGATGCAATATGGCAACAATGTTCTTGGAGTGAACGCTAGCCACCGACCATTTGGGTATTTTCTGATGGAAGCCAAGGGTCTGCGAGCAATATACGTTATTTTTGTATTCGCCAAGTTGATTGTTTTTGTTCGGCGGCATTGACTCACGTGATTAACGGCCTTAAGCACAATGTTTAGCTTCTCGTGTTGTCCCTGTTCCGATTGTGTTACCTCTGGTACATCCAGCTTTTTTCCCGTTAGCTTTTCCCACAGCTTGTGCAGCACTTGGCCATCGTACATATCCTCCTCCAGTTGCTGGACAATGATGCGTTGCTCCGCCAGCTCATCATTAATCCAATCGATGAGAATTCTTTGCAACTTTAGCATTTCTGGATCATTGATTGATTGTGGATCAATTACGGCGCGTTGCTCATGCTCACCTAACGGTTCGGATAATACAAGGTCTGTATAGACATATTCTATCGATAATTCATTTGATCACTTACGCAGCGCATAATCCTCGGGCGGTATATCAAACTGATTGGGCGAGCCAGGCGAATCGATTGCATATTTGCCTTCTTCCTGGAGCTTCTTAACTGTAAAAGACACAAATTGGAAGAGTATGTATGAGTGAGCAGGCAATAGCGAAAATGTAAACAATAACTGGTGACGTCACCAGTGCGACAAGGCGAGCGACATCGTTAGAGATAAGCGCTTGCCATTTGAAATCAAAATGGATAAATTAATCCGCTGTACACATTAGAAGGGAAAAGCAAAATTTGTATTGATAATAATTTACCTACACTAAATAAAAATAATTTTCTGTTATAAATTTTTGAGTGCCCTAACTCAAATGAACACACATACAGTCATATTCGAGCATACACCTACAACTAACAACCGATCAGTCTGTTCAGTCTGTATGCGTCACAAATGTAAATGACGCAATGTTTTTTTTTTTTTTTTTTTTAGCACACAGAGACTCAATGCACATCTGTTAGCAGTATACACTGCAATTGGCCGTTCCTTGGGTATATCATAGGACGAATGAATATATAGTTGTAAGCACTTATTGAACAAATTGCTTCAGTTTATGTTGTTACCATATTTGGCCTTATTCTGCAGATTTCACTGAGCTATTCCGTTTCGCTGGGGTGTAGGGGCTTGCCGAGGGGAATGGTGGGGGTTGATCTAGCTCACCTTCTCGTGTGCCGCGTTTGCGACCGAGTGTACTGAATTTTTCCCAGATGCTATCCTCCTTCTCGCCCTTCTTAATGGCTGTGGGCGTATGCGGAGATTTGGGGCGATTTAAAGTCGACATCTCTGTGTGTGCGCAACGCAAACAAAATAAAAAACGAATAAAACAGAGCGAACGCCGTGCGATAGAGCAGCAAGACACTCGATTGACTGGATTACCGATAGGCTTTATCTCTCCTTTTATTTGGTGTCATCGATATAATTAATCGATACTTATCAGTGAAATCTTTAAATCTTAAGGGCTCTCCAAAGAATATAGAAAATTTATAGCTAAATGTTATTGATAAATTAAAAGTCTATCGGCAGATGTTTATGTTATTTATATGTATTACGGATGTAAGGTAATGTTTTTAGTATTTTCATCCAAACAATAGCAATTACAATAAAAAGTTTAAGATTATTGGCGGCCCTGCAATCGATAGAGTTGTGATCCCAGCTGAATCTCATAGTTTAACTGGTCGTTTAAATATACTGCGATTAATAATAAGCGGATTTATATTTAAAACAGTCATGTATTTGATTTTTTATAACTCTCTTACATTACTATATAACTTATGATATACATTCCAGGGGGCTTTTATACATATATAAATATATAGTGTAGGCTTTTTAAATAGAGTTGGGCAACTGGCAGGCGCGTACTGCTACCAGTTGGAGCAGCACAAAAATTGGTGAGAAGACTTCACTGTATTCAAGGCCTGTTTTGCCTGATAGCTTTAGACATAACAAATATTTGAAGATCGCGATAAGTACAAGGAAATATGTGCTCCACATGAACCGATGCAACGCCTTCCGTTTGTTATCTGAATCCAAATACATGCGTATGCCAACAATAACGCAGAAATAAGCATTGCAAATATCGATAAAGAATAATGGACTGAATATGCTGAACCAATCGCACATTACCTCTGGTAAGACATTATTCAATGTACCAGAGATCTTGAAGGCTAGTGAGATGGTGAAGACGAGCAGCCCACACAGATTAACTAAAATCTCGAATTCCGTTAAGCCAAGCCAGCGCACCAGCTCTGACAGTTTAAACATGATTCTCTCTCTATTTCTGTTTCTTTTGTGGCTTCTTAATGTTAACCTCTGTGCAGCTCGTCTGTGCTGGCAGTTTGGGTACCACAATATCGAACAGACTGTTATTGAAGATTTTGATGTGCAATGCGGAATTGTTGCGTTGTCTGTAGGTTATGTCGTCCTCATCACAAAGTGGATGCAGTTCATCCACCAGCTTGATAGTGGATGTGTTTATTGCGTAGCTTAGAGCACCGTCCGAGTTATCGATAAGTCGCAATGCCAAAGTAAGCCCACGTGTTATCGAATAACCCATGCAATGCAAATAGATTTCCTTAGTGCCCGCATTCAACAGATCTTCGCATCGTTTTTGTTGGGCCTATGCACCAATTAAAGTGATTAATGGATTGTTTACAGCGAAATGTATTGCTTACCTTAAAGTCTGACTTGCTTGTAATGTAAATATTATTTCGCTTGTCGTTTGTTACACGAGGCGGAAGTTTTCGTACAATGTGTTGGCTTTGTTGTTTATTGCGATTGCTTTTTGGCTTTGCACCGCGTTCTGGTGGATGACTGTCCATTATCAACAGCCACTACAAACCAATAATCAGTGGCCCATGCTTTGTGACCGTGCACAAAGCATCTAACTATTAAGACTTCGCTTGCAGAAAATGCAAAATACGACTAGCAAAAATGATAACGATATGTGCATAATGCATCGCTGTAAGCTACAATTTACAAATTGCACGGTAGATGGCGTCAGATCAGGCAGCCTGCTGGAGTTGCCAAATCATATGTGAGAACAGCCGTAGTGCTGTTAAAATAACGGCAGATGGCGCTCTCAGTCATCTGGCAACCCTGCTTTAGCTGTCAATTTTTTGACATTTACTCGATATTTGTATAACATTTATCGTACATCTCATATACTATCGTCGATTGGTTCGTGCTCGTAACACAGCTAGAATTATCCAGCAGTTGAAAAATTTTCATTGTACTTTCCGTAATAACAAAGGTATGTTTTTTTTTCTTTGCAACAAGCACAACAACAAAATCGTATCATCAGTACGCAACTAAAACAAATTGTAAAACAGTGACACAGAATATTGTATTTATGCAACAACACACACGCAAACAAATATTTGTCATAAGTTCACAAATACACACACATTCCTACTTACACATACACATTTTCAACGCCGCTGGCTGCAAAGGCTTGGGCAGCAGGCAAAGAAAAAATTACATAACTCCTAATTAATTTGTATTACACACAATTTGCTGAGTTTTCATCTTTTGGTATAAGAGTAAGATAATAATATAAGCTAAAAAAATGACAGTTGGAAGTTCTTTAGACGTTAGTTACATAAGTTCGGATTGTACGCTGAAACGCAATTTTCGATGCTGCCCCGTTAAGTATCTCGTATCTGTATTCTAACCACAAACGAATATATCTAAAAAGTAAGAAAAAGAAAATTAAAGAAATGAGAAAATGAAGTAATTATTATAAACAATCTACTTGCACAGCGCATTTGATTCAAGTAACGTTTTGTATTCATGCGTTCAAGTTCATTTTTCCATGCAGGACAAACAAAAAACCGCTCCCAACCGATTTCAGTTAAACAGTTACAAACAGCAGCAAAGCAAGCACAAAATAAAACTTATTAATCGCACGCGACCCAACGCACCAGATCGCGCGAACTTCGTTTCAAGCTCCAGCTGCAGCCAGGCAAGTGCAGCTAGAAAAAAGTGTGGCAATACTTTGCGGATATCTACAGCAAGAACAACAACAAACATCAACACATCACGGCGAGAGCTGCAGCAACAACGGCAAACGTGGGATAAAGCATACAAGTAAATTTTAAAATTCCTTATTACCAAACAATCAAGCAAAAATGAACAATCCAAACAAGTAAATTGCAATTGCATAAGGCTATGAATTTCGGTTCACATTATTCTAATTGCCTTAGATCTCAGAGTGACCATATATGTCTTTTTCACCAGCCTCAAAACCTGGTCTGTGAGTGTGTGATTTTTGTGGTCCGCTTGCAATTAATCAGACACGCATACAGTTCCATGTTCTTTCATGTGCTCCTAGTGATAGCAGAAAATGAAAGCTTGCCGCGACTCTGTATGGCAACTCTGCCATCAGCGATAGAGATTGCAAGTTGTGTGCATAATGCATAAGATAAAATCGAATAAGAATATGGTCACCCAGGCAAAAAAAAAAGCAGGCAAATTGTAAGAAATCCAAAGAAAGCAACATAAAAACGAATCAATCGAATCAAGACTATGTTTTTGAAATTGTTGGCGACAGAGCGAAAAGGCGTCTCCATGACGAAAATCGTTTCAAGCATTATATTGTATATAGGTATAACGACAAAACGGCAATTGTTTGAATTTAACGCGGCACAGTTTGAATTGCAGATCGTCAGACGTCGCTTTCGCCAAACGGAAATGTCTGCGGCACGTTTACCCTATTACCAACAGCAGCAGCAGTCCGGTGAGCATCAGCAGCGGCGTGGCGGGGGACAACGTTGCGTTGGCTATCAGGATCGTAGTAGCAGTCGACGCAGCGAACGTCGCTATAGCCGCAGTCGTAGTCGCAGCCGGAGTCGCAGTCGCTCCTTGGAGCGCCAGCGTCGTCGTCATCATTATCAGTCGCAGCACCAGCATCGTCATCGTAGAGATTCACGTGATCGCCAGAAGGAATGGGACAGGGACTATTCGAGACGCAGTTATTATCAACGAGAGAGTCGCACTCCAAGTCCAACGTCGTGTTCCTCCGCCTCCACTTCAACAGGAGCAGGAGCAGGAGCAGGAGCTGCATCAGCACGTCGGGCCCATGGTAATGGAGGCAATAAAATGAACACCAAGGATAATACAATGTCCGCCGTGGGCGCCTATTACAATCTCGATACGGATGAGCCATTCGATAAGGAGCGTATACATCGTGAAATCGAAGCAAAACTACGCGAGACACTCGCACGCGAAGGCAAAGTGTATCCACCGCCGAAGCAAGAGGCATCGCATCCCGTTTTTGCCAACGATGGCTCCTTCATGGAGCTTTTCAAGAAGATGCAGGGTCAACAAGAAAAGCAGCAGCAGCAGCAGCCAACAGCAGATGTAGCTGCGTCAGCTTCACCAGCCATTACAGCCCCTTTAGCAGTAGCCGCAGCTAATGCCAAAGCAGGAGTTGCCCTTCGCGATCAGCCACAGTCGCTGTTGGAGCCCAATCCAGTTATCAGTCCATTTGGTGCTCTGCCAGCGATTGCTGCAGGCGCTGCCAGTACACCAGCTGCGCCATATATAGCCGCTGCAGCGACTGGCAAATCGGCGCCGCCGCCACCAATGGTTGGACGTCGACGTGGTGGCAAAATCTTAAAAACGGGCGTCGTTGCCAAATTGAAGACACCCAGCGAGAGAGATGTGGACCCGAAAGACTTTTGGTCATTGTATTTGGCTGAAGTAAACAAGTACAAGAGCAATGCCTGCGATACGGACAATGGCAAAAGACCGCTGGTCAAATAGTCTACGAAACACATTCACATACACCTACATCTACATAACCCCATACACACATATATATATATGCAGGTGTACGCACAACAAACGAAAATATGAACTTGAACGCAGGCAAAACACTAATCACAAAATGCAATAAGCACAACCAACATAATTAATTGGTTGCCAAAAATACAATCAGCTATATATATGGTTAAGAGTTTGATACGAATAGGCAAGCAAATCTCCTTTGCTATATATACTAACAGACTTTGTATGCAACTTGCAACACATCTAAATGATGGGGATAATCTGAAAAGAAACATAATTAGTAGATAAGAAGTACAGTATAATCTGATATATATATATCAATATTTAGATTAAGCGCTAGATTGTACGGATTTCTATATTTAAATACTATATATCTAAAGATAAAGCTCAGCTCATAGTGTGTGTAATTACTTATAAAGCAAACAGAGTGCAGAATTTTGTATGCCTTATATATCTCTCTATCTCTCTCTTTTATCTTTCCCTATTTAACGCGCTCGATTGAAATGAAATTCGACTTGCATTGAATTGCGACTTTTATGAAATCATTAATTATTATTATTGCTATATTATTATTATAATATACATTTTTATATGATTAATTTACATTTAACTATATCATTACACCTATTTCACCTACATTTTTCTCTTCGCTCTCTCCCCTTGTTACATGTCTTTCATCTCTTTGTTTCATACCGTCTATTTCAATATTTATCTCTCTATCGACATGGACTCTGCCTCGCTCTGTCTGTGATATTTCCTTCCTTGTCAATGTTGACTATATACGATATATCTCTATCTGCCCTTCACTATTCCTTACTGTATAATCATCCCATACCAAATCTAACTTTAAACCTCAACTATTATCTATTATAATATTTTCTTTCTGACTACTTTGACTCTCCATTTCTGTCTATATTGACTTGCCTCTCTTTCTTCAAACCCGCTCTCTCTCTCTCTCTCTCTCTCTCTCTCTCTCTCTCTCTCTTTCTCTACTCCTACCTCTGATATTGTGCCCCCACACTCTGTCTCTATGCTTTCATTATTTTATCATTTACCACTCAATTCATCACTTTTTGTTGGCTTTTCATTCGTTGTTCGTTGTTTTTGGGTTTGTTTTGTTTACTCTAAAAGTCCGTTTATGCAATTTTTCATGTCGAAATCAAAAAACAGCGATAAATCAACAACAGTTGACACGATGTCCGCCTACAAGATGGAGACTGCGCCCTTCGATCCACGTTTCCCCAATCAGAACGTGACCAGATATTGCTACCAATCCTATTTGGATTACCATCGATGCCAGAAGAAGCGCGGCGAGAACTTTGAGCCATGCAACTACTTCAAGAAGGTCTACAAGTCGATGTGCCCCAACGCCTGGGTGGAGAAGTGGGACGATCAGCGCGAGAGCGGCACCTTTCCCGGTCGTATCTAAGCAATATATTTAGGAAGTTACACTCTACCTACCTAACAACCAACAACTGCAGCCTATTCCTACTCGATAACAACAACAACAATAGCTAATTATGCTAGTTAAAGAAAAAAGAGAACAACAGCAAAGCGTTTAGGAAAAGGCAACAAAATACAATTGTTACAAATTAATTCAACTAGTCGGTTGTTTGTTTCTTCTTCTGTACACACACTCACACACACAGACACGCACACACACACACGAACATGCTTCTATATAGTATTTTGATCTATGCTATATAGTCGATACACGACAACAAAACGTGCCGACAAATTAAGTGTATTTGATCAATAAATTGTGAAATACATTGACGATAAGAAAGGAACTAACTATATACATATATATGTACATATAAATCGCTATATACATATATGTATATGTAGATATCTATAAATGCTATCAGGCGATCATCTGTCCCTTAATAGCATGATCAGCTTGTCGAGCTCTTTGAACTGTGTCCAACTTTTAAGAATACAGTTAGGCAAAAGAGTAATGGATAAAATGGAGCAGAGTTAACTTCATTAGAGCAAAATCCTAGCTGAGTATGGAATATATAGCATATATATATTTATATATCATCGATCAAGAGCAATAGACCAATATCTTGCGTTAAATCAATCTAGCCTAGACTCTTAAGCCAATGTTCCATTACTTTTCCCAGCTCTGTATACGAAATCTGTATCTGTAGTAGTAGAATCAGATTGAGTCACAGGTGAGTTGTCTAGGAAGTATCCGTAGATCAAATTTGAGGCAGTTGCCCGAGCTATGGCTCACTAAACAGAAAGAACTCTGCTTTAGGAGTCTTTGCTACAAAGGTAGCTCGATATTTGAATTATGGTATGTGGAATGGGAATAGACGGCCAGTCTGTACGGTAAGATAACATATTATCAAATAAAATTTGCGGCAAGGCTACTTTAGTTTAAAGGTCACAGGTGAGTTATCTAGGAAATATTTTGGGAGTGTCGTTCTATGCTATCCGTAGACCAAATTCGATGCAGTTGATCGAGCTATGGCTCAAGAAACCTGGGATCACAGTTCTATATGACTTAGCCTTAAGTAAAGTAACTAATTTTGGACTCGAATTGCCATGCTTCAAAGGTTTCCGATATGGGATGCATGTTGACCGGCCTTATTGGCATTCATATGACAAATTTGATGTACCTAGTTCATGTAAAGCTCGAGGGCCGAATATTTCTGATGGATCACGAGCAATGGGCAAAGAAGTTATCCTTAACAAAAGCTGTGTGGGACAGAGGAGCGGTGCGGTATATACCCACTCATCTGTAGCAAGCACCTTCATAAATTTACAGGGTATTTAAGCTCTGACTATCTGTTGCTTTGGTTTTCTTTTGTTGTTTATTAGAAACTTGTGCTTAGCCAATGCTAGATACATATATATTTTTTTTTTATTTTTATTTTTTTTTTTTAATTTCATTAATTTTTTATCTTACTTTATTTGCAGTTTTTATTTGTGTTAATTATTTTTGTTCCATTTATTTATTTTAGTTTAATTTTTTTGCTTTTTGCGTGGTTTTTATGCTACTTAGTATTCCATATAAAATGGGCTTTTGCATTAATATTAACTATTTACCGATTTTTTCGCAACTCTTGTTAGACAACAGTTTTTTTTTTATATATATATATTTCAATATTATTATTTTTATCATATTTTTCTCAAATGCTTACGCATTGCTTAGGGCTTACATAAAATTGACAAATAATAAAAAAAATAAATAAAATTAAATAAAAAATTCCATTTGAATTGCATAATTGTCCAAACCGTTTTAACAAATTGCGGACGGCAGCAAATTTTGTTGGTTTTGGCTTGCTCATTTGACATGCGCTCTAACATGCATGTTAAGCCAGTGGACTGACTGATAGTGCCCAAATTGTTGCTCAAAAGAATCCATTTGCGTTTTTGTACTGCGAATCGTAGGCTTAAAACTAATCTTAAATCTCTAATCAAAGCTAAAATTGTATATTCTTTTTTTATGTTTTTTAGTTTTAAAATATTTTTCTTACTCTTAGTAAGTTTCCCAAACTCAAGTTTTGTTTATTTTCTTTTATTTTTTTTGTTATTTGTATTTAATTTCCTTTTTTTTTAGTGAATTAGGTTTTACTCTAAGTAAATTCTCTAATCCTCAATTATACAGTATTCATTATTTATTTATATATATTAAGTTTTTTTTTTTTTTTTTTTTTTTTGTTTGGGAAATATGTTATATATTTTGGCTCAGTAGATTCTCAATTAATTTGTTTTAGTTTTTCTTTCCTTATTTATTTCTTTATTTATTTTATTTTTTTTTTTAATATCTTGTGGCTTACTATGAGTAAACCTATTAATTTTATATGCATTTTAATTAGTTTTAGATTTTTTCCTGTTTAGTTTTTAGTGAAGTGCTTATATTATTTGGCTTACTCTTAGTAAGTTTCCAACTGAAACATAATTTTGATTTTTTTTTTTTTATTATTTTTATATTTAAACTTTTATAGTGAATTAACTTTCGGCTTACTCTGAGTTAGTTTATGAACTCAATTTTTTTTCATTGAATTATGTAACTTGAAAACTTGGAGAGCTGCTTTTGTGGACATAATTGATTGTACTTAATAGGTATACAACTAGATATTATTATGGAGTACTTGATCAAAAATCGAAGGAAACATCAGTTGTTAAATAGTAAATGCCATAGACTTAATGTACTATATATACTTATATCTATATTTCTATAGATATTTGAAGAGTTCCTTAAATTGAAAAACTTGCGAAAACTGTGATATATATATATATATATACACATATCTGGCTATATATATGTGATATATAGCTGAATATATATAGGTTAGTTAAATGCCTTTTAGTATAATTATAACACAGATACATAAAAATCAGTAGTAAAAGTTTTTAGTTTCCAGTTTAAAGAGAGCACACAAGGAATACGCGAAACTTAGCTTAAAATCTATATAATATGCACTTTAGATATATGCTATATATATATAAATATCTACCATATATAGCTTAGTGTGAAGAGAAACAATGCTTTATTCGAACTGGACCAACCATTACGTTTCCATATAACCTTACGATCACGTACTTATATTTATCTCTATTTGAAGAGCTCTCTCTATATATGTAGCGTAAGTGCTACCTGATCGGCAATACTATATATTCTTGACTACTCTAGACTCGTTTAGCTGCTAGTAACATTTTGTTTTTGTTTTTTTCTTTCTGGAGAACAAACATTCTATGTAGTTTATAGCTATAGATCAAAGAAGATCGTTCTAGATCAAAGTGGATCCAAACAGATCTCAATAGACCGCGCCCTCTAAGGGCCATGCAATGCAAAAGCCAGAGCTGAAGTACAAAGTGATTCTCTTTGTGGAAACTGCAGCTAGTTATTATCTATCGAGAAGTTTAGCGAATAGCTTGTTCCAAATAGATCTGACAACACTATATATGGCTAGGAATACAGATATCATAGGAATACATTTTCCCAGAAATTTGTTGAGTCCATTTAGCTCATATTCCGCTATTCAGCCGAAATGTTCAAATGTTGCTTAGGAAATCCGGCTATTCAGCGGAGGTTTTATAATATTCAGCTATTCGGCTAACGAACAGACTAGACACTCTTTAAAAATTCTTTACCTACCTTTAGCTATTCAGCTAAACTCTGCTTTAGGTATTCATTTTTACAGCTAATGCTGATTATTCAGCCATTCAGCTACTGGTTTCGATATCTCTTATTAACTGCCGCTAATCAACTGACATCTTAATGATTGTTTATCAATTTTAGTTTTTCACCTAATCAATTATTGAGCAGTTCTGCTTTTCGCTTATAGCTTTCAGCTATAGTTTCCAAACGTACTTCATTGACTATTCAGCTCTGTACTCCCCCAATTTATATATTGCATATCATATCAATAGTTCCATCATATCTAAATTGTGTGTGTGTTTTTTTTTCAAATTCTATGAAGCAATTTGTTTTTCAACTGAGATATTTTTGAAATATCTTCTTTATGTTTTGATTAACCAAAAACATGTTTCATAACCCAGACCTATTCTAACCCACTACTCCCTTCTCTGTCCCTCTATCTCTTTCCTTCTGTTTTAGTTAAAGCTTCTTCAGAGTTTTGTCCTGAAATTTCTCTTCCTCCTCTTAGCTACATGTCTCAGCTATCCCTAACCGTAAGTTCTGCTCCAGTTTCTGCCTTCGTCTCGCCCCCTTCCCCCGACCCGTTTCCCATCAGCCACGCCCCTCACTCCGGTCCCCCCTTACGGATATAGTTACATGTAGCTATTGCTTGTTTGTTATCCAATGTCGCGCACGATCTCGATTTTGTCGCACAGTTCCGGATCGTGGATGGTCGTGAAGTGAGTGCGATCGCTCCGGAACGTGTTCCGCTCATTGGAACTGGTCTTAATGGACCGCTCCGACGGCGTCTCCGTGCCGCTTAGCTGAATGCGCTTCTGCAGAGCCGACACAAAGTTCTGAAACGGCCAAATGAGAAAAGTTAGTGCTGAATAGATGAAACGAGATCCGATATCTGGGCATGAATACAAAGGGATTCCCACAAGGCACCCGAGGTCGAATAGGTACTCAATAGAGCTTTATACCCGCCTACAAGCTGTGAGCAGAGTATCGAGCATGCCACTCACCTGTGAGATGATATCGCCGCGTGCCGTTCGCACCTGATACAGATAACGGAACTTGCGCTGCCTGGCCTCCTCGCGGGTCTCGCGAGTGCGCGACTGCGATCGACGCATCGGCACATGGGGATTGCCGACGCCCGCGGCGCCCGCTGCCGGCTGGCCATGGGGCAGATGATGATTGCCATGCGGATGCTGCGGATGGTGTCGCATGTAGAGACGCTTGCGGTGATCCACGCGCCAAGCGGTGATGAAGCACTGCACCATGATGCTGATCACAATGGTCAAGGGCCACGCGGTTATCAAGAGACCGCCATAGCAAGGCGGTGGCAGCGGATGCGGCTTCATGCTCAGTATCCAGTTAATTGTCTCCAGGCTGTGCATGAAGTAGTCTATGGCGCCGATCACCATTGCCGTGCCCACAATGCTCGATGTCAGTATCGTCACATACTTGACGCAGCACAGCGTCAGCACCGAGCAGATGACGGCTCCACCGACCACAGCCACATAGATCTCGCGATACTGGAGAGGATTGAAGGCAGGCAGAGAGAGAGAGAGAGAGAGAGGGCAATATATAGATTAGTAGACGTAGAGACGAGGAGAACAGGACATATTTGCAGAGGGAGGGAGAGCGGGACGGTGGGAGAAAGAGAGAGAGAGAGAGACAAGGACAGAGAGCCAGAAAGATAGAGAGAGAATGATAATGAGTGTTATATGAACGGATTGGAGATAAAGCCGGTGGGAGATAGAAAGGGAATGTGATTTGCTAATATCTACAATGAAGCTTAAGCACCTGCCAAAAGTGCATGTTAATTTTACGACAATGAACATGAGCAAAAAAACAATTTGAATAGAATGAAAAGTCCGTCATTTGTTAAAAGTTACAATGAAGATTTAGCAACTGCTTAAAGTGCATGTTAACTTAACAATGAAGAGAAAATGATGACTGTGGACAACATATGCAAAGATTTGCCATGTGCTAAGCCTTACAATGAAGAAGAATGAGATTGAGAAGACGTAAGACTCACCCCGAACTCGTTGTCCGGCATTGTGGCCACACAGACGGCCATCGCAGCGCCGGAGAGCAGGGCGCCAGCAAAGGCGCTGATCAGCACCGAGGCGACAGGATACGTGGAGCCGAGCACGGCGCCCAGGAGTCCGGCCACAATGGCCAGCGCCGAGTCAGCCGGCTTGCCCAGCCAGGTGATCTGGAAGTCCTGCAGTATGAATATCCCGTTGGCGCCCACCATCAAACCGCTCAGGAAGCCAACAGCGCGCAGGCAGCGATAGCCGAGCAGGGCGTACACGATGCCAAACACGGCTATGATGGCCCACAGCAGAGCGGGCAGAGTCTCCGGTGTGGTCGGCGCACATGTCTGGCTGTTCTCCAGGATGCCCTAGAGGTGGAGAATGAAGGGTGTAAACAGCTCAATCAAGGGAATCAGTGTGATGGCTTTCCTTATGTAGTTCATTAAACTTCAAGTCTAGTGAGCGTTTCTCGACTTAGCATATACGAATCGCAAATACCTTACGGCTTCTACATTCCTTCTATTCAACTTACATTTCCTGCAGTCAAATCAAAATTCAAAGTTTGCTCAAAGCGATTGATTTTGGTATAATTACCTCATAATTTAAGTCAGCACTTCAATTTTATCTAGATATTCTAAGAACAGGTTTCCTTTATATTATTTCCGTAACTGAACTCGTACATAACCTCATTTTTACTAAATTTCTATATGCTTAGCTATTCTTGCTTGTGCATATAATAGCTTGATATGTGTGCAGTAGCCTAGAATGCCTTGAAATGGCATATATGGGGCAAGCAATGCCCGCTTGATATATGTGCATTTTCCTAGGATTTATATACATATTTATTATTAGACACATTTTTACCTTCTTTAAGCATAATTAAAGATTACTAGATACAAAATCACTTTAATCATAATATTATATTATTTGTCTAATAGAGCTGCTCGAATTAACCTCACATTAGTTATATTTCTGCAAGCTAACCTCACTTTTGTATATTTTCATAAGCTACCTTCATTCTGCAAATATTTCCTTTTTTGTAATATATTCAATTTACAGCTTTGTTGAGGAAGCCGAAAGATATATATTATCTAGTATCATTTTAGCTAATCCCATATATAACCCCGTTAGTCACTTATTTGTTTTCATCTTGCCCTCCTGCTTTCACTCTCTCCTTCTCTGAAGTGAAGCTGTAAACATGTCAAGCATCTCATTTCGCATGCACGCAGACAACCCTTAAGCCACGCCCCTTGCCACGCGCCGCCTGCTGCCCTGCGTGCACTGTAATTCGATCAAGGACGAGTGCAGGCACTGACACAGTTGCTTGTCCACTTGGCAGCCTGGCTGGTTGGCTGGTTGCCTGGATGAGTCAGTTAGCCCAAAAAGCTGTTGTTGACACACTCTCAAAACGCACACACGCACATGCACATACATGTATACAGATATGAAATACCTTTATCAAAAATGGCCAATCCATATGTGAAACGCTTTGCATATCATCTGAATGCTCCTGTCCAGCATCGTAGATCACATCGTAGCTGTCCAAGGAGTGGAGAGCCGCCGCAGCAGCTGGAGCAGCAGCTGCACCGACTCCACTGGCATTGCCCGTCGTCTCACTCATTGTCCAAAATGTCTGCCCCAAAAGGCAATGGCTCTATATGTATGCAGAGCCAGGAATCGGGCTGTGCCACATGTTTGCTTTGGGCCCAAAACAAAAAATGGCTCGGGCACAGTTTTTGGAAGACTTTTGCTCTGTATCTATTTGCTCTGTATTCAAGTTATTTTGATATATTTTCCCTTATTTTCCATCTATTGTGTATCACTTATTTGGCAGCAGGAATTTCGTCCTTTCTATCGGGGCCAAGATAAATTTACTTGTGGTACAACAACGCAGGGCAATTTGCGCTGAACAGGGACAACAGGACAATGCAAACGCCTTTGCATACGGCGAAACGCACCAAGAGGGAGGGAGATAGCTATAGCTGTGGGCAGCAACCCTTAAGCAGGAGCTTAAAAGCCCTTAGAGCCGAAGCCTGTTTGAGCTTTTCTGCTGGGGGGAACAGCTTTTGCAGGTTAATGTAAGCACAGGTGCATGTGCGCGTAGGTGGCTAATCGATTATACCCTGTAAATATGTGAGTATATGAAAGGAATGTACGACATAGTACACGATACCCGGCTATATACAAATGTATATAGCGAAATCACTATGGTGAAACATACTGTGTGAGATGAATATGGATAAAATACCCTGTAATATTCATAAGTATGAAAGAAGGTATACTAAAGCGGTGATGGAAAAAGTAGAGTAAGACTAGTATAGACTAAGTCTACCCATATGCGAAATACCCTGTAATTCAGAAGAGAACTGAAGACATGAAATATCATCTATCTAAAAGAAGGTTTATCATATAGTAGCGGATGAGCTAACATATTCCATATACGGTAAGGAGATTAGATGAGAGTTTTGTTGACATAGAAAGGAAATGAACGAACTCATAAATAGACAGGTAAACGACAAGATACCCTGTACATCTGAAAAGAGAAGAACGGGTATACTAAGGGAGAGAGAGAGACAAAACCATATTTAAGCAAAAATTTAGAAAAAGGTATTTTAAGTTTTATAACTAAGGTACATATATTTCTTATATATTCGTAACGTGAAATAGAAAAAATACAGGGTATCTGCACGTAGAGTTGATAATGTGCGTGTATAGGTATAACATATATTTTAACTTGTTTGGGGTAGTAAATTATTGGATGATACGTTGTAGCCCCACAACGAATGGAATGCCTTCCAACTTCGATTGGATCGAGTCGAGTTCAATATATAGTCGTTTATATATATGTAATTGTATTAGATAATAATATAATATAATAATAATACGCCTCAATAAGCTACAGCTTGAGGTTTCCTCTCTTTTCTTTCTTTCTAACAGAGTTTTTATCAACGCGTAATATTTAGATATTTCAGTTATATATCGAGATATATAGCTAACATTAATAGATTATTTATAATTTCATAAATGTTGCTGCTGCTCGATCTGTTTAGGGTGACCGTATAATGGCCTCGTAGGCAGCGAAGATAATGTTGGCCACCTCCACGGAGCGAGATTTGAGGCTGAGCGTCGCGTCAGGATTGCCCGGCTGAAGCTTCAGCTCGAGCAGGACCCAGATGTTATTCGTCAGCTTCAAGGATTGGTAGAGCATATCCTGACCCTCGACATTACGCTTGGCAATGGTGAAGATGTTGTTGGTGGTCATCTTGGAGGCGATGCCATCGGTGGTGCCAATGACACCGCTCAGGCTGTATTGCAGCTCATTGGCAGCGGGTATTTCCTTCCACGTGTTCAGGAACACGCGTTTATCCAGCTGCCCGTCCTCGGCGAACAGCACGTTGCCGTGCACCAAGCAGGCGAAATAGAAGATATCGATGTTATTCTTAACGGCCACTTGAAGGTTGTTCAATGGTTCCATGCGCTGAATCGGTCCGCTGGTGGCCAATGCCAGGCTGACTTCCGTGGACTGATTGGGTGGCAGGGGTGGAGCCTGCAGGGGCGAGGCGGGCACCAAGCCGAAGCTGTTCTTGTTCAGCTGTATGGCAAAGTTCGTCATCGGCTGCATTGCTTTGTTGGTGAGGGTCATGTCCATGTAGATTTCGCCGTTGCGTCGCGAGAAGGTGCCCTGGATCTCTAGGCCTTTGCCCTTTTCGGCTGGCAGCCAGGTGACCTTGGGTATCTGCACGCCCACCGACAGGGAGGTGCCAGCCAGGCCGAAGATGTCACCTAGCAGGCTGCTGGCACCGCCGGCAGGAGCAACTGAATCTACAGGTGCCGGCGGACCACCCAGTAGTATATCCAGTCCACCACCAAGCAGATCCACGTTGCTGGTTGTAGAGGCCGGTGCTGCGGGCATGGCAGGCGCATTGATATCCATGGAGAGCAGATCACCAATGAGCGAATCTTGATTAGGTATGACCATAGACTCGGATCCCTGGCCAGGTTCGCCCTGGTCAGCATTCGCATTGCCAGAGCCCGCGGCACGGTTTGGCAGAGATTTGCGTACGCCAGCGCCGCGACCTTCCACAAATGCTGTTGGTGGCTTGTGATAGACACTGGCCAGCGAGCTAATGTGACAGATGAGCTCGTCGAGCAGCGTCGGCTCGAGCAGATCCGTTTCCTCCGAGATGAGCGGCTTGTCGGCGAGCACCACTTCCTTGGCGGCAGCCGGATCGGTGGAGAGCAGACGCCAATAGATAAAGCCGCGATCACGCAAATCTGGGTTATCGGAATCCTGGGTGGCAAGCGAGAGGACATGCTGCACCAGCTCCTGGGTGTCCGAGGGGCGTTTGAGAAACAGTTTCACCACAGCTGTTAGCAATTGCAGCTGCACCTGGGCATTCTCATCCTGGAAGCCCTCCAGGAAACTATCGAGCAGCTCGTCCGCATTGTCAATGCGTTCGGCATATTCGCCAATGATCCAGACCATTGAAGCGCGCGCCTCTGGCTCATCCAAAGTATCCAGATTCTCGCACAGTGTACTAATTATACTCTCATACTTATTGGGATACTTGCGGAAGATGTCCTTGATAACGACAATGGCCTCCTGAACAACATAGTTGACCTTGGTCTGAATGAGATCCAACAGAGTGGAGACACAACGCTCGGCCGATGGTTCCACCTTGATGGCGCAACGTCCTATCGCACGCACAGCTTTGCGCACAAAGTCTACATCCACCTCGGTGGCATATTCCTTCAGCTCACTCAGCACCTGGGCGATGTTGCTCTGATTGGCCAAACGTATCATAATATCCAGTTTCTCCAGTTTCACATAGATGGGATCGTTATACTTCACGAAGAACACCTTCATCTCATGCTTAAGGATGTCCGGACGCTTCTGCACGATCAAATTGATGTTGCGCAGTGCAACATATTGCACCTCCGGCTCTGAGGAGAGCAGCGTAACCAGTGGTGGAGCTAACTTCTTGGTCAGCGTGGCACAGAAATCGCTATCACTCGACAGCATCTCGAGCAACTTCATCAGCACCTTGACAGCGCTGAGCACAACAGCGGCATTGGCATGGGCCAAGCGTGGTGTAATTCTCTCGCAGATCGATTGCGCCTCTCGCTCATCCTTGGGACTATAGTTGGCCAGCGAGTCCAAGATGAAGACCTGTCCCCATTCGGTGCACTCATTGAGTGCCGTCAATAGTTTATTAATGGTCACCGAATTCATCTCGACGAGCGGTTGGCCCGACTGACTGGCCTCGTTGATTTCGCTTAGCGCTGCCACTGCATTGGCCACCACCATGGGATTCGAGTCGGACAACAGATCCTTCAGCTGATCCAGAAATCCCTGATCCTCCACCATTGTTGCCGAGATGTCATACAGTTTGGCAACACAAACAGCTGCTGTTTTGCGCACATAGGGATCCTCGTCCTTCAGGCACTTGCGCAACGGTTCGCATAGATATTCCGTTATCTTATCCACGCGTATACAACCCATAGTCCTTACGGCCAGCGCACGAATCAAGGGATTCGAGTCCTCACAATCCTTGACAAACGTATTCACTGCCATTATCGCCATATCCGGTTGCGATTTGGCATAGTTCATCAAATACAAATAAACGAGTTTCTTCAGCTCAAGATTATCCGTTTGCATGCAATTCACAACGTCCGGAAACAGGGCAGAAACATCCTTGCCAACGGTCATGCTGGCTATCACCTTCTTGACGGCCTCCTTCTTCTTCTCCTTTTTGTCATTGTTCAGCTCCGATTTGAGCTCGAAGATTTCGCCCTTTTTGGTAGTCGTGAAATACTTTGAATCGGTCATCGTGCAGTTCTTTCTCTCTCACTAGCTCTCGCTCTCTTATGCTTGGGAACTTGCTGCTGAAACGAATGGAAAGAACTTTGCATTAGAAATCATGGAAAGGGTATTTGAAATGTATATAAGATCACGTTTGTCCACAATACCCTTTAAATCGACCAAGCTCAAAACCGCATACAAAAAGCTTATCAGCCCTCAATTGCTTGAATTTTATGTTTTGTCACTTCATTAATATACTATTGGGAAGATTGTGTAGTAGAGCAATACCATAAAATTACACATGCAGGAATTATGCTATGATATTTATAACTGTCTGCAAATCTCATTAATATTGATTAGAATGCTAGGGCAACTTCCTCAAGGGGCGTATCAGCCCCATAAGAAGCACCCACATACACACACTCATATTTTCATATATACGGCCAGCGTTTACTCATATGACGGCTTGAACCACGTCTCACACTTTTATTGATGCAAATTTACCAATTAAATAACTCGCAATTAAACGCGACTTTAATTTACCGATTTTCTACGTAATTTAAACATATATGGAAAGTAAATGTAATTATTAAAATGGGTATTTACCTTAAAATGAGCTTTTCAAAGAATTTTGTTTGCGTTTTTTCCTTCTGCTCTCTTACTGCTGCTCTGCTTCTTATGTGGGTGTGCGTGTCTGTGTGTGTGCGTGTAGTGTTTGCGAGTGGATGCTCGATAGTGAATATGCGCAACCAGTGCTGCTAAGTCAGCATATCGCTAGACAAATAAATATCGATTATTATTAAAATGAAATGCACTTAGCTGCATATGGAAAGGAAAAATTAATGTAGTGATATACGACGGAGCAGTGTTGCTTAGCGGCACATCGATGGGAATATGTATATCGATTATATTATTCAAATTATATGCACTCAACTCCATATAAGAAAAGAGAAAATACCCATGCATGGAGAATGCAAAAAAAGGAAAAACTAATTTTTAATTGATCACATTTTCATGTCATTGCGTAAGACATGCAATTTGAAATGGTCTACTTGCAAACACATATTAAATGTAATACCACGACTACAAATATGCTTATGTACGCTTATGTACACATAAATACTTACAGACACATATGTATATTGTTGTTTATTTATTTATTTATTTATCATGCATCGTACTTAACTGGATGCCTTGCACAATTTCCAACATATTTCCGTTGACTGACTTTTGTTGGCGATGTCTTCCGTCTGTGTGGAAAAGAAACGCAAAGAAGTTTTCGTATAACAATAAGGCAAAGCCACAGGGAAACTAAACAATGCAAAAGTTGTGAATTCAACGAATATGTAACGAAAGCAAAGTGCAGAAAGAAAATAATAGACATGCATCCAGATGAATTGTTGAATACGCTATAATAAGTAAATTATAGCAAAACAGAGCTTTTGGCTTGCAGTTGTATCATATTCATAATATAAACAAACATAGGGCGTACCCGACTAGAATATACCCTGCTAAGCAGCTGATAAACATTGTCGCTTATAGAGATATTTGTATAGAAATACCCATTATTTATATCTAAAAAATGTCACATCTCCAGTCAGAAAACTTGCTACTTAGTTTTAGTTCTTATACAACCGCCAAAGTTATCTATGATAAGAAATTAAGACTGTGAGTGCTTCGAAGGATCCACTCGGCGAATTTCAAATTTCTTACACTGATATCTAATATTCTTATACATATGTATTAATGGGGAGCGAAAATGCTAAATCGACTCGTATGATGCATGGCACTTAACAGCCTTGTTACATACCTTTCAATACAAGCAATATGCCTATGCTTACCCATTTTCTGTGTGCTTAGAGCATCAAAAGAAAATCCACCCACAACTCGTATCATAAATACATATGTATAGAAAAATAGATTGTATGTTTATATATATACATACAGAAATTGCACGGAAGCAAAAATCCGAAAACTCAACGCCGCATTCCAAAATCGTGTTATAAAATAATTTGGCAGCACTTGGCCAGCAAACATTCGAATTCGAGCAACTCGAGCGAGCGCATCGCAGCTCTTCAGCCTTTTTTTATCTTCACCCAAACTCTAAGCATAATGGATAATCGACATGCGGTAAGGTATATGATAAGCATAAATATATGTTACGGACTTATATTCTGTATATATTTGCAGCTGCTGAAGTTTTCGTTTTTGGCGTTTCTAGTACTTCTCTTTATTTGTGTGCAGGCAACAAATGCGGGGTATAATTTCTATATAGGCATATAACTATTAGAAACGATCTTAACTATGTATCTATTTATGTCAATTAGGAGTCAGCAGAAAAAGAAAAAAATCGTTATACATGTGCCCATTCACAAGAAGATAGAAAAACATGTCCATACGATTATTAAGCATGTCCACCATCATCATAAGCCACTCGTACTAAAGGAGGAGAAGAAGATTATACACGAGGAGCATCATCCGATTCAAATTCATCAGACTAAAGAGCATATACATCACCATGAGAAGCATGATCATGCTCATGATCACCATGAGCATCACGAGCACCTACATCCCATTGAACAGGCACCGTCCATAGAGGAGGAGGAGGAGCATATACATCATCATCATAATTATGAGCACAAAGATGGTTTCCTCGGCAGCGGTGATTCAGATGCCAGTGGCAGTAGCAGCATCAGCAGCATCAACAGCAGCGAGGAACGCTGATGTAAAACTAAGCATTCAAACTAAAAACCAAAAAAGAAAAAAATTAACTCAAAAAAACTGTGGTTAATTTTATGTGATGTATTATTTAGATTTATGTATACACAATTTTTTTTTTACATTTTTTTTTTTTCATATATGTAATATAGATAAATAACTTAGGCACGGGTTATTGAATAAATAAACTGGTTGAGAAAAGCACCGTTCGTTCTGATATTTAGCCAATTAGCATGCATTTGAAGGCGCGCCAAAAATTCAAAATACTTGTCCCTATTTACAGCACTGGCACACTAAGAAATCAGCTGATGCAAAACCAAACCAAAGCAAAATCCCAACAGCTAAAACGTAACTAAAAGTAAACAATCTTGTGAATTTGAAGATCTGCGTCTTTTCCACATTCGTTTCTATAATTTCATATAGTAGTATATCCAATTACATAACTTAAGTGGCTTCAGTAAAACTAAATTTGTCTACCACTATTTGATTTGCATACACTTGAATGCGCGCTAAGCAATCGATGTGCTTGCAGCGCTCTACAGCACTGCCGCGATAAGACGTTTTTCGATAAGTTTGACATAGCGACGGCACACACACCGCAGCGAAGACAAGGCAAAAATAAAAGAAAAGCATATGAAACGAGGGAGCATAGGGAGTGAGTGTTACTTTGCAAAAAAAAGAAGAAAAAAAACCAAAAAGAAAAGAGAAAAGCAGAATAAAAAGCCACAGAAATAAAGAAAAGAGTTTGCAACAAAATTATTAGCTAGATAGCAGCGAATGCACAAGATGTTCTTGTTTTGGTGTTGATAACAAACAACAATGACAACAGCAACAGCAGCAGCAACAACAAAAACAACAACAAAAACAGCAGCAAGCTACAAAAAGAAAATCAACACGTTCCAACTGCAACCACGAAGACAGCAACAACAGCAGCAGCAACAATAATTAAATCGATGTGAAATCAAATCCTATTGCAGCGCAAGTGCAACAAATTGACAATAGTCTTCGATTTGCAAGTGGCTGCATTGTTATTTTTATTATTTTTTTTTTTTGCCCGAATTCCAGCCTCCCGTTTGTGCCAATTCACACTCACACGCACACGCTCAGTCACACAAACACGCCTACACTTTTGCGCGCTCCTCTTCCTTCTCCTCTTCCAACACTTCCCTCTCATTGCCTCTTCCCCTCTTCCAGCCTACCTCCCTTCCTTATCCTCTATCTCAGTCTTTCTTATTGTAAGCAAGCATTCCCACTCAAATTTCAACTCCGCTTTTGAGCTTTAAGCTCCTCTCCAAACACCCCACCCCAAAACCTGCAAATTAAGCGATAACAAATTGATAATCGAGTGAAAAAAAAAAATTAAAAATACAAATAATAAGTTAATAAAACAACAGAGCCAAGGCGAGAATCCTTTGAGTGCATTTAAGAGCGATGCAGTATAGGCCACCATGGGTTCACAAACCTTGGAGATACTGCGCCAAGGCGTGTGGGCCTCGCTGACCGGCGGCTATTTTTATGATCCGCATCAGGGCGTATTCTGCAATGTTGTCCATTTGTATTTATGGCTCTATCTGCTTTGTTCGCCCTTTGTTGCCTACCTGGTGAGCGCTGAATGGTGTTAGTCGACTCGAATCTGAAATTAACTGTCATCTCTTCCTTCTTGTTTCAGTATTTTCCCAGCACATGGCTAACCTGGTGTCTGTATTGCGTGTTAACCAGCTGCACCATATTGATGGTGAAGCTGGCGAATTTGGCATTGCATCGCCTCTACGATCGGGCCCAAACCATGTCCGAGGTGAATCTGAAGAGTCACTTCTTCAAGGTCACCAAGGAGATGGAGACACGCGAACCGGACGAAGAGAACGGCATTGAAATGAAAGTAATGCGCGCTATAGCCGGCGACGGATCACGTTTATCCATGGAACAGCCAATCAATGAAGCCAGCGAGGAGAATAGCATAATGTCCATTGACAATGCCAATAGCATTATAGGTAGGCGAAGCGCATAGCATATATACCATGTTTCTAGTGGATCTCTTATTAATCCTACTGAGCTTTGTAGATCTCAAGGTTGATGTGCATCGCAAGAACAGCTCCGAGTCCATTGAGTTAATGTTTTATGCCCCGTCAATGCTATCTGGTGGCAGTCAACAGGATCAGCAATCGCTTGCTGGCTCCGCTAGTGTTAGCAAATCCATAAGATCAGCAGCTGCAACAAATCCTGGTTATGCCAATGAGTTATATAGCAAATACCTGACTGTTTATCCCGAGCTTGTGGAACTTGTGGTGCCTGCTAATTCGGACGATAACGAGGAGGCGGCTGCAGCTGGAGGATCAACTGGAGCAGTAGCAGCAGCAGCATCGACTACAGCAACATCAACTGGAGCAACTGCTGGAACCGGGTCTGGAACAGTAGCTGTAGCCGGAGCTGGTCGCACGGGACGCCATTTGTTTAGTCGTCGACATCGGCGTCAGCTGGAGCGACAGGCGAGCCTGGATGCCAGCAGTGCCCTAGATGATATGCTAAACACGGAGCTAATGCGAAATCAATCCGATACAATAGCCACAACAAGATCCGCGGCAACTGCAGCGGCTGCAGCTGCAGCTGCTGCGTCACCCAGCTTCCTGCACACTAAAGCAATGAGGCCTGGTCATAATTCACGTCAGCTTTTCATGGTTAACCCAGCGGGAGGAGCTTCAGCGGCAGCAGCGAGTGCAAATGGAAGTGGAGCTGGCACTGCAACTGGAGCTCCAACTGGAGCTAGCAACGATGGCTGCTCCGCATCGTCTTCCTCATCGGTGTTGCTTGTCCAGCAGCCCCAAACACGTTCCTTGCGATTGCAGCGACATCGCAGCTCTGAAACGCACGAAGAGCGACTGAAGCATCAAAGCCGCATTGGATTGTTTCAATCGATGCAGCAAACATTGCTGCAACATCAGCAGCAACATTTCCAGCAGCAACAGCAAAAGCAACTGCTCAAGCAACAGCAAAAGTTGCAGCATCAGCAGCAGCTGCAACAGCTACAACTCGAGCAGCAGCAACATGCTGCCGAACAGCAGCAGCAACAACAGCAGCAGCAGCAACAAAATGTCGATGTGGACGATATGGAGCTGGCCTTGGCGCTTAGACGCATATCGATATTGGGTACTGCCAAGAACCACATAATCTCTACAGCTATTCATATATGTATAGAATAGTAACTAGCTTCTCTTTTGTAGATTCCTCTTCGGATGTGTACTTGGAGGATGACAGCTATACCAAATCAGACTTGGGCATTGAGCAGCAGTCGTTGCATCAGGCGACATTTCGTGCCCAGCAGCCTCACTTGAACCACCATCATCATCATCATCACCACCACCATCATCAGCAGCTGCACAATCACCATTTGGTACGCAAGGACCGAAATAGCACAATGTCTGCACTGCAGCTCTGTAATTCGGCTCAATTGACGGAACCGAATCGCTCGGCGAATGCAATGAAGCGGCGCAGACATTCCAATGCCACAAGCTATCAAAAGCAGAGCAGCAATCCTAACTCCAGCTCCAAGACTACATTGTTGAATTCCTCGTCGAACAATCAAGGTGGCGGTGGAGGTGTGCGTCGCATTAAGAGCGCCGCCCTGGAGGTTCTCTGCACGCAGCCATCTGTCTCGAATTTAAGTCCGCATCCAAATAGCGTGGAGGCGATTAGCGGGCAGCAGCAGTTGCGAAATCCATTGCCGCCGCCCAGCAAAAGTCTCGTGCGCAATCAACATTTGAATCTAAGACTTGACCAGAACTTTGCAGAGAGTGCATCTGGCGGACCTGGAGCTATTGGCAGCTGCAGCAGCGTCATCTTTGGCAGCTCTAGCGCCTGCGGGTCGACCACCGCTCTAATCGAACCACCCGTCTATCCCATAGTCGAGCATTTGGATGAGAAAATGAACGATGACCCAAAGCTGCAAGTGGACTACGACGATGATGACGTGGAGGAGGTCGTGTATGAGGACGACACCGATCATCAATTGGATGTTGATGATGATGAAGTGGATGATGTGCCATTGAGGCGTCGCACGCGCGCCCTGGGCTGCAGCCAAACGCATCGCAGTGCCGAGTCCGATGTCGGCGGCATTTTGGCCGACGACGATGATGATGTCTTCAAGGATTTCGATGACAATCTGGAGCACATACTTAGTGAGCTGCAGCATACGCAAAGCCAACTGGACGATGTGCTCAAGAACTGTGAACTGAATGGCGGAGGAGCGTGTGGAACAGGATCAGGAGCAGGAGGAGGAGCAGGAGCTGCAGCAGCAGCAACAACCATTGCAAATGCATCAGCAGTAGCAAACGTTGTTGCTCTGCCATCAGACGATGAGGAGACAGACAACAACACGGGCTCACGTTCCCCTTTGCTCAGCAATCGACAGCAACAGCTCAGCGCACGGGAACAAGCGGCCGAGCAGGCGTTGCGTCAAGAGTTCACCCAGCCAAAGAAGCTCCAACAGCAGCAGCAACAGCAGCCCTTGGAGATGCGCAGCCAGTTGATAGGCAGCGAAGCTGACTCTGGCTGTCCGTCCAGCGATTGCGAGCATGTGAGCGCCAGTTCCAAGGACCAGCTGTTGCTGCAGGAGCACGAGCCCGACCGGCATCTGGATCACGAGCTGGACGAGGAGCAGCCCTGCACTTCACGCATGGCTGCACGCAGCCTCGGCGCCATACCCAAGGTGGCCAAGTACCGCGAAGTGGACGAACTGCGTCGCCGACGGGCCATTGCTGGCGGCGACAGTAGCAATGAATTGGCTTTGGTCAAGCAACAGCAGAAGCTGGCCATGCTGCCAGCTTGCTCACGCAATTCCTCATCTTCGAACTCGACGCACAGCATCAGCTTGACGGAGAGCCTCACGGCTGATATACACAAGATGCTGTGGCTGATGCACGGCGGTCCTGTGGACGAGCGTGGCCGACCTATAGCCGCTATCCTGCCCGATGGCACCACAGTGCCAGCGAACCCCACAATCGTACCACCAAATATGTCCAGTGCGCATTTCCAGTTCTATCAGGACGCCATACAGGCACTGCAGGGCAGCTACCCCGCCTCCATGGATGCGAAACTAGTTTGTGAACAGCTGGCAGCGGCGGCAGCTGCTGCTGAGGCGCACAACGCAGCGAATGGACAGACAGCGCCGCCAGCTTCGTTAATTAGCTGCAGGATGATGAGCGGCAGTGGCAATAGGGCAGCAGGAGGAGCAGCTGCTGGAGCAGCTGCAGGAGGAACAGCAGCAGCAACAGCAGGAGGAGAAGTAGGAGCAGCAGCAGTCGCAGCAGGAGGCAGCTCGGCAGCCAATGCGGCACGCTCTTCATTTCGAGGCATGTTCAATATGATGCAAGCAGCTCGCCAAGAAGCGCTGCAGCAGCAAATCAACGATGCGGCTGCAGCAGCAGGGAATGCGACTGCTGCTGACTCTGCAGCTCGTCAGCAATCAGGTCAACAGCAGCAACAGCAACAGCAGCAGCAACAACAACAGCAGCAGCAACAGCAACAACAGCAGCAGCAGCAGCTCAGTCAACCAATGCTGCACGTGGATGGACCTTTCTCGCCCTACTGCGACTATTGGCGTCCCGCTACCTGCCTGCTCTCCGCCGAGAAGCCCCTGGCACCCAAGAGCTTCTATAAGTACCGCTTCAAGTGGTGCGGGCGGGAGCATGAGTTCAAGATTGCTATGGATCGCTTGGAGCTACTGGCACTGTTCGACCGCGACCTGCACTGGCTGCACGTGCTCTTGGCCTGCGTCTTGTGCACCTTGGTGGCCTGCCTGGGCGCTGCGATACTGCAGCATAACTACTACAAGGACCTGTGTGTCCTGCTCTTCTGCTCGGTCATAGCCGGCGCCCAATATTCGCTGGTGAAGAGCGTCCAGCCGGATGCAGCATCGCCGGTGCACGGCTTCAACAAAATTGTCGCGTACTCGCGTGCCATCTACTTCTGCCTGTGCGGCGGTCTTCTGCTGCTGCTCAAGCATTTGGACACGGCGTATGGAGAGAGGCCCCCGGAGACGTTCATTTTCTTTGGCATACACTATTCGCCGGCTCACGTGGTTGCCACGTTGCTGCAGTGCCTCTACGTCCTCCTCCTCTGCTTCCCCATCATGTTCTCGGTGGGCTTGTGTCCGCAGTTCAATACGTTCCTTATGTACCTGCTCGAACAGATCGACATGCATGTCTTTGGCGGCAATGCGGCGAGCAGCCTGTTGGGTGAGTGAAGAGCGAGGAGCAGCTTCCATAAATGAATGTGAATGAGTGCATATATAGAAGAGCAGCTTAGCTAGTGGAACATCCAGTACATGTCAAGCGATCTGTATGAATATGTAGAGCATCAGCTAAGCACAGGTTCATCTAGAGAGTATCAGAGATCAAGGTTCAAGCCATCAATAGCTGTTCCGATAAGTGTGTTGATCTGTCCGTATGAATGTATAAGAGATTATCCGCATATAGGAGATAGAGACAAGCTACCTAGTATAACAGAGAGATAGAAAGAGAAAATATGAATACGTTCACTCTCTCACTCTATCTTAGAATATCTGAATGCCTCTTCTCCTATCCAGTAACGGATATAAGCTCGCACTTGGCTTAGGCTATTTGGTAGTCGTGCACTGCCGACTATAGCTCAGTTGTTTGTTTGATGTAACCTAAATATATATTCCCGTTATGTTGCAGGGTCCTTCCTCTGCCTGCTGCGCTCCGTTTTGGCTGTGCTGCTGCTGTATGGTCCCTTGTACGCTGCCCTGGATGAGCATCGCGGCACTCAGTACATCTTGTTCTCCATATTCTGTGCCATGCTGATACCCTTGGGCTATCACATGTCCAGGTCGGCGAGCGACTTCAGCCATTTGTGGCGCATCATCAAGACGTGCATTGTGAGCAGCTACCGCGATGATGAGGACGAGTGCAGGCAGCACTCGTACAAGGGTCGCGGCCAGCTGAGCCAGCAAAGGGAGCACGAGCACCGGGAGCAGCAACAGCATCGCCAGCAGCTGAGCAAACGCCAATCCACGGAGCCCAGCTCAACAGCGCAGCCAACGCCGGTGGCACAGCGAGTCGTCAGGCAGGTGGAGCTCAACTCGCGGTCCAATAGCAACGAGAACATCGAACTGAGCTCGCTCGAGAAGCACGAGCAGCAGCCGGAGCAGGAGCAGGAGCAGGAGCTAGAACAGGAACAGGAACTGCAGCTGGAGCAGCTGCACAGCAAATCGAAAGCCTCCTCGCTGGGCAGCAGCCAAACGTTGGCCAAGAGCAACAAACGCGGCCTTACAGCCTCCAGCTCGTATGCCTCGATAGCAACTGGCCAGGATGCAAGTGGAGCAGGAGCAGCTGGCGCAGCGGCAAGCGCAAATGGAGCTGTTGCAGCAGTTGCTGTCAAAACAACGCGCAGCGCCGAGAATCTTTATGCGGCAGCCGTGACTGAGACCAAGTCGCCAACGGAAGATCCACAAGACGACAAAATCTCCAGTTCGTCGACAACAAATCCCGGGGACATGTCCACTCTGACAGCTGGCGCCAATACAGCCAATACGGACATCGATGCCACTGATGCCCTCGACCCAGAGCCGGGGCTAAGCAATCAACAAGCGGCGCTCGATCTGGACGCCAGTGAGCTGGAGAACGAGCTGCCGGATCCGTTGCCACGCAAGCTTCAGGCCACGGTGACGACTCGCTTGAAGAACGACTTTGTGGTGATGACTCTGCTGGCCGTCTCTGTCCTGGTGCTGCACTGCAGCACAGTGTTCACTGTCCTCCAGCCGGATCTCAACGTGGTGCTCTATGTCTTCATCGGCACCCTGGGCGTGCTGCTCCACTATGCGGTGCCACAGATGCGCAAGCATATGCCCTGGCTATGCTTTGCTCGCCCGCTGCTCCGGCAGAAGGAATTCGGGCAATTCGAGGTGTTGAATGCCCCGCAGATCATGTGGTTCGAGAAGCTCTACATCTACTTGAGTGTCCTCGAGCGCAACGTGCTCTTCCCCCTGCTG